GCTACAGATCACGGATTCGGCCTGAGACTATTCTTCGACGATGACTACGTCCATTAAGCACCGATTTGGGCGGATTTATTCCGGGTAAGTTTTTGGCTGATTGCAAAGGGGTACCATCATAGATTTTGGGCGATTTTTCCGAAATGCCATTTTCTTTCGATTCTGGAGGCTACAGATCATTAAACCAGGCCGAGGCTATTCTCCACTGATAATGAAGTCTATTTATCCTATTCTCCACGGATTATAAGTCTATTAAACACCGATATGGGCCATTTTATTTTCGGATGGCATTTTCGTAATTTCGTGTGCGTCGAAAGCCCATTTTCATTGGATTTTGAAGGCTAAAGATCACGGATTCGGCCTGAGACTATTTTTCGACGATGGCTACATCCATTAAGCAACTATTTGGGCGGATTTATTCCGGTTCAATTTTTGGCGGATTGCAAAGGGGTACCATCACAGATTTTGGGCGAGTTTTCCGAAATGCCATTTTCTTTCGATGCTGGAGGCTACAGATCACGGAACCAGGCCGAGGCTATTCTCCACCGATAATGAAATCTATTGATCTATTCTCCACGGATTATAAGTTCATTAAACAGCGATTTGGGTCAATTTATTTTCGAATGGCATTTTCGTAATTTCGTGGGCGTCGAAAGATCATTTTTTTGGATTTTGAAGGCTACAGATCACGGATTCGGCCTAAGACTATTCTTCAACGATGACTACGTCCATTAAGCACCGATTTGAGCGGATTTATTCCGGGTCAATTTTTAGCAGATTGCAAAGGGGTACTAACACAGATAATGGGCGATTTTTCCGAAATGCCATTTTCTTTCGATTCTGGAGGCTACAGATCACGAAACCACGCCGAGGCTATTCTCCACCGATAATGAAGTCTATTGATCCTATTCTCCACAGATTATAAGTCAATTAAACACCGATTTGGGCCAATTTATTTTCGAATGGCATTTTCGTAATTTCGTGGGCGTCGAAAGGCCATTTTTTTTGGATTTTGAAGGCTACAGATCACGGATTCGGCCTGAGACTATTCTTCGATGATGACTACGTCCATTATGCACCGATTTGGGTGGATTTATTCCGGGTCAATTTTTTGCGGATTGCAAAGGGGTACCATCACAGATTTTGGGCGATTTTTCCGAAATGCCATTTTCTTTCGATTCTGGAGGGTATAGATCACGGAACCTGGCTGAGGCTATTCTCCACCGATAATGAAGTCTATTGATCCTATTCTCCACGGATTATAAGTCCATTAAACACCGATTTGGGCCAATTTATTTTCGGATGGCATTTTCGTAATTTCGTCGGCGTTGAAAGGCCATTTTCTTTGGATTTTAAAGGCTAAAGATCACGGATTCGGCCTAAGACTATTATTCAATGATGACTACGTCCATTAAGCACCGATTTGGGCGGATTTATTCCGGGTCAATTTTTAGCAGATTGCAAAGGGGTACCATCACAGATTTTGGGCGATTTTTCCGAAATGCCATTTTCTTTCGATTCTGGAGGCTACAGATCACGGAACCAGGCCGATGCTATTCTCCCCCGATAATGAAGTCTATTGATCCTATTCTCCACGGATGATAAGTCAATTAACTACCGATTTGGGCCAATTTATTTTCGGATGGCATTTTCGTAATTTCGTGGGCGTCGAAAGGCCATTTTCTTTGGATTTTGAAGGCTAAAGATCACGGATTCGGCCTGAAACTATTCTTTAACGATGATTAAGTCCATTAAGCACCGATTTGGGCGGATTTATTCCGCGTCAATTTTTGCAAATTGCAAGGGTGTACCATCACAGATTTTGGGTGATTTTCCGAAATGTCATTTTCTTTCGATTCTGGAGGCTACATATCACGAAACCAGGCCGAGGCTATTCTCCAACGATAATGAAGTCTATTGATCCTATTCTCCACGGATTATAAGTCCCTTAAACACCGATTTGGGCCAATTTATTTTCGAATGGCATTTTCGTAATTTCGGGGGTGTCGAAAGGCCATTTTCTTTGGATTTTGAGGGGTACAGATCACGGATTCGGCCTGAGACTATTCTTTGACAATGACTACGTCCATTAAGCACCGATTTGGGCGGATTTATTCCAGGTCAATTTTTGGCGGATTGCAAAGGGGTACCATCACAGATTTTGGGCGATTTTTCCGAAATGCCATTTCCTTTCGATTCTGGAGGCTACAGATCATGGAACCAAGCCGAGGCTATTCTCCACCGATAATGAAGTCTATTGATCCTATTCTCCATGGATGATAAGTCCATTAAACACCGATTTGGGCCAATTTATTTTCGGATGGCATTTTCGTACTTTCTTGGGCGTCGAAAGGCCATTTTCTTTGGATTTTTAAGGCTAAAGATCACGGATTCAGCCTGAGACTATTCTTCAACGATGACTACGTCCATTAAGCACCGATATGGGCGGATTTATTCCGGGTCAATTTTTAGCAAATTGCAAAGGGGTACCATCACAGATTTTGGGCGATTTTTCCGAAATGTCATTTTCTTTCGATTCTGGAGGCTACAGATCACGGAACCAGGCCGATGCTATTCTCCACCGATAATGAAGTCTATTGATCCTATTCTCCACGGATGATAAGTCAATTAAATACCGATTTGGGCCAATTTATTTTCGGATGGCATTTTCGTAATTTCATGGGCGTCGAAAGGCCATTTTCTTTGGATTTTGAAGGCTACAGATCACGGATTCGGCCTGAGACTATTCTTCAACTATAATCAAGTCCATTAAGCAACAATTTGGGCGGATTTATTCCGCGTTAATTTTTGCAAATTGCAAAGGGGTACCATCACAAATTTTGGGCGATTTTTCCGAAATGTCATTTTCTTTCGATTCTGGAGGCTACAGATCACGAAACCAGACCGAGGCTATTCTCCACCGATAATGAAGTCTATTGATCGTGTTCTCCTCGGATTATAAGTCCATTAAACACCGATTTGGGCCAATTTATTTTCGGATGGCATTTTCGTAATTTCGTGGGCGTCGAAAGGTCATTTTCTTTGGATTTTGAAGGCTACAGATCACGGATTCGGCCTGAGACTATTCTTTAACGATGATTAATTCCATTAAGCACCGATTTGGGCGGATTTATTCCGGGTCAATTTTTAGCAGATTGCAAAGGGGTACCATCACAGATTTTGGGCGATTTTTCCGAAATGTCATTTTCTTTCGATTCTGGAGTCTTTATATCACTATACCAGGCCGAGGCTATTCTCCACCAATAATGAAGTCTATTTATCCTATTCTCCACGGATTATAAGTCCATTAAACACCGATTTGGGCCAATTTATTTTCGGATGGCATTTTCATAATTTTGTGGGCGTCGAAAGACCATTTTCTTTGGATTTTGAAGGCTACAGATTACGGATTCTGTCTGAGACTATTCTTCAACGATGATTAAGTCCATTAAGCACCGATTTGGGCGGATTTATTCCTGGTCAATTTTTAGCAGATTGCAAAGGGGTACTATCACAGATTTTGGGCGATTTTTCCGAAATGTCATTTTCTTTCGATTATGGTGGCTACAGATCACGAAACCAAGCCGAGGCTATTCTCCACCGATAACGAAGTCTATTGATCCTATTCTCCACGGATGATAAGTCCATTAAATACCAATTTGGGCCAATTTACTTTAGGATGGCATTTTCGTAATTTCGTGGGTTTCGAAAGGCCTTTTTCTTTGGATTTTGAAGGCTACAAATCACGGATTCAGTCTAAGACTATTCTTCAACGATGATTAAGTCCATTAAGCACCGATTTGGGCGGATTTATTCCGGGTCAATTTTTATAAGATTGCAAAGTGGTACCAACACAGATTTTGGGCGATTTTTCCGAAATGTCATTTTCTTTCGATTCTGGAGGCTATAGATCACGAAACCAGGCCGAGGCTATTCTCCACCGATAAAGAAGTCTATTGATCTTATTCTCCACGGATTGTAAGTCCATTAATTACCGATTTGGGCAAATTTATTTTTGGATGTTATTTTCGTAATTTTGTGGGCGTCGAAAGGCCATTTTCTTTGGATTTTGAAGGTTACAGATCCCGGATTTGGCCTTAGAGTATTCTTCAAGGATGACTACGTCCATTAAGCACCGATTTGGGCGGATTTATTCTGGGTAAATTTTTGGCGGACTGCAAAGGGGTACCATTACAGATTTTGGGCGATTTTTCCGAAATGCCATTTTCTTTCGATTCTGGAGGCTACAGATCACGGAACCAGGCCGAGATTATTCTCCACTGATAATGAAGTCTATTAATCCTATTATCCACGGATGATAAGTCCATTAAACATTGATTTGAACCAATTTGTTTTCGGATGGCATTTTCGTAATTTCGTCGGTGTCGAAAGGCCATTTTCTTTGGATTTTGAAGGCTACAGATCACAGATTCATCCTGAGCCTATTCTTCAACGATGAATACGTCCATTAAGCACCGATTTGGGCGGATTTATTCCGGGTCAATTTTTGGCAGATTGCAAAAAAGTACCATCACAGATATTGGGCGATTTTTCCGAAATGCCATTTTCTTTCGATTCTGGAGGCTACAGATCACGAAACCAGGCCGAGGCTATTCTCCACCGATAATGAAGTCTATTGATCCTATTCTCCACGGATGATAAGTCCATTAAACACCGATTTGGGCCAATTAATTTTCTGATGCTATTTTCGTAATTTCGTGGGAGTCGAAAGACCATTTTCTTTGGATTTTGGATGCTACAAACCACGAATTCGGCCTGAGACTATTCTTCAACGATGATTAAGTCCATTAAGCACCAATTTGGGCAGATTTATTGTAACATCCCATTCCGGCAAACCCGTATTCTGATCGCTAGAAAGTTCGCGATTTAAAATCGAGCGTTTTAACAGTATTTCCGCAAAAATCGGATTATCGACCGGATAAGTATACGTATTAATTATATATATATATATAAGCGGTCGGGATATAAAATTTACCGTCCATTTCCATCCTCACGTGCCATTTCTTTCTTCTCATTTCCATCCGCGAGAGAAGCAGAGAAACAGAGAGCGATCAGGAGAACGTCGGGGGAAAAATTCTCCAGCTCGATTCTTGAGCTACAGTGATCCAAAAATCGCGTAAGTAATGCCTAATTCATCCATACATCGTGATTTATCGATTTAGAGCTTTAAAACGAGTTTTTGATTCAGGAATTTCTTGAATTCCCGATAAGCCAAATTAGGGTTTCGGAGTATCCGGAAGCCGGATTGAGCCCAAATTTCGTATACGAGCTTCCTGCAGCGAGGTAATCAATCCTCTAGTTCTAATCCCTGAATTTCGGCTATTATTTAGATCGGAGCTGGGATCGCTGAATTTAGCTCCGGCCAGGGTTTGATGTGTTTTTATCAAGAATTTGACCCGGAGCCTAGAACTAATAATGACGGGGATACTGTAGGGGATATTAGTACGGTCTCGGATTTTAATTCAGGGTTCGTTCCTGAAAATGACGTTTTAGTACGTGAAGGTTAAACCAGTGTTTGAACGACCAGAACTGGTGAGGGATTATCACGACATACCGGGTTTGTCGTATCACGATAATTATATTGATGCTTAGAATTGATCTAGGTGAACTAGAATGGCATGATTAGGGGTGTATGAACTTTTGTGCTATATGTTGAACCCTGGATTGCTGTATGATATTATTGACTTGCCCTAATCGATATGAACCTTGTTTATGCTGATGACTATGTATATGTTGCAAATTGTGGGCTTGACTATTAATATGCTTTACGATGGTTCGAGTAGGTGATTAGGTATGATTTTCATGATTGTTGTATTTGGATGCACAAGTGGGAAAATATATATTCCCTAGTGATATTATGATGTTTAAGGAGGATGACTTGCATGAGGGTTTATCCCGAGGAAGTGCAATTATACGACTCCTGATTTACCTATGTTGAGCCAATTATGGCTAGGTCAAGTACATGTGCAAGTAATGAATTATGATTAAGCAAGATGAGATATGAATCATGTATAAGGATACCAAATATGAGTGTTGTGGTCTCACGGTCAACTACATAGTAATTAGGGCTCCCTATGCTATTACTCTATTATGATATGTATGATATTCACACCTCTCATGTGGTGGTGACTGAAGAATTCTTAAGAGATATGACCACACCCAGAGCGGTGTCGGGGTATGACTACACCCATAGTGATGTGGGGTATGTATGACCACATCCGACGGGATGTTGGGGTATGTATGACTACATCCGACGGGATGTGGGGTATGTTTCCCGGGAGAGTTATTAGCATGGGAGTAGCCAGGCGCCTATGAGTAAAACATGATAAGATGCATATGCATAAGTCAAGGTGCTTGAGTCTTTTGCCTATTGGGATGTCGGAGGGCTGAGATCTGATCCTAGTGCTTTGGCTTGTTTTCTAGATGTATGGTAGTGGTATGCTATGTTATGAACTCACGATGCTATGATTATCTCACTCAGCTATGAGCTGACCCTCTTTTATTCTTCTTCTCTGCTTATGCCATGTGTAAGCAGATCATCAACAGCAGCAGTAGATAGGTGTATAGGTGGGAGCTGAGCAAGAGTTGAAGGCAAGATGAGGTATGGTCTTCAACTACTCTGTGCTTGGACTACTACTCGGGATTTTGGCCAGTGATCCACACCCTTTTGTAAAAATGTTTTGAGAACGTTTTTCATGTGCATACTAGCTTCTGATGTAGTGTGAGATATCCACAGGTGTGGAAAATTGATGATATGTGTATATGTTGTGTAACTGTGTAAGTTGTGACGATTATGGTATGTATAAGTTTGGTATGCAGTTGTGTAGTATGAAACTGTGACTATGGCTATGAAAGTCCATGTATATGGTTGTTAGTATATATGTTTGTCATTGAATGCATGGATTCAGATGAATTATTTTGTAGGATAAGTTGCAAGAACTGTTAGCCCATTACGCGAGTAATTCATGTCGAAATTTTATTTAGGTAAATTTTGATAATTAATGTAACACCCGAGATTAATTCCGCTGCAATTGTATGAACAATATGATTAGGCAAAACGTATAGGGTAGGGTGTTACATTTATTTCGGGTCAATTTTTAGCAGATTGCAAAGGGGTACCATCACAGATTTTGGGTGATTTTTCCAAAATGTCATTTTCTTTCGATTCTGGATGCTACAGATCACGAAACCAGGCCGAGGCTATTCTCCACCGATAATGAAGTCTATTAATCCTATTCTCCACGGATTGTAAGTCCATTAAACACGGATTTCGGCCAATTTATTTTCGAATGGCGTTTTCATAATTTCGTGGGCATCGAAAGGCCATTTTCATTGGATTTTGAAGGCTACAGATCACAAATTCGGCCTGAGACTATTCTTCGACGATGACTACGCCCATTAAGCACCGATTTGGGCGGATTTATTCTGGGTCAATTTTTGGCGGATTGCAAAGGGGTACCATCACAGATTTTGGGCGATTTTTCCGAAATGCCATTTCCTTTCGATTCTGGAGGCTACAGATCACGGAACCAGGCCGAGGCTATTCTCCACTGATAATGAAGTCTATTGATCCTATTCTCCACGGATTATAAGTCCATTAAACACCGATTTGGGCCAATTTATTTTCGGATGGCGTTTTCGTATTTTCGTGGGCGTCGAAAGGCCATTTTCTTCGAATTTTGAAGGCTACAGATCACGGATCCGGCCTGAGACTATTCTTCAACGATGACTACGTCCATTAAGCACCGATTGGGCGGATTTATCCCGAGTCAATTTTTGGCGGATTGCAAAGGGGTACCATCACATATTTTGGGAAAATTTTCCGAAATGCCATTTGCTTTCGATTTGGGAGGCTACAGATCACAGAACCAGGCCGAGGCTATTCTCCACCGATAATGAAGTCTATTTATCCTATTCTCCACGGATGATAAGTCCATTAAATACCGATTTGGGCCAATTTATTTTCGGATGGCATTTTCGTAATTTCGTGGGCGTCGAAAGGCAATTTTCTTTGGATTTTGAAGGCTACAGATCACGGATTCGGCCTGAGACTATTCTTCAACGATGACTACGTCCATTAAGCACCGATTTAGGCGGATTTATTCCGGGTCAATTTTTGGCAGATTGCAAAGGGGTCCATCATAGATTTTGGGCGATTTTTTCGAAATGCCATTTTCTTTCGATTCTGGAGGCTACAGATCACGGAACCAGGCCGAGGCTATTCTCCACCGATAATGAAGTCTATTGTTCCTATTCTCCACGGATGATAAGTCCAATAAATACCGATTTGGGCCAATTTATTTTTGGATGGCATTTTCGTAATTTCGTGGGCGTCAAAAGTCCATTTTCTTTGGATTTTGAAGGCTACAGATCACGGATTCGGCCTGAGACTATTCTTCAACGATGACTACGTCCATTAAGCACCGATTTGGGCGGATTTATTCCGGTTCAATTTTTTGCAGATTGCAAAGCGCTACCATTATAGATTTTGGGCGATTTTTTTGAAATGCCATTTTCTTTCGATTCTGGAGGCTACAGATCACGGAACCAGGCTGAGGTTATTCTCCACCGATAATGAAGTCTATTGATCCTATTCTCGACGAATGATAAGTCTATTAAATACCGATTTGGGCCAATTAATTTTCGGATGGCATTTTCGTAATTTTGTAGGCGTCGAAAGGCCATTTTCTTTGTATTTTGAAGGCTACATATCATGGATTCGGCCTAAGACTATTCTTCAACGATGATTAAATCCATTAAGCACCGATTTGGGCGGATTTATTCCGGGTCCATTTTTAGCAGATTGCAAAGGGGTACCATCACTGATTTTTGGGCGATTTTTCCGAAATGTCATTTTCTTTCGATTCTGGAGGCTACAGATCACGAAACCAGGCCGAGGCTATTCTCGACCGATAATGAAGTCTGTTTATCCTATTCTCCACGGATTATAAGTCCATTAAACACCGATTTGGGCAAATTTATTTTCGGATGACATTTTCGTTATTTCGTGGGCGTCGAAAGGCCATTTTCTTTGGATTTTGAAGGCTACAGATCACGGATTCGGCCTGAGACTATTCTTCAACGATAACTACGTCCATTAAGCACCGATTTGGGCGGATTTATTCTGGGTCAATTTTTGGCGGATTGCAAAGGGGGACCATTACAGATTTTGGGCGATTTTTCCGAAATGCCATTTTCTTTCGATTCTGGAGGCTACAGATCACGAAACCAGGCTGAGGCTATTCTCCACCGGTAATGAAGTCTATTTATCCTATTCTCCACAGATGATAAGTCCATTAAACATCGATTTGGCCAATTTATTTTCGGATGGCATTGTCGTAATTTCGTGGGCGTCGAAAGTTCATTTTCTTTGGATTTTGAAGGGTACAGATCACGGATTCGGCCTGAGACTATTCTTCAACGATGACTATGTCCATTAAGCACCGATTTTGGCGGATTTATTCCGGGTCAATTTTTGGCAGATTGCAAAGGGGTACCATCACAGATTTTTGGCGACTTTTCCGAAATGTCATTTTCTTTCGATTCTGGAGACTACAGATCACGAAACCACGCCGAGGCTATTCTCCACCGATAATGAAGTCTATTGATCCTATTCTCCACATATTATAAGTCCATTAAACACCGATTTGGGCCAATTTATTTTCGGATGGCATTTTCGTAATTTCGTGGGCGTCGAAAGGCCATTTTCTTTGGATTTTGAAGACTATAGATCACGGATTCGGCGTGAGACTATTTTTCAACGATGACTACGTCCATTAAGCACTAATTTGGGCGGATTTATTCCGGGTCAATTTTTGGCAGATTGCAAAGGGGTACCATCACAGATTTTGGGCGATTTTTTCGAAATGCCATTTTCTTTCGATTCTGGAGGCTACAGATCACGGAACCAGGCCGAGGCTATTCTCCACCGATAATGAAGTCTTAGTAACACTTATATAAAATCAACACTAAAACCATTAAAGATAAAAATGAAAAAACAAATAAAGAAAAAAACATGCAAAGGTTAAAATCAAAGCAGGTAACCAAATAATACCCCCAAACATGGTGGAGGAATCGGAGAAGGCGGATTTGGCTCTTCACTTCTCTGCTAATCTGTTTACGTCGGAGGCGAGTGAAGAGGGAGTTTGGGAAAGGGTTAATGCCCTCCCAATTGAGCAATAGGTTACGTCGGAGATGAACAACACCCTGGTAGCTGAGGTAACACCGATGGAGTTAAGACGTACGGTATTTGATATGGGTTCAACTCAAGCTCCGGGGACGGATGGGTTCACATGAAAGTTTTTTAAAACATTTTTGGAAAGTTCTTTAGAATATCTAAAAACGACTCATGATTAGGGATAGAAATCCAACCCGAAACCATGAATCGTTTTAGATATTTTAGAATTGTAACCATCTAAATCCACACCCAACTATAAGGCTTCATTTCAAAAAATTGAAACCCACATCCACCCATAAAACTATATATTCTCGAATATTATGAGCGGGTCGGTTTGGTTTGGATTGAACAGGTAGGTTGGTTTTGTTCACCCCCAGTACTTGGAAAAGGAAAGAGCGGGCCGGACAAATATGGATGGGCTTAGCGGTTGTGGAGGAGGGCTCGGTCTATTCTGACTCTGAGGCTCAGTCGAGAAGGAGTCCATCATTTCCCCTGCTTAGGCGTCGTTTCGTTATAGCTTGGCGGATCTATCTTTTCTCTTCCACCCCTGGAGGCATCGAAGCAGACAGGAGAGCAGGGCAGTGTTGAGTTGAGGTCGTCTCGTCTGAGGGTGAAGAAATGGCGTCCGGTTGGGGGATCACAGGGAATAAAGGCAGATGCTACGATTTCTGGATCGACTTTAGCGAGTGCATGTCTCGTTGCAGAGAGCCCAAGGACTGCACTTTCCTACGCGAGGACTACATGGAGTGCCTCCACCATTCCAAAGAGGTTGGTTTTCCTTTTACCCTAATTCCTTGCCCTCAATCCTTTCACTTCCTCTCCTCTACCCCTTGCCGTAGATTTGATTGTTCTGCGCGACCTGATTTGCCCGCCATGGCGCGGTCTGTGTGGGAACAGAAAGCCTCTTCCTTTGGCGATTTGGCGACTTTGATTTACTGCCTTCAGAAATTTTAGATTGCTGATGATGTCCTTGGAATCACGAAGGACCGCCCTAGATTCTATCAACCCGATTCAAGCCTTCATCTGTTGGCTCCTGCCCATCTCTTTCTGATTTTCGTGTTTTTGGGGCCTTCCTTATGTGGGTTGTTGTATATTGTGGATGTGGGCGTCTGAGTGGGATCCCGATAGCAAGTCCTAATAACCTTCCGAAATATCCTTATTTCGTTTGACGACATTGTTTACACTCTCTTGATGAACCGGACTGTGCTGCTAAACTATGTGGATGTCCAATGATGCTGCTTGGGGTAGTCTGTCAACTGGTTTCGTCTAATGAGCTCCATTAAGTTCTCAACATTCTTTTCTGATATGATCCTATTCTGAAGCTAATTTTCTATTTCTCCATTTATGATTAGTATTCACAAAGGAAGTTTATCAGTTTGTTTGTTTCCCTTACTTTACTGCTACGTGGACACATTCCATTTTATGCTCATACCCGCTTACCTTCCATACCCCTTTGATTTTGGTTCTGGTTTGCAATGGTTTCATGCATCAGTCATGAAGATTGGAGTAAGTGAATGCTACACTCTTAGGAAGGGAACTGCAAGGTGCTTGGTTCCTTTTTTCTCATAAGAAGGATCTAATTTGTTATTTGGTTTCATATATGTGTTTGTTTGAACATATATCATCTGCATATACTACATGAAGAAGGATCTAATTGGTTGTCTCTTTCTAGTAATAGTGTCGCATGCATATGCTACATGAGGTTAAATGACAGGACGTATATGGATAATTAGTGCAAAAATGGAAGAAATGAGCTTTGGCCTTTGATGTGCTTTCATGTTCCATCTCTTAAATGCATGCTTCATGCTGCCCCTTGCCTAGTCTCAAAGGCTCACTGGCTCCAAACTGAATTTGTATACCTTACTTCTTCCACTAACTTTGCATTCAACTACAGTATCATCATCACCTCCCTGTAATCTTCTTTGTTTAAGGGTGTAAGCTTTGCTGTTGTCTCTCCACTAGGACACCCAACTATCTATGTGCAATGTTGTAACATTTCACGCAGCAATATGTTCCGTGAAGCTGTGGATGACGGAGTAATTAATGAAGTTAAAAACCCCTGGCAATTAGCGCAAGTTACTAGGCCATACATTGTTGTCTTGTTCTGTTGATCACAAATTCACAATATAGAGTTCTTCATCTTTATACTATCATCTCACTTTGAATCTATGCCTATATTCTAGCATAATGACATCGTTTGTGGATCACACAGGGCTAGGTTAGTCTGTTGGATTTTTACCAATCTGTGGTTGATAGCAACAGCAAAAATGTAGAAGTGGGTATAGCTGCCGATGTTGCAGCAATAGGACTCTGGCAGGATGAATGTAGTTATGTTGCCATTTTATAGTCGGTTCCTTCCTAGCACAATGCCCAACTTTATGTTTCAATGTGAATTATGTTTGGTGAAGGTGTTGATGACCAAGTAACTAATGAGGTTAAAACCCCACTGGCAATTAGCGCAAGTTACTATGACCAACATCGTCGTCTTGGTTTGTTGATCGCAATATAGAGTTTTTTCATCTTTATACTATAATCCTATATATATTCAAGTATAATAATGTGATTTGAGGATCACTTGTAGCTAGGTTGTCTGTTGGAGTTTTATCGATCTATTGTCGATAGCAACAGAAAAAGTTTAGAAGTGGGCATAGCTGCCAGTGTTGCAGCAATATAACTCTGGCAGGAAGTAGTTATGCTGGCATTTTGTAGTTGGTTCCTTCCTAGCATGATGTGTATCTAATTCCATGTGTATGCTGATGGCTGCAGTTCCAGCGGAGGAACCGGATTTACAAAGAGGAGCAGCGAAAAATACGAGCTGCTGCCAGAGAAGCTAAGGAGGGTGGTGGTGGTGAAAAGCATAGCCTCCACGCGTAGCGTTTCTTGATTGTTTTCTGATAACTTTTGGCAAATAAAGAATGTGAAACGAGATGTTGGTGGTATTGTTGTTCTATTGCGGCACACTCGAGCTTGTTCCTGCGAACTGGTTTTTGATGTTATACTGAATGGAGAGCTGCGAGGATGCTTTGCTTTCTTTAATATCGTGCAATAATGTTGTGGATTATTACTTTGGGAAATTGATGTTGAAGGAACCACAGACGTTGAAGGTAGATGTTGGAATTGGAATTCTTCTTCATTGTCAAATTAACGACCTTTAGTAGCCCTGTTGTTTACATTGTGTGGAGGTGGTTATGATCAAATTTTCAGTTAGTTGCCAAGGTTTCAGACAACAACTCGGTAATTGTGAAGGCTGCTGCTACCAGCAGGATCATCAGGCATGCAGCTGATGAATCATGGGTTAACGTAATCTCACGCACTGATTTGAAGGTTAATTTGAAGCACAGGTGACGCTTACTATATAACAGGGCACAAATAGGCATTCATTCATAGGTGTTAAAGAGGGGCAGTACAACAGCCTTGCTGCAATGGGAGACCGGATGAACATACATTTAGAGACGAGACTGTGAGATATATAGAGAGAGAGAGAGAGATCAGATAAACCAACTCTCCTCTCCTCTCCTCTCCAATCCTTATTTTTAATACAGAGACACAAATGAGGATATATTATGGCGTATCAGGCAGGCATGGCATGGCGTTGTGTGGCGATCGATGATAAAACGCAGCAGCAGCTGGTGGTGGAGTGGATGGGTCAATGCTTGTGCTTAGGCTTCTTGATGATCATCACAGTGCAGTGAGCATGATGAGCACAGTAGTCGCTCACGCTGCCTAAAACCGCCCTGCAATGGCGACAGATAATGAAAGACATGATTAGAAGGTGATCAAAGAGGGTTGGTTCCAAAAGGCAGACTGTCCAAGCCAATACCTTTTGATAGCTCCATAACCATGACTGCCCACAACCAGTACTGAAGCGCCATGCTTCTCCACAGCTTCACAAAGAACGTTTCTCGCATCGCCTTCCACTACTTCGAATACTGCTTCTTTCACCTGCAAAAAAGAAACTACGCTTCAATTCAAGGCCAGACGAGAGAGAGAGAGAGAGAGAGAGAGAGGGTGAAGGTACCGATTTGTGATCGTTGCAGATTTGCTTGGCCTTGTCCACAACTCGGGCGGCGATCTTCTTCAAATCGGAATCCACGTACGGCAGCACTTCGGCGGCGCCAGGGCCAGCGAGACCCACGACGGAGGTGGGGGTAGGCTTGGCGTGGACGAGGACGAGGTTGAAAAGGGAGGCGTCGGCGGGGAGGGGAGTGAAGAAATGATCCAGAGTCCACTGCAGAGCGTAGACGCTGTGCTCGCTGTCGTCGATCCCAACCACCATCACTTGCTTCTCCGCCATCGCCCTTCAACTAGCTGTCTTCTGTTGCGGTTGCGGTTGCGGCTGCCTGCGCTGCTCCTATTCGTTTAGTGTTGAAATTTTCTTCTCTATATAACAAAGGAGAGGAAGCCAATAGATAAGAAGACTGATCAATTTTGGACTTTTTATTGCGTACGCTACACGTACCAAAGGAGAGAGAGGCGAGAAGAGAAGACGGTAGTTGCAGGCAGAACCAGATCCTTCGATTCGTAAACGATCGAGCCGTCACTCTCTCGCCACTTGCCGCCATCAAATAGCTTCTTCTTTATCTCTGTGGATTCTGATATATCTTCCTGGGGGCGTGTTTGCATCACTGAAGCATAAAATATCTCGGGGATGTAAATATTGCATTCACAGCCTGAAATTGAGCTCTTGCTCATGACAATAACTTATTATGGTCCAACTATCTTCCATAAAGGGCCTGAAACGTTGTCGTTCCTATCGTGCCGTCGGTGAAACAAGGTGTTTTGCACCATAGCTCCACCCACGGTAGCATAGTCAACTGCTGCTAGTTAGTGTGCATAACACCTTAAATATTGCTTTCATACGCGACCTTCGTCTGGCTATCAGATTGGGGATGATAAGCCGAGCTCATGTCGATGTAAGTGTTATCCATAGCAAACAACTCCCACCAAAACTGCACCAAGCACAACGGAGGTCGGAATTCCGTGGTGTTTGACAACCCATGCACTAACTTTGTCAGTTCGTTAGAGAACTCGTGGCCTGTTTTGATTTCAACACGTTTCCTTGAAAGCTTATGAACTAATATCCAACTCACTTAGCATAATTGACAACGGGTAGGCATAACAATTGTATGCACACCATGATAACATTCGACACATCCTGTCGTCGGTTCACCCTGTAAATTGCGAAGTTCAGTCACAATACACATGGCCACCTGTTTAAGATTTTATGCTCTGATATCTAGCTCATCTTTACGTGGATGCAGACTGGAAATTTCCAAGCTGCTGTGCACTTGGAAGAGCTTAGAATCGTGCTAAACCAAAGGTATATTACTTTTCTTTGGCGTGAAAGTTGATCACTTGTTGGAGAATATAAGGAGATTCCAACATTGTGTTTTGCATTAATCAAAACTCAACAAACAAAATAAAAGGAGATACATGTGGATTTAATAACAGAGTATACTAAATCAACCAGTTTCATACATATCTCTAATCAATTTGCCTCACACCTAAGATACGATCAAGGGATTTCTGTCCTTGTACATGTGATATCTCTTGCACAGTTTCTCAAGAGTTGCAACCGAATGCTGCATCGCGTTCAGTTTCGAGTCCATAAACATCTTCTGGAAAAGCAAAACAAAGGAGTGAGTTCTAGAGGGTTGGGGGCAAACACAGAAAGTAACGCATTAACAGGAGAGGTTATTAACCGACCTGGTAATCGTCTCCATATTTCTCAACTAGCCGACCAATATGATATCTTTGCATGCTGGTCAAAGGCTGCAAAGGGGCGCCTTTCCCATCTCTCCTTTGCTTCCCAAGAGCCGATTTCAGATCTGCATGACCAAGCAAACCATGGATTTACATCTCATACAAGAGGCCAGAACGCACTGTGCGATTGTACCTAGCAGAGAATGAATGTAAAGAAATACAACAAAAAAGCATCATGCTGACAAGAATCTACAAATGTCCCCAAAGAGCTGACTGCCATGATGTCTTCTTGCAAATCTAACCACAAACAGCAGACCGTTTCTAATTGTGATGGTTTCTTACTCTCACAGCCATAAGCTAGAATGCAGAGGACCAGTTGAAGATTGCCCATGAACACAGAGCACTCTCATTGGCAGTATTTCGAATGATCAAGATCTCTGAATCCAAATGGTTCCTGGATCAGGTACTTGCTAAAACATGAGCATATATAAGTTGTGACTTTTGGAGCAAAGATGCATACCGGAGAAACTGAAACTGTTCATTTCAAGGTAAATGAACTTGTATTATGAAAGAAAAACAAAGGTAGCATATTCAGTAACCTTGGGCAGTGCTCTCTTCCATGGACCAAAATGGCAGTGTTTGTAAAACCATACCGGCTATCTGATAGGGAAAACCTACTACTGGAGCATAAATCGGTCGGTGGTGTTTAGCGGTATGAAAAGATTGAGTTCAGGTAGAACTTCCGGCAAAGGTTTCACAATCCTTGCAAAATGCAAGCCCATTCTAGATGACGATTACCGAATCCAAACATGGTAAAACAGCAATGCAGCGTATGGGAACAAAACGAAGCCCCAGTTAGCCCTAATCTAAGCTTGAATTTAGCTGAGCTAACAATGGAGCCAACAGAGGAACAAACAACAAATATGGATTCGACCAAGCGAAATAACGAAAGGTATACTTACCATCTTCTTCAAGGTCGCTGCCAGAGTCCAAGGGCTCGAACTCGTCAAGAGGAGCGTCGCGTTGAGCGGGAGGTGCTTGAAGCGATTGCGCCTCTAGGATATGAGCAGTGCGGGACCGGACGCTAAGCAGGTTAGGGTTGGAAACAACGCCGAAGGACTTGTAGTTCTTGATGACGCTGGCCTTGTCGTCCCACTTGAAGTTGTAGTCGTCGCCGGCGGCGGCGGCAAGAGAGCGGAGCTTTGGAGGGAGGCTGAAAGCGGGCTTGAACAAGTTGGGATTCTTCTTCGGAAGTCCGACGCGCACCTTCTGCCGAGACCTCTTCAGTTTTCTCCTCGATCCTCCCATCTTCGACTGCTCTTCGGTTCAGTGACACAGCGGAGATGGTACGCTAGGCCGGGAGATGGCGGGGATGCGACGAGGATGGCCGCAGCCGAAGGGTTTTAGCAGGCCGCGTTGTGAATCGTGACTCAGAGTAGGTCAGCAGGGCAGAGAAGAACACAATAAGCGAGCATGTATCGGAGTAAGCCTGGCCAAAAAGCCCACACTAAATCTATATAAAGCCCAATAAATGTGAAACATGGTTATCGACAAATACAACACATAATGGGCCTTTGATGACTATAGCAAGTTGTCAAGCTATGGGTTGACCCGGGCTGAAGATCAGGTGACTAGGGGGTCCCCTTAGTCACATGACGGGTATAGTTGTACCTTATTAAAATTTAAGGGCTCCTATTAATTCAATTTAATGAAGGGCAGTATAATAATTGCATGTTTATTTTTAACTTTTAATTATAAAAAAAATTAACCCAACCCATTTCCGTCCCCGACCCTTTGCGTCGAATCGCCTCTCATCCGCCTCTGATCATGTGCGCCATTATTTTAAGGGTTCCTGTTGTGCGCCATTTATTACCTGCTGTGCGCCATTTATTATTCCAGAGAGAGAGATGTCCCTCCCGCCGTCGGTCCGTTTTTGGGAAAATTCCCGCCGGCCACCATTTTTGGTGTGGCAGAGAGAGAGATTTTCTGGTCGGGAAATTTTTTTCCGGCGACCATCATCGATGGAGAAAATTTTTCCGGCGACGATGCTTTGTGATGTTTGTTGACATATTTTGTAATGTTTGTACGCTTTGTTATTTTGTAATATTTGTAAACTTTGTTATTTTTGTGCACCATGTTTGTAATGTTTTTTATGTCTAAAAAACAACCTGGTTGACTTTTGGATGGAACTTTTCTATATAGGGATAGAGCCTCAAAAGTCAACCCGGGTGTTTTTTCCAGTTCGTATGGATTGTCGGTCTAGTTTGTCATTTTTGTCCACAATGTTCGTACTGCTTGTATGTCTAAAAAACACCCGGGTTGACTTTGGGAAGGAGCCCCTCTATATAGGGATGGAGCCTCCAAAGTCAACCCGGTTGTTTTTTTCTTTTTGTATGGTTTGTATTGTTTGTACAGTTCATACGTTTGTAATATTTGTAATTCTGTTTGTATGTTTTGTCGCTCTAGTTTGTACTGTTCGTATGTTTGTATGGTTTGTACTGATTGTAAATTCGGTTTGTATACTTCGTAATTTTCCATAATACCCAAACTACCCCTGTCATTAATTAAATAGCCATTCCCACTTTTTAACCATTGGATTAAAGTGTCCAGATCTAATGGCTAGGAGGGGCTTAGTCAAGTGACTAAGGACCCCCCTTAGTCATGGGATCCGCTCTCGGTTGACCCCAACGGCTGAAGAATAAAACAGCGGGTTAACCTGTCACAAGTTCTCCGACTGAAGTTCATATGGCGGCGTTTTTTCTTTTTCGATTTTTTCCGTCGTAGGATGGCAATGGGTAGAGTCGGGTGCGTGTTCACTCTATATCAATTCCTAACCAACCGGGTTGAGCCCTCTAAATACCCAACCAAATAACTACCTCATATAGAAATGCTATAACCATACCCTACCTACCGGGTAACCAAGGGTATTTGAGTAATCAAGGGTAGAAATGCTATAACCATACTCCACCTTTTATATGTAATCTCACTTATAATATATACCATACCATATCTAATGGGTAAATGCCATATTTGGTCATTGAAATTATTAACTTATGTTACTAGAAAAAATTAATATAAATTTTAGTCACTATTACTAAAACAGTCAATTTAATTTCGAATTACTGTCAAATACTTAAGTGAACATGACAGCTAATTATGCAAAGAACTCAATTGGGTTAGTTTGTGTGGGGCAAATAGTTGGGGTCGTTTGGATTGAGTATTTGGGGTCAAATAATAGATTTTGTGTTATTTGACCCCAAATAACATGTTTGGGTGACAAAAAGTGGGATGCGTTATTTGGATGTAAGTGTTTTGCCAAATAACAGGTTTGAGACCAAATAACACAAAAAGTGTTGTTTGCCAAATACTTGAGAGGGGGCAGGTATTTGTCAAATAACAAGTTTGAGATCAAATATCACATACCAAATAATAGGTTTTATATTATGTGGTATTTGTGTGGTAATTGACCCCAAACAACAAGTTTGTCAATTACTCAATCCAAACGACCCTTTGATTTGTTTCTCCTGCTAAAACCCTAAAGCGAACCCTAGTCTTGTCATCCTTCGCATCTCTGCCCTTCTGATAGCCAACTTCACCGCGGAAATGGAAGAGGTGGCTGAGATGGAAGTTGAAGAAGAACGTCTGAGGTCCGCTCCAGCGGATTCCGCCAAGAGATTTGGACTCAGGAACTCCATCCAGACCAATTTCGGCGACGATTACGTCTTCCAAATTGTCCCAAAGTAACCTTACTTATTCCCTACCATACCGAGTTCTCCAACCTTTCCTGCTCGCGCTTCAGTCTTCTGCTACTTGATGCTGCTACTCTATGTAAAAAATTTGACTTTTTGTTGGTTTGAAGGGAGGATTGGACTTCAATGGCGGTTTCGCTGTCCACAAATGCGATTAAGCTTTACTCTCCCGTTACGGCTCAGTACCAGGGTGAATGCAGGGGACATTCGGGCTCCATCAACGATATTTCTTTCTCTGTTTCTTCGACCCCGCACGTCTTGCACTCGTGCTCTTCTGATGGCACTATAAGAGCTTGGGATACTAGAACTTTCCAGCAGGTCAGTTTCATCTGTTTACCTTCCTTTCCCGCCCCTAATTTATCCTGTTACTGAACTTTTGCTTGATTGGATTTCTTTGCACCGAAGGTTTCTTGCATAACTGCCGGCCCCTCTCAGGAGGTCTTCAGCTTTTCATTCGGAGGATCCAATGATAATCTTCTCGCTGCCGGTTGTAAATCACAGGTTTGGAGACAGTTTACGTGTCCCCATTTGATTACTCTTTATGCTTCTTACTTCCAGCCCCCTTAGCCTTATGGAGGAGGTGCATTTTGGAAGAATGAATGGTCTGAAGTCCTGGGATATGATTGGTTTAACTGCAAATATGCCTGTTGTTGATCGGTCGTTGTGAATTTGCATTCTGGGTTCAGATACTCTTCTGGGATTGGAGGAATAAGCGGCAAGTTGCATGCTTGGAGGATTCTCATGTGGACGATGTTACTCAGGTTTTCAATCTAATAGAATTTATTTTTGGATTGATTATTCCATCAGTTTGTGCGAGTTAATATGTTTATTCAATATTGTTGTAATGTGACCGTATCATGTGTTGTGCCATCTGCTGCCAGATGTTCTGTTCATTACTTGTGTAGCAACGTTGAATTCTAGATTGTTTCTGAGCTTTTCCAACTCTGGCCATCGTATTGTGGGAACTTCAGGTGCTAATCTAAATAGTCATATTGGCCTCAACTTTATTGACAATTTGTTCTAGTTACTGCAATGAAATAGTAGCAGTTATAGTACGACTGCCCTATAAGTAACTTTGCCTTGCAAATTATGGTGGGGGTTTTCCTTTTCCCTTATGGTTACACTTATAGTATAAAGTACATACGCTGCCTCTAATGGCACTTCACCATCTGTTGCCTCACAAGTTAACTTCTCTGCAGATCCAGGCTTGAGTAGAGAAATTCATGTGTTTGGGAATAGGCACATTGGTTTATTACCATCTTTGGCTGATAGCTTTGCAATTTTCTGAAATTTGTTTCTGGCTTCCTAGTGAAGAAGTAAAATTCTATGGGTCGTTAATATTCTTTGATTCATATGACCTGATGGGTGTAAATCTTACTTAACTTTTGATAGGTCCATTTTATCCCTGGCCGCCAAGACAAGCTTGTTTCTGCATCTGTCGATGGGTTGATGTGTATTTTTAATACTGGTGGGAGTATCAATGATGAAGATGAACTTGAATCAGTAAGGACCTGGAGTTGGCATGCCTGTCATAGATTTCCACCTATTATTTGTTGTGATTTTGCTTGTTTTGGTGTATCAATCGATGTCTCAGTTGTTAAAACATTCTAGGTGCTTAATGTGGAAACATCGATTGGGAAAGTGGGTTTCTTTGGAGACAAGTTTCAGAAAATTTGGTGTTTGACGCATATTGAAAGCCTGAGGTACTGTATCTGTACTCTTGAAACAAAGGCGGTGTTTTGGTTGATCGTCATATCTTCACTACAGTCATTTAACCTTGTACTTGGCCCAGATAGAACTTGCTATTCATCTCTCCTATTGCTAATTAGTTGTTAATTTTTTATCTTTTCCTTGCCTTTGATAATTTGGGCAATATTTTCCTCATTACTCTGCATTTCAGTGTATGGGACTGGGAGGAAGGGAGATGTGAAACAAACTTGCTTGAAGCCCGGGGGTTGGCTTCTGATAGTTGGTCGTTGGATAATGTGAGCTTTCCTTGTCATTGCGTACTAGGGTTTGCAAGCATTTGCAGATGTCTAACTTAATCTCTTATGTGAGGAGATGAGGGAGAGCAGTTTCTTTTACTATTAAGCATTAAATGTCTGGTGGCATGAATTCATGATCCTACTGCAACCTGGTTCTCCATTTGTGTTGGTGTTGACAGGTTGATTACTTGGTGGACTGCCATTACCCCGGAGAAGGTGAAAAGCTGTGGGTCATCGGTGGCACCAAGGCCGGTACTTTAGGGTATTTCGGCGTAGATTACAGAGGAGGATCAATCAGTAGCCCCGAAGCAATCCTCGGTGGCGGGCATACAGACGTTGTGAGATGTGTGTTGCCGATGTCGGGCAGTCGTAGGGATGGTGGTCCTCTCCCCAGCAGCACAACAAGTGTTTTTGGATGGACTGGAGGTGAGGATGGCCGCTTGTGCTGCTGGCTGTCTTATGAGTCCACTGAGATTGATCGCTCCTGGACATCATCTGCATTGGCTATCAAGCAACCCAACACCCGCAAGAAGAACAGGCATCATCCGTACTAGCAACATGCGCCTCTCCAGTCCTTATATCTTCTCTCTTGTTGTAACGTTCTGTTCATTGAAATTTCAATGTTGTAATCAGAAGAAAGGCGTGGTTTTTGGTACACTTTTTGTTTACCATCTCCAACCATTCTCTCACTATGTTATTTATTTACAAGTTTAAAAGCCTTTTCAAAGTTGAAAGATGGGAAAATCAAACGATCGTGCATTTTACTATGCCCATTAACTGCCCCTGAATTTAACATATAAGTCAACACAATGCTGTATAATTTGATATATATAAGTTGTTCTACCAACAACTTTCTCATTCATTTCATTTCAATTGGTGCACTCATCATTTGTTTGGCAGGTGCTATATTTAACACGCTTTCCGAACTCAGACTCAGGGAGGACGACAATACCATTTAACAAACCGAGTTTTTGTTCTTTATGATTCCACAAGCAAATTTTCCATACTTACCTCCTCTACAACGTCAAATATTGTTTAGTGGAGCACAAAGTTAATGCCCCACAAAGATCACAGCTAACTCAAAAAAGAGCTGTAACCTCAACAAACAGGACGTCATTTCAATTGGGAAGTTCGGGAAAATAAAATTTGCTATGTGAAAAAACAATCTGTTGCGTGCTTAGAAATATAATAATCAGTAAACAGAGAGCTTCTTCTTTGCCATGCATCTCTCCCTGCTCACCTGCACTGCTTTCTCCTTCATCCGAGCAAGCTCCTGAAACCAACACCGATACTGTGCCTCAATAGCTTCAATTTCCTCCTTCATCTCTTCCTCAGGATCTGTATCAAGCAAGGCCGCAGAGGAATGATTGCTAGCCAAGATCACCATGTCGTCGGACGAGGGTGTACTCAACTGGGGAAATGACAAATCCGCATTCACCACGGATTGATCAATAATAGTGGTGGATTCAATACTGTTGCCTGTTATTTTTCTAGATTGAGAGGCAAAATATGGATCCATGAGCTCCAACTGGGAACCACGCCCAGCTAAGCCTTGGGAACATCCTCCGTCAGTCTCGTAGCCACGGTGTCCAAATGTTTCCTTGTCATTCAAGTAAGCATCTTCAATAATTGATTCTGAGACAACTGATCCGTGTGATGAAGAGCCTTGATCGTCCATGTGAGCCAAACTTGGAGAAGAGTTGTAGTCGAATTGTAGTTGTGAGAACCCATCTTCAAGGTGAGAATATTGATTTCCCACACTTAACCTGGAGACCAAATCTTGCTCCATATTGGCCGATTCTTCGGGGGGAGGACTCTTAGTAACCATAGAATCATTCCAAGAAGACGAGTTTCTACTATTTAGTTGAACTGGGGACTCGACCAAACAGCTAAACGCACCACTTGAGGAACAAGCGGACGAGGGCTTCCAGCCAGGATGAAGCGTCATCATCAAGTAATCAATAAACTCAGCTATGAAGGCCACATCATGTTCTGCCAGCTCCAGCTGTTCAACCATCTCAGCTGCTACAGCTACTGCAGTATCACTATCGAGATAGAACAGAAAATGAATATTCTTCACTTGGCCTGCGGAGAAAGGAAAAGCGATTTTGAATTATATGTGTTGAAGAAAAAAGAAATCAGGAACGATCAAAGAGACCAACTTTTTTGACACAAACATTTACAACACATACCAGAAGAGTCAGCAATACGCAAGCTCAATGAAACCGAGTTGTCTTCATTTTTCATCCCTTTCAATCTAAACTCATTGTTCCTATGCACCCTTATAAGCTCAATAGTTGGCAACCTAGGACTTCCAAGGTTGCTCTCTGTACACGAACTGAAAGAAAGCTTGCTGGAATTACTAACCAATTCCATGGAGAATGTACCAGATTTAGGAGGTACGGTGATGGGGTTTACAACACAATGTTTAGGCAAGGGCAAGGGGTCACGAGCTGCTGACAGTGAATTCTCAGGATGAAGGAATGGATCTCTTAGAAGTTCTATTGCTGACAAACGGACAGATGCAGGAAGCAGACATTTCTCAATAAACTTCTTCATTTGTGGATCGCTAACCTTACTAAGTGAAGCAGGTTTGATTCCCTGTTCAGGAAAGAACAAGAATAACACTTTCAGTCTGAATTACGATCAAGTTATAAGAATAAGAATCCACAAAATGCTGTAGGGTCAATCGTGAAACTTACGGAAGTAACCTTCTTATAGATTTGAGCTGGATTTTTGCATTCACTATAAGGGTATTCGAAAGTAACCATCTCTAACATGCACATCCCAAAGGAATACACATCTACTAGCTCATTGTATTGCTCCTCGTAAAGTTCTGGAGCCATAAATTCTGGAGTTCCTGTATCAACAACAAAAACATCAAATACTATTATTAAGTTCCTTCCTCCAATGAAGTTCTGTTTCAAACCACAGAAAAATGAAGGATGGAAGTAGCCCATCACCAATGACACTTTTAGCAGTAGGCTGCTGCATGACAATGGCCAATCCTAGGTCTCCTATCTTGACTTCTCCATGATTGCCATTAACAAAAATGTTGTCACACTTTAAATCCCTATGAATTACAGGAGGGTTATGACTGTGGAGGTAGACTAGGCCACTGAGAATTTGCCGCGCCCAGCACTTGACTGCCTTCATATCAACATTTTTATGCTTTGTTCGATACCTGGCAAAACCAAAGAGGAAAATATATATAAAAATTCCTCAAGGTTCGCTAGCAAAACCACTAGGAAAAGGTAATAGGTGGGCCAACCAAAAAATTCACCTAAATCCACTTGGTTAGAACCATCTAATTTGAGTTTGGGAGGATACGGATAGGCAACCCGTCATACTCAGGCGGGTTCTTGATATAATGTATACCTAACCGCTATATAATCAATTTTATCCCAAGCTGTGAAACGTGATTGATTCAATCAATTAGAATTAGGCTTTACAACATTATTTGACATACATCATAAGTCATACATTTCATGATTCTTAATTATTTCATTGTTTGAAGGTTTTTCAATTCTATGTTAATATACATTATACACCCAACCCACATATTAGTATACACTTGGGTGAGTGTGTGTCATCTACTCCAGGGAGGGTGAATTTCAGGGTAAAGACTATTCAATCCATCCATTGCCAATTTCTAAACAAGAAAAATGGGACAAGAAAGCTAGAACAAGTAAAGCGTGAGGGAGTTCTTACTGTCTCAAATTCCCAGATGTAAAGAGCTCGGTAATCATGTTGATAGTTTTCTTCTTCTCGTCCACCCAAGAATCGTACAATGAAATGATGCTTTCGTGCTTCAATGATCTCAATAAATGTACCTCTGAGTACAGTTTCTGCAGATCCTCTTCTGACCGCATTACATCATCAATCTTTACCCGGTTCCATGCCACTTCTATACCATCTACTTCATCAAAAGCCTTGTACCTGTAGACCAAACATAAACACAAAAAACAAATCAAAATTACATTCTTGCATACAAAGCTACATTTGACTGGATTATCCACATGATTTCTTTTCCAGAAATGAAATATAAAACAAAGCTAAAGTATGAGGACAGTACACTGTTTTAAAAGCACCCTTGCCCAAAACCTCGTCATACTGCGACCAATCAAAAGAATCATAGTTCACCATTAGACATCGCCCAATTCGCAAATTGAAAGAAGTAAGTGCCAAAAAGCAACATGAAGAGTGAAAGTTGGGACTTACACGAACATATCTACCAGAAGGATCCTTCTCTACAAAATCAGCCTCTCGGGGCCGGTCTATTGCGGGATAATAAGTAGCATCATTATGACTAGAAGAAGAAGAGGAAGAAGGAGAAGCCAATACCAATCCATAGCCACCAACGCCGCCACCAATGCAGCCGCCTCGGCCAGCAACCATATCCGCTCTCATTCTTGCTGCCGTAGAAACCACCCCAAAACAAGAAAATAACACCACGGAAATGAATACGCACCACTTATAACAGTGAACAGAGGACTCTAATGGGGACAATAATCTCACGAATCTCCTGCTTGCGCGCATCTAAAACTTGGGAGTTCTTTTATTATTATTTTTTCCAACGAAAAATGAATATGAAATCAATCGACGGCGGCAGGAGTATCGAGGCGATGAATAGCTCGACGGGGGAAGAGCAATTCACGAGCCTCGACGACGGCGGTCTCCTCCAACATTCCACGCCGGGTGCATTAGAGGAGCCCCTTCCCCATTGCCGCCGCCGTCGCCGAACCCTACTTCTAATTCACGGAACAGGAAAATCTGAAGAAACAAGGGGACAACACTATTGGAAATTCAGACGAGGATTGGGCATCGGAGGAAGCGAAGAGGCGGTGGATGTTGGCCGGGGCGGTGGGTTTTGGCCGGCGGGAGGGTAGCTATGGAGGGTACGGGAAGGAGAAACTTTAGGGATTGGAATTGGAATAAAAAGGAATTGGGCTTTCAATTGAGTTATGTTTCTGGTTTGACTTGAAATGGGAGGTCGGCCGAAGAGGTGGTGGCAACGAACAACTGTGTGGCCAGATTTTTGTGGAACATGACAAAGTAGGAAAAGATTCTACCAACAATAGAAAAATTCTGGTATACAACACTAAAAATACTAATTGTAACAAAATTGTTATTTACAGATTATATTTTTAATAAAGACAAAATATTTTAATCTATTGAAACCAATATTATTTTTGTTTCAAGGGTTTTTGTTAATGTTATAGTTAACCCTTAATTTACAAGTGGTTAATCTATACTTGACCATTAAGTATGTGACGCTTATTTGTTGCTCATGTATGTAACATATGTGAAGTTATTGTTAAAAAATTTAATAGAATTTTATAACTAAACAAAAACAAATTTTGAAAAAAATGGGGGAAGAAAGATAAAAGAATATGAATCCACCCACTTCTTCCCTCATTCATCTTTTCGTCTTGCCCAGCGCTCGCCTCAATAAACAACTTCTTTACGAACAATTGTTGGATCCAAACAAAGCAAAGGAGGAGTTTCTAGATATATCCAGAGCTCATCGGATTTAAGGACGGTAACGTACATCAATATCTCCGCCAAGGATTGTGTGATATAGTCTGGGACGTGGCACAATAGGGAATTGCTTCCAGCTGCGTCGGAGCGAGTCTTTGCCTTTGTTGTCACCGCTTCCACCAACGATAGAGATAGAGCGAAGGAAGGGAGAGTTTGGTGAGAACAAGGTGAAGGAGCCAACAATTAGTTGCAAAGGTGGTTGCGAAGTATATAATGGATCTCTCTCCAGTCTTCACTTCCCTCCATACTTTGGGTCTTTATCTCTCTGGTTTTTTTATTGAGAGATACTTGCTCTTTCTTTCCGCAATACAATTCTCTCAACTTCTTGATGATTGTATCACCTGCTCCTCTGGCGCCATGTCTTCAAATGTGTGGTTTACTGAAAGTTTGATGAGAGGCTGATGAAGCTTAAATCATGGTTATATGTGCAAATGATTGATCAAAAATTCAATGACGACCTTAGACTCTAATGAACGATGATGACGGACTTGCGATCACAATAACTCTGTCAGAGTAGATATGGAAGAAAAAATCTGCATTGCATCCCGGTTTGACTTAAGTGAAGATAGATCCCTCCAATTTTCTCTCAAGTCAAACCTTGATTGTTATCCTTTACATTGACGTATCAACATATTAATGATTCTAGGGCTAGAGATAGGGAGGAGATATCTAAAGCACAGTCGACGGTTATGCCCTATTCGTTAAAGATTCCAGAAACACATCTTGCCACTAATTCCAAAATTTGCAGGTTCTGTTCAAGAGCTTGGAATTCTGAAGGGATACGACAAGCGTAAAATATTTCGACTAAAGATGGAACATGAGCAAGCAAAGCAATAAGATCAGTCATTGTTTGAGTGATCGACATCATAATAAATGCAAGAAGAGAGTGATGGGTCGTCGTCGAACTACTTGATAGTAAAAATGTTATTTTTTTAGTGTAAATAATATAGCTAGGCTAGATAGGAAGAGGGAAGTATTGTTGCGACTGAAGTACGGATTGATATGATGATCATAGTGGTTGGTTAGGCTTTGTTTTTATTTTTTTTAATGGATATTTTGGTTTTTTATATGTTTTTTAAATTTCATTTCAAAATAACTTGGCAATCATTAAGTTGATTTTAACTGTCATATTAATGCTTACTATAATTTATATTAAATATTCAAAACCACTTAACCAAAAGGAAAGTTCAGTACACATTTGTCATATAAAAAACATGTTATAAATCTAATTGTTGTTTTTAGTGGTATTATCCCTCGTGTAATCATTATGTTATGATTTTTTTTCTCAAAATGCAAGGGTTGAAAAAAAAATATTATCACTATACATAACTTATACAAAAAGATTCCAAAACATAGCTTCCTATTAAAGCCCGTGCTGCGATCCAAAAATGTATTGGCGAATGAGCCGGTAAGCACTAGATCGCTATTAGTTATAAGATTCAAATATAATTTGGTAGGTACGAAGGCTACTAAGGTCATATTCCCATATGGCTATTCATCTCCCACTACTTTGAAGTGAGAGCTAGGTTCTTCCAGATAATCCTTTTGAGGTTGAGGTTACTCGATTTTGCAAATCAGTTGAAAACAAAGTAAAACACTGATATTTGAAAAGCAATAAAGTAAAATGCAATATGAAAACACTTTGATCATACAGTCAAGGCGTTGAATAAGTAATGTTTCCCCTAGAGTTTCCATATTGTTATGCAACTTCAATCAAACACGTTCATTAAGTTTTAACTTTCTATCTCGCCCAATTAATTTATATATTCATATCTTATAAAATTTTCCTACAAGAGAAGGGTTATGTGGTCTTGGAACAACATGCAAGTTATATTATAGATTGTTGTCATGGACTCACAGTTATCCTTTACAATCGACATACTAGGCATGTATTGGCATTGGTGATCTCACAACATATGAAAAGTTGTTTCCAATCAATCTCATATGAACCACAAATAAGTAATATATTTAATACCAATAAACGATAAGGATATTGAACAACTCAATCACGCTGGTACATCATTAAACCATCATAAAAAAACAACCTTTGGGACCTTTAGGGTTCACAAACCTAAAAAATAGAAGATTCTAGCCACACATATTTGAAGGAATAAATATTAAATAGAGACATTATATTGAAGATTTGACTTATATTCAATAACAATGGAGGTGTGCATTCTCCATCAATGATGGAGAAAGTCTTCGTTATTGGAACTCCTGGAGCTAAACCTTCTACTTCTCCACAACAACCTGGTCCCCACTTACAATCATCACATGAGGATCCCTACTATACAATGTATATATTGATTAGTAGGATCAACATGTTGGAGGATAGGTTGGGACAATGTGTGGTTATAAGCAGGGTTGGCCAATTAGTTGTCGGTTAGCGGGTGACCGATCGTTATAACTGAAAATCGTCGGTTACCGGCTAACTGAAAATCGAAGGAATTATCACCTCGGTCAGTCTCCGGAAGGGGATCCAGAGGCTTTGGTTAGCCGAGTAACTGGAGGTGATTAATCGCGGTTACCCAGCTACCAACGCTCACCGAAAATCGCCCCCCTCCCCAAAACGTCAGAAAACTCTTCACCTCCAAAATTACCAAACCCTAATTTGACTTTGACCCTTCCCTCCCCGATTTCGTGCCGTGCCTCGCCTCCGTCTCCTCGTCGTTTGCCTGCGCACCTCCTCCACCTCTTCCTCTGATGTCCTCATCATCATCGAGCAGCAGAGCAGGGTGCCTTCGTCCTTCCTCTTCCCAATGCCTTTGCCTCCACCCAATTCCCGTACACATTTTCCCTTCGCGCCTCGGTGGCCATCATTGTCGTCGGCAACAGAGAACGTCTTAGTCCTTCCTCTTCCTCCTCCGACCTCCGCCTCCCTCTCCCCCCCTCCCCCCCCCCCCCCCCCCCCCCCCCCCCCATCCAAGAACAGAGCAGGCGACAAACAGAAGTGTAACAGTGCCGCCTCCGCCTCCTTCCCATCTTTCCTCTTTCCCGCTCGCCGCCACTTCGTCCGGTCGTCCATTGCTGGTCGTCCTTCCTCTTTCGCGCCGACTCCACCAATCACCATCATTTTCTCGGTTACACGGCTAACCGTGACTAACACCAAAAACCGGCCGATCGGTTATGCGGTTAATCGAAGGTCATGGTCGGTCGGTGCTCGGATGTCAATTCCTTGTCATTTGGCTAATCGAAAACTGACACTTCTGTTATTGGTTAGAGTGAAACCGATCGAAATCCAGCCCTAGTTACAAACCATTAGAGATTTGACTACTTGGATGAAATTGTTTAGTGTACCATTCAACGTTTTGAGATTCTTGAGGCCGGTCAATTGAACTCATTAGCAATGGTGAAAAATATATCATCATACATGCAGGTGGTAACACAAATACCAAATTAAAAGGAGAGGGGTACATCTTCAAGAGATACCGAGCCTCTTCCAAGGAAATAGTCTCATGTTATAACCCATCGAGGAGGGAAAGAACCTTAAGCAACAAAGAATCTGGTGGAAACTTGAATTCTGCTAACAAGGTGTTGGTGAGCGAATTAAGTCATTAACTATAATATTTGAGAATCTGGGGAAACTCCAACATGACATGTGATTCCTCTATCTAAGAAAAATACTAAAAAATGATGAAGGAAAGCAACAACAACCATAAATTTCATTTATAGAAAAATTTTCTAAGGTGCCCAAGTATACAAAGTGAACCAAGGAACTCGTGTACGAAAAAAGATTGATGAAGCACCTTGATCTGAGCATGACATCTTTGACCCTCATTCACAAACAAATCTCAACAAAATGTATGGATCTTGGTCATTCCTTGCTCAATTATGGGTACAATCATCGAAAGAGCATTAGCCAATTTGGGAGCAAGTATAAATGTGATGTCTTACAAGTTATACAAGGAACTAGCCATAGGAGAACTAAGACCTACTGACATACCCATACAAATAGCCGATATATAGTTTGATTTAAGGACATAGTCGAGGATCTCATAGTGAGAGTGGAAAAGTTTGGGTTTTCCAGTTGATTTTGCAGTGTTGGATATTGATGAATAATGTAGCACTCCCTTATCCTAGAAAGGTTGTTCCTTTCCACATCAAGAACAACAACCGATGTATCGGGACAAAGAGTGATACTAGAATTTGGTGTCAAGAAGCTTGTTATCTACGTGTCTTCCAATGGCGGTGAAAACTCTCCAAGTTCCACCAATGAGAAATCGAGCACAAAATTGATTCATATGGTTGCCATAGTGGCAACAACAAACAAAGATACAAATGCATCATCTGTTCATATAAAAGGTCGTTATAAGATTTCGTATGCTAACTTGCATCCTTCCTCCTGAAAGAACATGATAAATAATATGGAGTGACGGAAAGCAAGGTTCCATCCAAGTGAAGAGACTTTGTGTGGCGGACATCGTACAAGCAACCATTCATGATTCAGTTTGGATAACTCTACTTGGGGTTAATAAGGCGATCTATGCAAAAATCACTCTCGAGTTCATCTCATTGCCTGATTTGCCTCAACATGTTGTGTTCGCCATCAATTGAGACTTCACCACCATCACCTTCTCACTTGGAGGCTAGATGCAAAAGATGAGTGTCAATGAATTCACCAAGGCCATTGGTATATACCCTCCAAGATTTCTTCAGTCTCCAAATGAACTAGCTTTACAAGACGAGAATATTGGCCATTCAAACCAGCTTGAGTACTTTGGGGAACATGTACATCGCCACAATAATCACTCTCATTTTGATGTAAGCAAGACCAAATGGGATAACCCTTCGGCCCGAGTGGAGAATAATCCACAACATGCTGATAGACAGTTGACTGAACATAATAATTATTATTATGATCAATCACTCCATAGATTATTCTCTTATACTTGTATATATCAATACAATACAATTTCGAACCCCAAATATGTCATAATCTTAATAGTAACATCTAGGGGTGTGCAATGGTCCGGACTGGATGAGACCAAACTTAGAAACTTCTATGGATTTAAGACCAGACCATATTATGCTCGGTTCAGTCTCGTCTGGTCCAAGCATCGATTTGATCCTATATGGACCGAATCGGTGCGATTCTAGCTACGATTTGGCTCGGTGCAGTCCGATACTGTCCTTCATGCCTTAGCCAAGCATTACGAGTTTAGTACACAATATTTATATAGAAAACCAAAAGGAGTAGTAACATCCCAAACATTTTCCTGACTAGATATTGCCCGCTTTGGGTCTAGACCCTCACAGATTTTTGCCTTGGAGTGCATATAATTGTGACTTCCCATAAGGTCACCCATATTTGCTGTGCTACACAGTGAGCACGTTTAGTTTTAGATTTCTTATAACTCTTCCATTTCACCCCAAAATACGTCTTGTTAGTCAATGTCGGTTTCTTACTTATTAACCATAGATCTCTCCCATGGATTCACCTAAAGTGTTACATACACCCTCCTTTTGGGTCTCAACGTCCTTGAGGTTTGCCCCACCAATGTTCAAGTGGGACACATAAAAGTCTAATACCACTTGTAACATTCAAATATTTTTCTGACATGGTATTGTCCGCTTTGAGTCTAGACCCTCACCATTTTTGCTTTGGGTGCATATCAAAGTGACTTCTCGAGAGGTCACCCATCCTTGTAGTGCTCCAAACTGAGCACATTTAACTTTGTAGTTTTTACAAGAACTCTTCCATTTCACCCCAAAATACGTCTTGTCAGTTAATGTCGGTTTCTTACTTATAGATCATGGACCACTCTCGTGCTTTGTCAATGTGAGATTCGCATAAAGCGTTACATAAACCTCCCTTTGGGACTCAACGTCCTTGTTGAAATTTGCTCCACCATCGTCAAAGAGGGACACTAAGAGACTCTGATACCCCTTGTAACATCCTGAACTTTTTCCCGATAAAATATTGTCCGTTTTGGACTTAGACCCTCACGAATTTTTTGTTTTGGATGCAATGCAAGGATGACGACCTCTCCATAATTTACTTTGATATGCATCCAAAACAAAATCTAGCAACGCCAAAGGTAACACTGCCGAGTTGGTCGGTAGTGTGGTCTTTCGGGCTTGAGATTTGTGAGGTCTCAGATTCGAACCCCGCTACACCACTTGGTGTTCCTGAATGCAAAGTCTCCTCCTAGTATCGGATGCTAGGCCTTAAAATGTTGGTGATGTAATCATGCAAGCTTCCACAAATTGTCATGTGGGGTTGAGGTTTCTGGGTAATAAAAAAAAAAAATAGCAACAGCAAAACAAGAAAATCTAGATTCAAAAGTTTGGAAAAGATTCTTGCCATCTTACACAAATTGTAAAGAAAGGAAAAACCACGGTAATTTTGTTCTCTGCCGTCGGCAATTTGGCCTACAGTTGCAGAGACGTTCCAATTATAATTCCAACGCATTCAATTAAATTCCTCACCGACACAGCACGGGATCTTCACTTCAATCCGACTTCGACCGCTCCTTCCCTTCCCTTCCCCAATCTCTCTCTTGTTCCGCCGGCGGGAAAATGGACAAGAAGAGAGCCTCAAGAGCCGGCAAACACGGGGCCGACTTGACCGCCCTCCTCCGCAAATCTTGGTACCATTTGCGGTTGTCCGTCAGGCACCCTTCAAGGGTCCCTACGTGGGATGCCATAGTACTCACCGCCGCTAGCCCTGAGCAGGCGGAGCTTTATGAGTGGCAGCTCAAGCGAGCCAAGCGGATGGGCCGGATCGCTTCCTCCACCGTCACTCTCGCTGTCCCCGACCCCCAAGGCCAGCGGATCGGATCCGGCGCCGCCACTCTCAACGCAATTCATGCCTTAGCCAAGCATTACCAGCTCCTTCATGGCCCTGACTTCGCTGAGGTATGTTGGATGTTGAAGCTCACATCCTGCTTTACTGTTTTCTTCTTTGTTTCTGCCGCAACGGCACAAAGATGGCGATTTGTCACATGCCATGGGAAAATGGAATCCCACCATGAGAATCTCAAATTCAAGCTGCGTGGCTACTAGTAATCTTTGCCCAGGTCATCCTTCTTCAATTTCTGCGTCGTTTGCCATTGTCTCCCCTCAAAAATGGTGAAATTCAAATTATACAATGTTATTCAACTGCTTCCCCGGTTGGTTGCATCTTATAGACTGTTTTAAGCCGTCTGTTGACACTACAATATGACATGGTCCATGGAAAACAACATACTTTATGATGCTATTTGTTGTATTGAGTTAAATGCTGTCTTTTTGAAAGTATGGTTAGGCTCTTGCATTGCGTTTACTGGTGTAGTCTGTAGAATATAATTGTAAGCTTCTTTCTGAGCGGAATCTTTCTTTGCTAAACACCTAATTCCAGTATTTCTTGAGGCCTTCAAAGGTAAGGTTCTGTATGTTAAATATTATACTAGAATTTGTTGTGACCAGAAATGTGGGGAAGCAACGAGGACATTGTTGTCGGAAATTTTGACTTCTTGCATTATTTTGCTATAGACTTGTGGGAATGAAGCTCCCGATGTATTATTTCTCTTATCTATAATGCTATTGGTCGTGCGGTTTTCTTCTTGGAAGAAACACCACATTGATGAAGTATTATTATGCTTCTAGGGGTTGATAGGGTATCTATTATCGGCAGGTACCAATCCCCCAAAATGGATGTTCTGAATCTGTTGCACTGCCAGAAAGAGGATCTAAGAATGGAGACTCTGTCCTGCCAATGGTTAATTTCTTGGCCAAAAAGCATATACTACTGCTTCATGCTGGGGGTGACTCCAAAAGGGTCCCATGGGCTAATCCTATGGGGAAAGTTTTCTTGCCTCTTCCATATTTGGCTGCTGATGATCCAGATGGGCCGGTTCCCCTTCTTTTTGACCATATACTGGCAATTGCTTCATGCACTAGACAAGCTTTCAAGAATCAAGGTTGCTGCCCTGGGTGTCAAATTTAATTATATAGTTGCAGTGTCCTTGCTGCAACACTGTTAATGCAAAATGTCTTTGTTCTTAAATCTCATTTTTATCTTCAAGTAAACATGCTTTAATTTATTCTAACTTGAGTCAAGGAAAAGCAAAAACACATGCGTGCACACACACACACACACACACACACACACACACACACAAGGGGATATATTAATAATTCCTTTTGCAGGTAATGATTGATGGATCTTTGTGTTTTCATATGTGTGGTCTTAGTTATATGGTCAGAAGTTGGGCTGACATAGCATAATTCAAGTGACAAGTAAATATTATGTACGTGTCAGTAGTTAGATTAATATACGATGTTGTGTGTTGGTTCTAAGTTAAAAGATACTATTGTTTCATGTCCTCTACTGTGGTAGTGAGCAGTTATGAAAGCAGTGCACAATGCTGATAGACAATTGGATGAGCTTGTTTCGACTGAAAGATTAACTCAATTTTCAAAATATAAATACTTCACTTTAATGTATGTGATCATCGGAATTACAGCTTTATTCTAATGTTATTGAAGCAATGGAGAGAGAATTAGTTGATTATTCAACGTTGGCACTTACAGGCCAAACCATAACTCTTGCAGGTGGGATATTGACTATGACAGGAGATGTTCTTCCATGTTTTGATGCCTTCAGCATGGTTATTCCAGAAGATGCATCCTGCATAGTTACTGTACCTATCACCCTTGATATTGCTGCCAATCATGGTGTTGTGGTGGCATCCAACACAGGAATTGTTGCTGACAATTATACAGTTGGTTTAGTTGACAATCTCCTACAACAACCTTGTCAGGAAGAACTCATAAACAATGAAGCAATTTTAGATGATGGAAGAACCTTGCTGGATACTGGAATAATCGCAGTTAGAGGCAAAGCTTGGCTCGAACTTGCTACTCTTGCAGCATCCTGCCAACCGATGATCACAGAACTTCTGAGAAGCAGAAAAGAGGTTAATAAACTTTTTCGATGATAATCATTTGAAGGTTCCGTGTCTGTCAGGATATTTTTGTGTCTCGGCAGATGTTTCTATTTTCCATTAAGTAATTTCTCAGGAGCTGGTGGAATACGTCTTTCTGGTGTCATTTATTTATTGCCAACTCCAGTTTTAAATGATTCTGATAATTCCATTTCTAATTTTGAATCCTTATGCTGCGCCACTTTCAGTATATGCTGCCAAAAGCTATGCATTCTTGATTGATTTTGGTGCTACTTCAATTGGGAACACTTGTTTCAACATCTTTTTTTTTCTATCATTTATCATTATGTGTTCGATGATTCTCATAACAAAACAAGATGATTCTGATAACTCCATTATTTAATTTGGAATCCTTATGCTGCACTTTTAGTATACATTACCAAAAGTTATGTATTCTTCTATTTTCTCTGTTAGTATCATTGCTTGATTTAGTGCTACTGCAATTGGTAAAACCTTCTTCGGCATCTGTTTTTTTGTTGTTGTGATTTATCATTCTGTTATAAGCTCCACTGCTCTGTTTTCTTACTGGCTATCGCAAAATCATACTACTGTATTGACAAATTTTTTTGATTTAGTAACCTGCTTATAAGTTCATATACAACTACATAGAGTTGGGAGGTACTCTGATGTGGTAACCAAACACTGCTGTCAACTTCTTGAGTCTGTTTCAGATGAGTTTATACGAGGATCTTGTAGCTGCTTGGGTGCCTGCAAAGCATGAGTGGCTTCGGATGCGCCCACTTGGTGATGAACTAATCAGAAGATTGGGTAGCCAAAAAATGTTCAGCTTTTGTGCCTGTATGTAAATGACCACTAGTAAAATCTGTTCACTTATATTATTTCACAGTTATGACGTGTTAGTTTCTCAATGTTAAATTAATCCTTACAGATGATTTGCTGTTCTTACACTTTGGAACCTCGAGCGAAGTTTTGGATCACTTAAGTCAGGCGAGCTCAGAACTTGTAGGCCGGAGACATTTATGTTCCATTCCAGCTACAACTTCATCTGACATTGCCGCATCTGCTGTAATTCTTTCGTGCAAGATTGAACCTGGAGTCTCAGTTGGTGAAGATTCTGTTATATACGATTCCTTGATCTCTGGGGGAATTCAAATCGGTTCACTATCTGTAGTTGTTGGTGTTAACATCCCTAAAGAGATAGGTGAATTGGCAACGAGGGACTCCTTTAGGTTCATGCTTCCAGATCGGCATTGTCTTTGGGAGGTTCCTTTAGTTGGATGCACAGGAAGAGTATTAGTGTATTGTGGTCTTCATGATAACCCGAAAAACTCGATTGCCAGCGATGGAACTTTTTGTGGGAAGCCATGGAAGAAACTGTTGGATGATTTAAGCATTTGTGAAACTGACCTCTGGGGATCTCTGGGTGCCCAAGATAAGTGCTTGTGGAAAGCAAAAGTATTCCCTATTGTTTCTTACTTTGAAATGCTTAATCTGGCATCTTGGTTGATGGGTTTGAAGTTGAATGGCCAAAATCCTAGCAGCAACTTACTCTCTTTGTGGAAAAGTTCAACCCGTGTGAGTTTGGAGGAGCTTCACAGATCCATTGACTTCCCAAAACTGTGTCTGGGCTCAAGTAACCATCAAGCTGATCTGGCTGCTGGCATTGCTAAGGCTTGTATTGACTATGGCATGCTTGGACGGAACTTGTCACAATTGTGTCAGGAAATTTTGCAGCAGGAAACTGTAGGGATAGAAACATGTAAGGAATTCCTAGCACATTGTCCTAAACTTCAAGAGCAGAACTCTAAGATTCTTCCCAGAAGCCGGGCTTACCAGGTGGAGATTGATCTCCTTCGGGCATGTAGAGATGAGACGACAGCTCACCAGCTGGAACACAAAGTATGGGCTGCAGTTGCTGATGAAACTGCTTCAGCAGTGAGATATGGTTTTCGAGGTAAGATTTCAATATATTTATGCCAGCATTGATAATTTATGCCTTGTAATTATCAATTACTCTTAAACCCCAAACCACAAGAAAGTCCCCCTTACAATCCGACATATGACCGGCTTCTATAAAACAGTTCCTAGTTACCAAGGAGTAGGGTAAATTGCCTTTTTACTTATAGGTTGTCTGTTGGTGGATTTCAATGCGTGGTATTTGTAATAGCAGGCATTTAAAGATATATAATTTTTTTAACCTTCTATGCATTTTGTGTATTTGGAATTGTATTAGTAATCTCATGTATTTGAGGTTTGGATAGAAAGTATCTGAAATACACTCTAGAGAAGTGGGTCTCCCAAGTCTCTATTCTCACTAATCTGACATGATTTCATGTACAATACAAATAAGCCAACAATATATTTCGAAATAACCTTAGTGGTCGTTTGTGAACCATTTATTCTGCCCTTGATTTCGAGAACATATAGCTTCCCACTATGTAGCATTATTTTCCTGCCTTCATTTTAGTATCAATATAATGTATTTTAGTCATTATATGTTTGCACAAAGTTTTTAACAATACACGAGCCCTCTCCTTTCATTTCCTTTCGCTCTTTGCATTTAACCAAAAATGTGATATTCCACAATTCCTTCGTTTCACTTGTTCCCAAGTTTGTTGCAGCAAAACATGGTATGTGTCGGTTACGAAATGAATAATATAAAATCAAGATAAATAACATCAATCTACTGATAGCCGAAACATATTAATAAGCCTGTCTCTTACTGGTAGAAGCAATCTTTGGCACTTGGTCACCAACTTGTTCTTTGTTATTCCAATGGAGGTAGTAATATGCATGATTTTTTTCTAACATTGTTGGTGTATTTGGCTCTCTCCCCCTAGAACATCTTTTGGAGTGCCCCAGCGCTGAATCTGTTTCAGCAATTCAAGACAGCCACTTCAAGAGCAATATCAACCATCCTTTCCAACCTAGAAGCGTGAAGGTTGAGTTACCTGTTCGTGTGGATTTTGTTGGAGGATGGAGCGACACTCCTCCTTGGAGTTTGGAGCGTGCTGGATGTGTGCTCAACATGGCAATAAGCTTGGAAGGCTGCCATCCAATTGGCACCATCATCGAGACGACACAAAGCACCGGAGTTCTGATCAATGATGATGCCGGACACGAGTTATATCTGCACGCACCCACCTCGATTGCTGCCCCTTTCGATGAAAATGACTCATTCCGACTGGTCAAATCTGCTCTACTAGTTACCGGCGTACTCCACCATAGAGACATTGTGAAGGGATTGCAGATAAGGACGTGGGCTAAGGTGCCGCGTGGCAGTGGGTTGGGCACTTCGAGCATTCTGGCAGCAGCAGTTGTGAAGGGTCTTCTGATGATAACTGACGGAGATGCTAGCAATGAAAACGTTGCGAGGCTAGTTCTGGTGTTGGAGCAGCTCATGGGTACAGGGGGCGGCTGGCAGGACCAAATTGGAGGGTTATACCCAGGCATCAAGTTCACCACCAGTTTCCCTGGTGTACCCTTGAGGCTTCAAGTTATTCCTCTGCTGCCTTCTTCTCAGCTCTTGTCGGAGTTGCAACAGAGATTGCTCGTGGTCTTCACCGGTCAAGTAAGCAGCTGCACCCTTTTTATCTATCATAGCCAGCAGCTCATGGGTAGCAAGTATACAAGTACCTTAACTGCAGTAAATGTAAACTGAATAATAATGCAGGTTCGGCTGGCACATCAAGTCCTACAGAAGGTGGTGATGAGATATCTTAGACGTGACAACCTCTTGATATCCAGCATCAAGCGTCTGGCGGAGCTTGCAAAATTGGGGAGGGAAGCTTTGATGAACTGCGACGTGGACGAGCTTGGGGAGATCATGATTGAAGCATGGAGGCTGCATCAGGAACTTGACCCTTACTGCAGCAACCAGTTTGTGGACAAACTTTTTACATTTGCTGAGCCTTACTGCTGCGGGTACAAGCTCGTTGGAGCCGGGGGCGGGGGATTTGCTTTGTTGCTTGCCAAGGAAGCAGCCTCTGCAAAGGAATTGAGGCGCAAGCTAGAACAAGACTTCAGCTTGGACGTTAAGGTCTACAATTGGAGCATCTTAGAAAGTTGAACTCTAGGCGCCACGCACTGCACTCTGTACTGTATTCTTCCTTTCTTGGTTACCCGATCAAAATCATGGAGGTGTTGTAGGGGCATTGGGGGTATTCTTTTGTTACTCAGATTAGCCGAAACGAAATCATGACCTGTTTTGTTTCTATGTTTGTTGTGAAATTCCGTTTTTCGGTAAATTCGTATAGACTAGATCCAATTCCAAAACAGACAAAATCATACTAAAGAATCATATATACTTGAGAATTTGAAAATTACTTCATTGAAATGCGTTTGATAAAATGGTATCATGTATATTTTAGAATCTCTGTTAATAACCAAATATTTGTCATTTTTGTTTTCATTTCTTACAACCCCCGTAACTCGAAATTATTGGAGATTCAACCCCAAATTTTTGGGTTATATCAAGATTTGGCCCGATATAAACTAACTCAAAACTATACGATCCACTATAATCTATAACTCGAGGTTATATGATCTGAAATAACCCAACCCGACTTGATTGCATATACCCGACTCAATAGGATCTCTCGGTAAGTGACATAATATTTTATACTAAAGTCGTGGTTTAACCGCTCAAAACCGTTAAAACCGCTTACCATTTGAATTCTGGTACCTGGTAGGGGTGTACATGGGTCGATTGGTTCGGGTTTGGTCATTTTAATCACCCGACCCGTATACTACTGTTTTGAAAATGTTAAATCCAACCCAACAACAAAAAAATGCTTTGAAAATGTTTAATCACCCGACCCGTATACTACTGTTTTGAAAATGTTAAATCCAACCCAACCCGTATACTACTGTTTTAATTAAAACCCTACGATTTGTTTATAATTGGGTTGGGTCGTGGAGATACTTTTAATTAAATATCAAACCTAACACAGAAATGCAACTATTATACACTACGAAAATATTATATAACTAATTAAGTTTTTAAACAAATAAATCGAGGCAAAAAGTTTCAATATGTATAAATATTGTTTGGATTTTAATGAAATGCAATTTATTTCAACATATGTCTAGTTTTTTCATAAATATTTGTTGAAGTAAGCTAAAGTAGTTATAAGCTAATACATTCATAATATGTTGTTCTTCTAAAATGGTACACACAAGAAAAAAAATTACGTGAATCATAGCTTATATTACATCTACGTCTAAATATTAAGTTGTAGAATATATTAGACTAGAGAAACTACAAGAGAAAAATATGATACAATAGCTTACTTTTCTCACAAATATGTTTATTTATGAGACAAATATGTGTTGTATACGAACATTTATGACAATAGTTCAACACGGGTTGGGTCAGGTTCTACGGGTTGTGTTACTCAAAATCCGAACTCAACTCAATAGAGGAGGGTTGTACAAAAGAAAACTCTCACTAAATCTTAAACTTTAATTTTGATGATAAATACGTATGAGTTGGATTGGGTTGGACGGATGAATCGGGTTGAAAGGATGAATCGGTTTACGAGTTGTTTGTTCACCCCTAGTACCTGGTATTTCCTATACAATTGGATGAAAATGTACGGTATGTAAAACATTGATTTTTTCTCGCAACCACAAAAGTGAGGGCAAGGTAAGGGAGGACTTTGGAAAGGGGGTGACTTGTCCAAAAGGCAACGAACCCGAAGGAAGGAATCCTAAGAAAGAGAGGGATAGTGGGTTTACTTTAGCCCCTGAAACGCCATTGTTTTGGCCTTCCTATGGAGACGTGCCTTGCCTGCTTCTGCTGTTTCTCTCCCGGTCTCGCATCTCGTGGAAATCTCCATTTCACCCCCTGCCTGCCTGCCTTCCTTGCAAAATTTGGGTCGAAAGTCGAAAAGCAACATAGAGAGCGAATCTATTCTTTAATCATTATGCCTACTAGGAAGGAGACGAATGGATTGCGAATTGATTAAGGGGAGGAAGGAGACCAAAAAGAGAGGATAATTGCGGGGAAGGCATTATGCTTAATTATAGGTGACGGTTGTTGAACAAATCCTCTGTCTCGTCTCGAGAGCCAATAGGATGCAACCAAATGGAGAGCTGCCTTTTGGTTTTGGGGGGTTTTCCATGACATTTTTCTGCCGGTGAGGTGTGACTGTTAACGGAAATCAAGTAAACGGTGGAGACGACTGAACTGATAGAAGGCGATAGAGGACGAGAGAGAGAATTTTGAGATTTCAACGTCCCATGGAGCGGCGGAGCTGAGCAGCGAGAGAGAGAGAGGGAACGAAGGAATGGGTCTCATCACTCATAGAGTCGACAGAAGCGAAATCCAGCCAGGAGATCACATCTACACTTACAGAGCCGTCTTCACTTACTCCCACCATGGTCCTTTCCTCTTCTCTCCCTCTCCCTCTCCTCCTAATTTGAGGTTTTTTATTTGGCTTCTTTCTGTAATGTGGGTTGCTCGGTGTTCGATCTGGGTTTCAATTTTTATTTATTTATTCATTCCCGTTCCCTGAATTGAATTCTGGGCTTCTGCCTTTGCTTTTTCTTGTGTGGGGTTGAATTTCGCATGCTTAGATGAATGTTCTTCTCTAGATTTCCGTTGATTTTACCTGACCCTCTCTGCGATTGCACCTTCCATTTTGCGTGGTTGAATATGTAAATTGAACTTGTGCAGGAATTTATGTTGGGGGAAGCAAAGTAGTCCACTTTACCCCCAAAAAGACGGCACAATCTAGAGATGCTTCTTCTTCTACTGCTGCAATTATTAATACAGACTCGGTGCCAAGCATTCCATCATCCTGCTGCGAGATCTTTCCGGACTGTGGATTCAGGCAGCCAGGCAGTGGAGTTGTCTTAACATGCCTTGACTGCTTCCTTGGCAAAGGATCTCTCCACTTGTTCGAGTACTCCATCCAAACTTCGCTGTTCCTCACCAAACTGAGAGGTGGCACTTGCTCCACAGCAGCTTCCGACCCACCACAATCCGTCGTCCACCGAGCAATGTACCTACTTCAGAATGGATTTGGCAATTACGATGTGTTTCGGAACAACTGCGAGGACTTTGCTCTCTACTGCAAGACGGGCTTGCTGATAACGGACAGCCAAGGTGTTGGGAGGAGTGGTCAAGCTTCTTCGGTGATTGGTGCTCCTTTAGCTGCTATTCTCTCTTCGCCACTCAAGTTGCTGATGCCAAGTCCGGTGGGCGTCGCCACAGTCACTGCTGGGATGTACTGCATGAGCAGATATGCTACTGATATCGGTGTGAGGAGCGATGTGATTAAAGTAGCTGTTGAAGACTTGGCTGTTAACCTGGGTTGGGGAGACGAGACCGTGGAAGCCGGCGATGATGCTTCTTCTCAGCTCACTGATTACCATGTGATTCAAAGGAAAGATTAAAAGACTTCGGTAATTCATGATCCTGCATATACATACATATGCATTCTTTTGAATCAGCAAGTTGTTATCTCTACTAAAAGCTTCTTTCTTTGAAGAAAACCCATTGTTACCTTCTTGCGTCTGTCTGTCTGTCTGTCACAAGCATTGGTGTTTGGTGAAGTAGGAAAGGGTCAAATTAAATTTCTGATATGGAACTTATTATTGTTCGTTCAACATCAACTATAAGAGTAAGATTTATATATTTTAGCTGCTCTGTATGTACATTTGGTTCGGATCGGTTGCGTAGCGCATTCCATGATTGGGAGCTCCTTCAGCGTATCCTATATTGTGCAGTGACCTGCTCTTCCTCTTTTCCACTTTAGATTATGTCATCATGGTAGTTGATAAATAACCAAAGAACAAAAAAGCTGTCTACCCACTTGAACCAGCAATGACAATGAATAAGATGGAATGCTGGTCAGGAGGATAAGTTCTGCCTAGTGGAGCAACTAATTAGATTTATTAGTTACTACTGCTTACTGATAATTTCCCTGTCCCAGCAAATCAGACATATAACTGATTTCAGTATCTGGGTTACATTATAATCAACCAGACTTGCTTTTCTGCTGTTCAGTGCTGTGCAATGAATAGAGTTGTGATTAGATCATTTATCCCCATCTATGATACTTGACTACATATTACTTGCAAATCGGGAATTGATATATAAAAGCTTGGTTTAGGGTTACTAGTTTTTTATAATTTGTATCAACTTTAGTGACATTTTGCTAAGGCTATATAATTTTCCTTGTTTTTGTCATTTTGTGGACACATATTTGTCTCTTTATTTATTTATTTTAATCACATAATGAAACCTTTGAGTAATCCTCTTTTTCTTTTATTGTATCCTTTTCTTTTTGCTATCCTGGAATCAAGGTTTTTGTTCGTATTTGAGTAATTCGACTATTCAACTAAAAGCCGACCAGTCACGCATATATATACATATCATATGTATATCAGTGATGCGTTATCCATCTTTTATATACCAATGTGAGTTTTTTTACTATTCAACTAAAAGTTACCAATTACACATATACGGATCACATGTATATCGTTGATGCATTTCCCATTTTTGAGTTACTATAGATTGACAATCTTTGTGAGTTTTTCGGATATTCAACTAGAAATTAACTAATCAATGTGCATTTTAATTAAGTGTATTTTGACGATCTATTTTCCATTCTTATATACTTATCGATTGACATTCTTAGTGAGTTTGCCAATTTTTTTTTTTTTTTTTTTTGCATGGAGTCATATTTTCGAATATGCGGCCTAATGGTCATCGAGTCCAACTTACTCTCATAGGTTCAAGCTTAGAAGTGTAGTATTTTAATGATAGTTTGACTCAGTAGGTTCAACCTGGTGTTTTATGTGGTTGAACACACACTTTCTTCAACTGATCTTAGGTTACATTGTTTCATTTACTGATTCACACAATTGAAAATTTTATTGTGTGAGTTTTTATTTTTTGTAATTCATAGTACTTTTATTTACAAAAATACAAAATCACGTGTATATCGGTGATGCACTATCCGTCTTTTTATATATCAATTTGAGTTTTTTTTACTATTCAACTAAAAGCTGACCAATTACACATATTCAGATCACATGTATACTAGTGATGCATTTTCCATTTTCGAGTTCTTATAGATTGACAATCTTTCTGAGTTTTCCGGACATTCAATTAGAGATCGGCTAATCATGCGTAATTCAATTAGTGTATTTTGACAATCCTTTTTCCATTTCTAAAGGGTTAATATTTTTGTATGGCCTGAACTTTGACCAAAATAAACATCCTGGCCAATCTTTTCGATCTATAACATCCTGGCCCAACTATACATCAAAATAAATAATTTGGCCAGATCCGACTTTTAACCGTTAACTTGGACGGTCAAACGCGTTGACTAACAGGTCAACGCGCCATGTCACTGCCAACTCAGCAAGTGTAAATTAAAAAAAAATTAATTGAAACTTGCTGAGTTGGCAATGACATGGCGCGTTGGCTAACGGTCAACGCGTTTGACCGTCCAAGTTAACGGTCAATAGTCGGATCTGGCCAAATTGTTTATTTTGATGTATAGTTTGGGCCAGGATGTTATAGATCAAAAATTTTGGTCAGGATGTTTATTTTGGTCAAAGTTCAGGCCATACAAAAATATTAACCCATTTCTAAATCCTTATCGATTAAAAATCTTATGAGTTTTCCAATTTAGAGACACTTTTTTTAATATGTGACCTAATTGGCCATCGAGTCCAATATACTCTCATAGACTCATAGCTTCAGGCCCGATCCAAGGCCTGTCTTGGCAGGCTCCCCAGCACAGGCCCTCAAGTCCCAACATATTACCATAATAGTCTTTATTCTTACTAGCTTTGTTCCCCGCCATTGGCCGGGTTCTTTATACAATTATTAATAATTCAATTTATAATTAAATTATTTTTGGCTTAGTTAATCATTTGGATTGGCGTATTTATTATGTTTCTATCATTAGATCTATTTTAAATTTGATCAAATACTGATTTGTGCCATGAAGTGAAAAGATGAAAAAAATTAAAAGTACATATTAAACATATTTGATGACATGATAATCTCATTTTTGCTATCATAATTAAGATAATCGATGAAGTTTATCTCATTAGTTTTGCAATCAATATCATCAAATATAGTTTTCTTACTTGTTAGAAACTTTACACTATATTAAATTTCACCCTTATAGGTTGTGTGTTTGAATCTTGGTAACGCAAATTTATATGTTCGTTTATTTTTACTCAGTATTGAGTTTAAAAATTAAAATAATAAAAGTGACTTGATAAATCATTGCTGATGTGAATGCTTAACAATTGAGAAATTTTCAAATTTGAGAAAATGTATAATATGTTGTATTGTTTATTGATTTAGGATGAGGTGATGAGTAGGTTTATGTAATTTATCTAATAGAAACTTTACACTATAATAATATAAGGATCTTAGGTTGTATGTTGGAACTCATCAACCCCTCGTATATATCATCTGTTGACCTAAATACCAGTCTTGACATAGCATATCCAAATTGTATCTAAAGAAACATTGTCTTCATCCACATTATTTTTGGCATTACTCGAAATGTCATATTGAACCGTGCTCGTTATGAGAAAAATATTGTACATGTTATAGTCAACTAAAACTAAAAAGAAAAATTATTATAACGATACATACATCAAAAGTAGTGTAGTTTCCTCCAAATAGATGATGGATAGGAGGAATGAGATAATATTGGTGGTGGTGGAACGGAAGAGAAGTGAAGATGACGACGGTTGTGTGTGGAGCGGTAATAAATTGAAGTTAAATGAGGTTAGATTAATTAATTAGAGATTCAATTTGAAGTTCAATGTCAAAGCCGGTCCTGGGCAAAACCAAGCCGGCGGTCGAAGCTTCCCCTGTCTCTCGTATTGGTGCAGTCTTTCATGTTGCTGCCGCACGCGAACTGTTGACCGTTGTGATTCTAACCCTTATTGACCAGCATAAATGAGGCCTTGGAACATAAGAAGATATTAGACATCATTGGTGGCAGTGGAATGGAAGGAGAAGATGAAAGTGACGGAGATTGACAACAGAGTAATTTTTTGGAGAGGTAGATTGGGAGTAGAATCTCCAATAGGAAATGGCTATGGTGTGGGGAAGAGGTATGAGATGGTGGGAATCCCAAAGGAATGGTTCTGCTAGATGGTATGGCCGGCTACAGGAGGGAACGAAGACACTGTTTGCCTCTGCGCAAACTGGCGGTGGTTTTGAATTGGGAACGCGAGGGAGGAAGGGAATCCACTGTTTGACGATTTATTTTTTAATTTTTTCCTGTAATGTAGCGGTTTCTGATCGGAAAAAAGAGGCGCTGACGTGAACGCGTAAGGTGAACGGAAATTTGAATTGGAGAGGTTGTTAATGAGAAAATGCTTAATATATTTTTTAGATGTGCTTCTCGGTTTTTATGCGCCAAAACAAAATCATTAATAGAAGAAAATAAAAGTAAATTGATTTAACTAATGCATCAATGGGCCTAACATTCCTTTAAATAGTCTTGGGTTGGTGTGTTTTGATGGGCTATTGAATGGACGACTAAGGTTTGATGGGTCAAATAACATCTATTGTTATTCTGTATTTTTTTGTAGTTTTGTATTTTATTTATTTATTAAATTTCATTAAAATTTTGGGGCCATATTTTATTTGAGTTTGACTCAATAGGTTCAACTTGATATTATATGTGGTTGAACACATACTTTCAACGATCTTAGATTATATTGTTTCATTTACCAATTCACACAATTAAAAATTGTATTGTGTGAATTTTTTTTAATTCATAGCACTTTGTATTTAGAAAAATACAAAATCTTAATAAAATAAGAAGTTAACATCCTGTGTAGAGCGTGATCTTTCGATCTAGTATATCTGAAAAGTAACCACTAATGGGTGCTCATAGTTTATCACTTCATGAAAATTTATTTGTGTCGTTTGGATGAGGGGATGTGTTTGAAAAGGTATCTAAAAGTACAAAGTTTAGACATTTGTACGCCATGGAAGTAAGGAACCATGGCATATATGTTTGGAATGTATTCCGTCTGCATATCCAAATTCGAGGACGTCGAGATCCTTCGGCTGCTGCCGCAGTGCAAGCGCCTTCCACATCAATTGCATCGACCAGTGGCTGGAGAAGCACTCCAGTTGCCCAATATGCCGATCGAAAGTCAATGCAAAAGACCCCTTCGTGTTTGCATACTCCAATAGCATGCAGATGATGTGGAGCCAGTTGGCGGAACGGTGGCTGCTGGAGGATGAGGAGGCAGAGCACCGAAGAATTTCGGTTTTGCCGTGCTCTTTTTTGTTTCGTTAATATATTTTAGTTTATTATTTTAATAATGTGGAAATATTAAAAGAATTATATTTATTTTTTTATTAATTTTTTAATTGTAACGTTAGTCATTTAACGGTCAACTGTTAAGGTTGACTGCCACATCAGATAAAGTTAACTGAGAGTGACTAAACGTGGATCATTTTACTAATTCGACTGACCAAAATTGATATTAATTTTTTCAGTAACTAAACATGACACGTTTTAGTAAACCCCAAATTTGGCATTTACCCTATTTTTTAATCTAAAATATGATGTGGCGTCCATGTAGTTTGGCATGTATAATTGGAGATGACATGTCGTCTAAGTGGTATTCATATCAGCTTAACATCCATTTAACTAATGGAGGTGTTGATGACTTCAAAGTATTTAACGAAAATGGTTAAATTTGTCAAACTAGTTTCAAAAGTGTGGATACATTTGTGTATTTTTCAAAAATTGACTATTATTATTATTATTATCACGAAGCCGATAGTTATGACTATGCCCATCTATTATTACTTATATAAAAAAAATAAGCTACAACATCTCTATCGTTTTTTACAAAAGATAATCATATATTGATCAGAAAGAGATTGAACAAATTACAATATGGTATACAACCAGACAAGGAAATCAAAATAGCGACATGTAGCTGGATACAAAGAAAAGGGTCTTTCTAGGCTCTAGCCACCAAATGGGCTACTCGATTGCTATTCCGACTTACCAATCGTACATTAAGACCATGTAAATTTTTCCAACAAACCACATACTTCTGCAAGAATGGCTCCAAAAAGATTATCCCGAGCACCCGTCAAATTGACCTTATAAATGACCACCTTAGCGTCTCCTCAAACCGAACGTGCGATAGCCACAATCCAGACACCACTGGATGGACTCGCGGATCACTAAAAGTTCAACCGTAAGCGGATCATCAATATCCTCAATATGAATACCCCGAGCCAAGATAACCGAACCATTCTGACCTTTATAACAATTCCGACTACCGAGTGTGAACCTCTCCTAGTGGTACCATCCTACATGCAGGTGGCCATGACCGGAGCCAAAACACCCACAGCTGCCACCAGGGGGGGTCCGGGAATGAAATCACTCTATCCACCAGTAACCCCACCCATTCCTGAACTTGTTGATGATACTGCTGCATCAAGGATAAAACACAGCACCCAATTTCTGGATTTCCAAATCCGCCATAAGGCTGCAACCACAACCATGCTCTGATGGGGTGAGTAAGCAGTAAAATCAACTTCTTAAGGAAAAGCGGGAAATTCTAGCGAGGGAGGCCTTGTCCTAAAGTCTCTAGACCAGCATGATCCAAATTGCCCTTGCCACCAAACAATCCAGAAAAAGTGTTCTATAGTCTCCTCAGCTGCCTAGCAAACCGAAAATTGAGGCAAAACTTGTACCTCCTTCTCAATTAGAGCTTCCATGGTTGACAGAATATGATTGAAAATTTTCCAGAGGAAGACCTTTAGCTTCGAAGGGATAGAGAGCCCCCATACCCAAATCCAGCTAGAATTATCCATCCAACTGGCAGATTGCCTCCATCTGCCTTGCCCACGACTAAGCTGGACAACTAAGTGGTAAGCAAACTTAACGATGAAAATCCCATCACTGGTATCGTGCCAGATCAAAGAGTCCCCAATAGCATGATGTGGTAACGAGATTGCTTTGATCCCACACGCTACCTCTAGCGAAAACACGTGGTTGAGTACTTCCACATTCCACCTTCCTTCCCTTGACCGTAACAACTCAGCCACCTTTGTATCACTTCCTTCTGGAATCACCTGAGGGCAGCAGGGAGGGGCCTGCGGATGCATCCTTGGGACCCAGCTGGAATTTGGGATGGGTACCGACTTACCGTTTCCTATCTGCCACCGCGCGCAAACCCTACTGAAGCAAGAGGCGTCCATACAACATACTCTGTCATCCCAAAAAGGACGGTACCGTGCCGTTACAGTGAGAAAGGACCCTGTTGGAAAATATTTTCCTTTATAGACCTGAGCCAAAAGAGAATCAGGTACGTTAAGAATTCACCACCCAATTTTGAAAGTGCTCGAACCTAAAACATATATCTGGCTTAGCATTAAAGTTATGAAATCTACATTAAACTAAAATAGTCCAAAAATGAAAATTTGATAATTTAACATTTTAGTAAGAATTTGGCTTAGCACTTACAGCCTGTTTGGAGAGGCTAAAATTTTAGGAAATGGAATTCCATTTCTCAAACTTTTCATGATTCTCATGTTTGGAAGTGAAAAATAAATAGGAAATAGAATTCCAAGAGGTAAAAAGTTAGAAATTCTAAATCCTATCAAAAGTTATCGGAATTGGTTGGGAGAGGAATGAAAATAGTGGACCCCACTCAAATTTTGATTCACCTTTACAGAACAGCCCTTACTAATTTTCTGTTATTCCAAAACTACCCATGAAATAGGGTTAAAGGCTTCGCCTGCCCATCCTACTAGCTCAAGCTGTCCATTTTTTAATCTCTCTGGTCCCTGCAACTTCTCTGTCCCACTTTCCGCCGAGCTCTGCAGACTCAGGTGAGCATCCTTCTTCACTCGTTTTGGATTTTTTAACCCCATTTATTCGTCATGTAGCCCATCACTTTCATTGCTTCGTTTATGGCTTTTCTTTGCCCCTAAAATTTACACTTTGTGGATTCACAGTGCAAGCTTTTGTCCTCTTTTGTTTGGCTAGTTGCTGTGTTCCTCTTTTATTTATTATGTTTGCTTATTCATGTAGGAAACATGAGAGATATGGAAAGTAAACTTATAGCAGCTGTAACAGCTTATGTTGCTTATCTTTTCATATTAGTTCGTATCTACAATCGGATTGAAAATGCGGCTAGTCAACCTGTTCGTAGTCATATAGAAAGGCCTATTAGAAATCGTGCTATAGTAAGGCGAGAACTTGCTCGAAATGAAATTATGTTGGAACTCATGAATGAAACACGATGTCGTAAAAATTTACGGATGGCACCTCATGCATTTCACAATCTTTGTGAGTTACTTCGAGGAACGGGGCTTATTAGGGACACCTGCTATAGTTGTGTTGAAGAGCAAGTTGCTAAATTTCTTCACGTCGTCTCACATGGTATTTGAAGTTCATTGGCCACACTTCTTTATCGTCGTTCAAGTGAAACAGTTAGCTGCTAATGCTTTGAAGGACACAAAGATGATAGAAAATTTTCTAAGGCAGCTTATCTTGCTGCTGCTAATGCTTTGAAGGAGAAATACAATGTGAAGTTATCAACGGACAAACTTCAGAATCGACTCAAGACTTTAAAAGTTCACTTGGGTTTGGCTTTGGACTTGCTTACTCAAAGTAGTGGGTTTTCTTGGAATGATGTCACGAAGAAAATTGAAGCAAGCAAAGAAGTTTGGGATGATAAGGCAAAGGTATATTTTGAACTTGAATTTATGTTTGTGCTTTTTCTGCATAACCTCTTTTAGTCTAACCAATACAACTTGTTATGATCCAGAAGAAGAAGGCTTATAATCAAATTCGGGGCAAGCAACTTCACAATTTGGAACTTCTTCGAGAAATTTATGAAAAAGACAGAGCAATGGGTAACAGATCTGCAACGCCTGCTGAAAAATGTGAAGAATGGCAAAAGGAAGATAGAAGTTTCAGTCTCGATGATATTGATGAGCTTGAAGAACTCCAAGCTACAGCTTTTGAGAAGTCTCCCCAGGGTAATCATACTACTAATCCTTCTCCACAACCTCAAGGTAGTGAAGGGCCATCCCAAAGCGAAATGGCAAGGAAATTGTCTAAGGCGAAAAAAAAGAAAGGCTGAGTTGTCTGATTTACTTGCTACTGAAATGAGAGATGTTAGAGTAGCATTACAGGATATTGCAGGTGCTATCAAGACCACTAATCGTCGAATCAGGTCTGAAGAAGAAATAGTTGAAGAACTTATCAGACTTGGATTTGGAGGAGATTATTTGATGGAAGGAACCGAGTTTTTGGTGGCTGATCCAATTCGAGCAAACACTTTTTTTGCTTTTCCCGAAGAAGTCCGTAGGGACTGGTTGCTTAGGAAGCTTGCTTGCTAAGTCTTCATGAGTTTGTGTGAGTTGACTGTGGGACTCTACTCATAATATTTTGTTTGAATTGGATCATTTTGATTCTATCTTGTGGACTACTAGTATGTTTCAAATACTTGTTATGTTTAGTTGAATTCTGGTTGTTACTTAATCCTCTCATCCTTTTATATTATGTTTTGATTTCTGTGAACAGAAATATATGCTTTCATTATTGTTTTGTTGCTCGGATGATTATCATATGGTTTCTTATTGTAGTATGCATTTATATCGATAAAAGGATATTATTGTAAAAACACTTGTAAGAATTCATTTCCATTATTCTCCAAACATAAAAGGAGGAAATCATTTTCCAAACTTTAGGATTTGTTCCAAACATTAATTCTGGAAATGAATCTCCATCGGAATTCAGATTCTCATAAGAAATGGAATTCATTTCCTAGCGGAATTATATCCAAACAGGCTGTTAAGAAGTCTCTTGTTGGTTTTGGAACTAAAATTCCAAACTAATAAGTCTAACATAGGGTCAGCGTCTATTTATTATGTTTCGTTTTCTTCACAGCTCTCAACAGTAATCGTGTCATCACTCTCCACGAAGTTTCATAAATATCATCGTCTGCCGCTGCCGATCAATAGTCGATCGCTACCGCTGTCATCATCACCACTCACAGCCCGCTGAATTAAAGTGAGGAGAATTTGGATTGCCTGGATTGAATTTGAGGGCAAAAGAGATTAGATTTAGCAGACAAAAGAAGGAGCGGAGCGGCTTCCTGAGGGCTGATTGATAGAGAGGAAGAGAGGCGGCTTAGATGGCGAATCTGTATGTGAAGGCGGAGCCGCCGACGGATCTTAATAGGAACACCGAATGGTTTATGTACCCGGGCGTCTGGACGACCTACATACTCATCTTGTTCTTTGCTTGGCTTGTCGTTCTCTCTGTCTTTGGTTGCTCTCCTGGCATGGCTTGGACTGTCGTAAATCTCGGTCACTTTGCTGTAAGTTCTTCCTTCGCTTCTCCTGCCTTTCCAATTGCTCTTATTTTCTTCTCCCCCCACTTCGTCGGTTCAGTTCAGTCTTCTGGGTTAAGCTTTGTGTTATTTCAGTGATTAGGGTTTCGATTTGGGACTTCTAATTCTTTTCCAGCAGTCGCTAAAGTGAGAATCAAATCCCTATTTAGTTCAATTGGACTGATTTGTTGACACAGCTATAGGGATGTAAATTTAGCTGATTCTCCAACTCGCTATTTCCTTTACTGTGCATTTAGGCCGTAGGAGGTGTTGTTGATTTTATGCTACCTTTTCTGCTTGTATGTTGGACTGTGCATCTGCGTCTGCCATTTGCTCTATGAGCTTTTCAAGTTGGCTTTAACCAATTGTTACCTTGAATATTACCAACCTGGTGTATATTTTCAGCGGAAATTATGAGTTTTTTGGGGGAATTTTGATGAATGAGCGTGGTGGAAGTTCTCTTTGATTTATTCCCGTAATTAATTGTTGCTGATTGATTTGAGTGGATCACATACTTGATTGAAATGCTGTTGGTCATCCAATTTGCTGTAAAAACCCCTTGCTGGTGTTCTTGTAAATGATTTAACGTGTATAGTCTTATATAATCCTTTCTTAAATTTGTTATGTGTTGTCATACATGTCGTATTTCTGCGTCCACGCCTAAGGACGTTCTTTGGACAGAATTATATATAGGAGAACAAATGTTGAACAGACTCTGCCAATGGCCTTTAGATGATTGCCACCATGACTACCGCCAAATGTATTGTGTTAATATTATTCACTTAAGGGAGCGTATGACCAAGTGCCTAATTTTATGCATCGAGACTGAGGTATTTAGGGTAGAAAGATGATCTTGGTGTTGGTGATCAAGCTGAGCTTGACAGAGATCAGCACTGACTCGCTACTTATCAGGCACTCTGCTATAAAGCCTTTGGCATGCCTCTTGTGATGAAGTGATCGGCAATTTCTAATCTAGTTTATTTTCTTCTTATAGAACAATAAGCAGATTGAGGCTGCGATGCAGTAGATATTGTGGTACTTCTTCTTCTTTAAAAAACTATAATTGTAGGCTACTTCTGCAAAGAGAAGGCTGGATATGTGTGTGGTAGAGTGAGCTTGCATTCCCAGTCTAAGTAGTTTATCTCCATGTCCTCATTAATGATTCTGCCTTTTTGCACACAATTCCTTCTGTAGCTGGGCTTAAAATTCATCTGTGCATTCGAAGGTTAGCTGAGTGGCTAGTTTGAGAGGTCTATTTGCAGAGTGATTATCCAAATGAGCCTGCAATCTCACTAAAAAGGAGAAAGGGTCTATGATGATGAGTTTCTTTTAGTTTCTTGGTCTCTTCTTGAAATAGCTGCCGGTCTCAACTAATGATCTCGATTGATTGCAATGGTATATGTTCCAGGTTACATATCATTTCTTTCACTGGAAGAAGGGAACTCCATTTGCCGATGATCAGGGGATCTATAATGCACTAACCTGGTGGGAGCAGATCGACAATGGAAAGCAACTTACACGCAACAGGAAGTTTCTAATGGTGGTGCCAGTGGTGCTGTAAGTTGTTTCCTGTTCCCCTCTATACTGCGTAAACTGGTCTAGAAAAGGGCATTCTAGAAACTCTTGCCATTTAATGTGTACGGTTTTAGGAAGCTAAACTTATTTGTTTTGGCGTGACTCTTGTTATGGCAGGTACTTGATCGCTTCTCATACAACTGACTACCAACATCCAATGCTGTTTCTGAACACAATTGCGGTGCTAGTTCTTGTTGTGGCCAAGTTCCCGAATATGCACAAAGTACGGATCTTCGGGATCAATGGTGATATGTGAGCTGCTGGGCCGTCTCTGGTGTGTTCTTTCGTGTTCATGAACCGATGCTGTGATCCTTCAGCTACTGCGGCTGGAAGTCATATAGTCACTATTGTATAGAAGCTAGAAACTGAAGGCTACTTATAAATATGTAATGTTTTCGTTTTTGTTTTGTGGTGATAAGTGGAGTTTTACAAGTATGCATTCTAGGTGAGAAAATAACTGTATCGAGATATCTTTTGTACAGAATGAGTAATGTTTTTATCTTCCTTTCCTATATGGTTCGAACATTGGCTTGAAAGATGAATCATGTAAGTTTTTTTTTTTTTGACAGTAAGACACTCATTTCATTACTTGATGCGGAAGAAACCAAGGTTACAAAAGGGGGAGACAATGTCAAGGATTTGGATCCAGTCATGGGGGAGCTGGTTCCTGGCACAAGTTTAACTTTCAAGTTTAACTTGTTGGTCATCAAGTTTAACTTTCAGCTCACGATCTTCTAAACGAAGGGCACTCCTTAGGAGTGTAAGTTTGACCCTTAAAACTCACTGACCCGCCCTGACCCTCAGGGTCGGGCTGGGTTAGTTTGTCTATAGGGTCAATTTAGGGTCGGGTCGGCTTATGGTCGGGTCAGGGTCAGATAGGGTCGGGTAACTTTTTGACCCTATGACCCTTAGCATCATAGAAACATGTTGGACCTATTTGTAAAATTTTATAAGTTTAGGTACTAAATTGTAAAAATTAAAAAATTGGGTACCAAAACGTAATTTTACCATCAAATTTTAGGGACTTATTTGTAAACAAATAAAATTTAGGTACTAAAATGTAAGAAAAAATAAATTCGGGAACCAAATTATAATTTTTAGAAAAGTAGTCTATTTATTAGGGTCGACCCACTGACCCGACCCGACCCTTCCTGACCCGCCCCAACCCTAAAGGGTCAGACAGGGTCATGAAAGAAACAGGGTCGGGGCGGGTCGGTTATACATCTTGACCCTTCAGGAGCGGGTCAGACAGGGTCAGGGGTTGGTCGGGCCAATTTTCAGCCCTAGCACTCCTTACCGATGATTCTTTCCCATACACTAGTAAAAAAATAATAATTATACACTAGTTTAAAATTTCAATCTATACATATTTGGTAATGATGCGCAAAAGCAAAAATTGATGCACACAGATCGCTGTGATGCCGTGATCAACGGTTACCTCGCGTTTCGTCTCATCGATTTACGCACATTACTACGTAGAAAAGTGATTGGCTCGATGTTGGAAACACATTATTTGCAGTTTTGATTATTTCGTATTATTGTCGATTTTTGATAATTGGGGAATTATTTGGAGCATTCGGGAAATAAACAGGGAGTCGATTGTTATGTTTATTTGGTTGGGTAGGAGATAGTAATTATGCAGATTATAAAATCTGTAATTAGTGGGATTATTTGAATTAATCAATTACAGAAGCATAAACCTAAACCTAATCTTCCTCTCTCTCCTTCTTCCCTCCGTCTCCCACTCTCCCTTCCTTCTCCAAAAGCTGCGGTAGCAGCCTGCTTCTTTCCATTCCCTATTTTCTCAATTTTCCCAACTCCAATCCCTAATTGATCTAGTTAATTTCCCCAATTCCGAACACGTTAGAAACCTAGTTTCTAACATCTAGTATCAGAGCACGGTTCGAGAGCGAGTTCCACGTAAATCTTGAACCAGGGCAGGCATAAGAAGACAATGGTGCTGACTAAGTCTCAAATTGCGGCGGAGAAGGGGACTCAGGTGGCCGAGAGAGCCACCAAGGCGGGCGACAGCGGGCTCGACGGGGTGGTAGAGGACGAAACTGAGCTCGAGACGGTGAAGGTGGTGGTGCATGAGCACTCAGGAGCGCTGGCTCGGCTCGAAGAAAGCCTGACAAGAGTGCAAGCTGACGCGAAGGCGGATGCGGAAGACCTTCGCTAGAGGCTGGAGGACCTGATGCGAGTGGTTGCCTCGTTGCAGGCAAAAGGGGACAAAGCAGGGGGTACGGCGAACCCGACCGAGCTGGCGGTCAACGGTGGCGTCGCGGCTGGCGGCGGATCCACCATCGCGGGACCATCCCCGATCCCAGCCGAGGCGGCAAACGTGGTCTGGGGGGCGGCGGGTCTTCCTCAGCGAAGCCGGCGGCAGAGCTGGCAGTCGCGGCGGCTGCGGAGGCCGAGGGAGGAAGGGCGGCATATGTGGAGCCGTCCCGGGCGGATCGCGCGGCTGCGGTGGCGCGTGGGTGTGGTCGTGGGTCGGGTCTGTTATTGACCCCGTCGGCCCAAGAAATCGCGGCCATGAGAGGTAAAACGAAGATGTCAGGGTATGATGATGTGGGCCCCCCAGCTGAGTTTCGGCCCGCACGAATCAATGGGCCAAGGCAGGGAACCCAACAGGCTGGGGTGGCTGAGCCTGGACGAGGAAGAGGAGATGGGCCCGGGCCGAAACCGGGAAGGGGGCGATGGGGCGGGGCGCAACGAGGGAGTCGGACTGACCGCCCAGGTGTGGACCAACCCGAGGCCGGTGGACCGGGGCGGGCCGAACCGGTCTGGGTCGACCAGAGTGGATTGGCCCGGGTCGAGTCAAGCCGGGGCAAACCAGCAGGCTGAACCGGTCCGACCAGTTCCTGGGCGGGTCGGGCGATCGAGAATCTGGAACCAGAAGAGAGCTCGGCAGGGGTTCGGGACCCTCTTACCCGTCATTTCATGGTCCCCGTTCACCGCCAAGGCAGTGGGATTCGAGTCAGGCACAGAAGGCTGGACCGGACGAGTATGCGGAGTACTCGTTCGAGGAGGAAGAGGAGTGGGGCCGAAGCAGAGGGCCGCCGGGTCCGCGGGGCTATCACGACCGAGTTTCGGGGTACGACAGGTATGACAGCTATCCTCGCGACTTTGATGGTGATTTGGTGTTTAGGGCCAAATCCCCTACCATTGAGTTCCCAAAATTCAATGGTCAGGAGGATGCAAGTCTATGGTTGTATGCAGCAGACAGGTGGTTCAAGAATCACCCCACCAAGGAAGAAAGGAAGGCGCATCTGGTGTCCTTCTACTTAGAGGGAGACGCGCTACAGTGGTGGGAGTGGCTGGAGCGATCATGCGCAGCTGCGCAGACTTTGATCACCTGGCCTTTGTTCAAGGAAGAGCTACAATATCAGTTTGGTAAATCGGAAGGGTGGGCACCGGAGCAACTGGCTAAGCTGCGCCAGACCGGGACAGTAACGGAGTACAAGGCGGAGTTTTTCAAACTGGGCAATCAATGCAAGGGAGTACAGGAGGAGACCCTGGTTGGGTTGTGCATGGATGGCATAAAGCCAGAGATAGCCGCGACGGTTAAGGTTTTCGAGCTTGACTCGCTGCGGTCTGCTTTTCGTCTTGCAGGTTATAAGGAGGAGGAGCTGGCCAGCTGGAGGAATACGATTGGACGATTTCCAAAGGAAAGCGGGAGTGGAGGAGGTGGCATCGGATCAAGCGGCGGAGGGGCGAATGCGCCCATCGGCACAGGGCTGTCGCCAGCTGGCGCAGTCTCCTCGAGTCGGCAAGCCCCTAGGCCACCCCCAAAAGAATTCGTGAGACTCTCACCACAGGAGATCGAGCAGAAGAGGAGAGAGGGAAAGTGTTTCAACTGTGACGAGAGGTTCACCGTGGGACACAAGTGCACCAAACCCGATTTGATGATGCTGGTGGGACGTTGGGAAGATGAAGCAGAGGAGGAAGCAACCGAAGAAGGGCCGCCAGAATTGGAATAGGAACCACAACCTTGAGGGCGAGGTTGTTTTCCAAGGAGGCAGGGATGTTGGAAACACATTATTTGCAGTTTTGGTTATTTCGTATTATTGTCGGTTTTTTATAATTGGGGAATTATTTGGGGCATTCGGGAAATAAACAGGGAGTCGATTGTTATGTTTATTTGGTTGGGTAGGAGATAGTAATTATGCAGATTATAAAATATGTAATTAGTGGGATTATTTGGATTAATCAATTACGGAAGCATAAACCTAAACCTAATCTTCCTCTCTCTCCTTCTTCCCTCTGTCTCCAACTCTCCCTTCCTTCTCCAAAAGCTGCGGCTGCAACCTGCTTCTTTCCCTTCCCCTATTTTCTAAATTTTCCCAACTCCAATCCCTAGCTAGATCAATCCCTAATTTATCTAGTTAATTTCCCCAATTCCGAACACGTTAGAAACCTTGTTTCTAACACTCGAAGCATGCGATGTGGATTGCTGAGTTGGACTGATGAGGTGTTTGCTTTTGTTAAAGGTGATCAGAGCGGATTGCTTTTGACCTTGACGATTCGTGCTCCCCTAGTCGCAACCGTAAATACCCCTTCCCCTTTTCATTCCTCATTCAAACCACAACAACACTTCTTTTTTCCTCCTCTCTTCCACCATTAGAGGAATTCTTAGTATGCTTTGTGGTTGCAGTTAACCCTAACCTCCCACACTAGAAAAGTTCTCCTTGAGTTGTGATCCAATCCTCCTCTAAAAACTGTCATCGAGTCTTTCTCCAAAAATAGACGAAGAGTCCTTTAGGATACCTACTCGTTTTTCCTGTTCTGGTTTAATATTTTTGAACTTATTGTACATGTTGTAAGATCAATAATGCTTTAGTAGTTAACCATGGTTGGCTCGTTGAACATTTTCAAAATTTTGAGTCTTTTGCCCAAAGTATCATAAATAAAGAAATTTTGAGTATACTCTGTGGTTGCGGCTAACTCCAACATTCCGCACCATAGAAGTTTTCCTTGAATTTTGAGGTTTATGTTTTCATGATCTGGCAATTTGACAAGCAGTTTGACCAGTGCAAATAAGAGAAAGTTGTTTAAAAGGAGTTATTTCGAGGGGGAGTAGTCATATCTGACTTTAGACTAACCCCAGTAGGATTTGACTTCGAAAATACTATATATGGAGAGGCTCAAGGCACCAAATCGAAGAAGGAGAATAACAATCAAGAACGGAATCACTATGGTGCTTCTTCCCCTCTCGTATTCATTTATTCTTTGGGGGTGTTATTTGAGGTCAAATAACACAAAATCTGTTATTTAACCCCAAATAACATGTTTGGCTGACAAAAAGTGGGATGTGTTATTTGGATGTAGTGTTTTGCCAAATAACAGGTTTGAGACCAAATAACACAAAAAGTGTTATTTGCCAAATACTTGGGAGGGGGCAGGTATTTCCCAAATAACAAGTTTGAGACCAAATATCACATACCAAATAACAAGTTTTATATTATGTGGTATTTGTGTGGTAATTGGCCCCAAACAAGGCAAATAGATCGATAATGGCATGTGGCTTCCACTACTCCTCGGGGCTTGAGACATGATGGGGACAAAGAGTCGAGGATTGACTTGTTTTAATTTTAGAAGGGTATATTTGTGCAAAAATTTAGTAGATACATTTGTTAATTTATCATAGTTGGTGAATTATTTTTGCTTATCAACCTACAACTCAACTACAATCCATCTAATCCAACCCACATAAGTGAATAACGGATCTTAATGGGTAAATTACAAGTTTGGTCACTGAGCTTACTAAAAAGATTTAGTTAAATTCACTAGAAATATTTAGTCACTAGAAATATTTAATTCAATTCATGGTTACTGAAATTAGTTTAGTGGTTCAAGTTTGGTCACTCTCCGTCCAATTCCATTATCTTTATCCTACGTGAGGATCAACTCTCATAATTGACCGTTAAATGAGTGACGTGTCAATTAAAAAAATTAAATTTAATATTTTAAATTTCCATCTCATTATTCCAACTATTAAATAATAAAAAAATAAAAAATATTTTTTTAATCCCCGCCAACGTTGCAACCACCAAGGCCCCGTCGCTGCGTCTCATAGCCTGGGAGAAAATTGGCCATCGTGGTGTTCCTAGCTAAATTCATCCACAGATACCAATATCTAGTCGTCGTCATCCTGCCTCTTCTGTGCCTTTCCTTTTCAACTAACGACCGTCGTTGGTAAACGTGAACCCGAGGAGAAGATTTCTCCGAGTGGGTTTTCGTTCTATAGTAAGATCGAGGCCTGATCTGAGGGCTTGAGGCTGCTGGAATTTGGGGATGTGGAAAGACGATTGGGAAAGTTGTGATTTGTTTGGGAGAGGGTTTTCTAGATCTACGTCAAGAAGAACATAAAGGAGGGGATTAAGGCGGCATGTAAGGGAAACGAAAAATTGATTCTTGCAGATGATGATGTCGACGGCGGCGGTGGCATCCAGGGATTGAATATACTGTTGCCGGTGGGAAGCAGGGCATGGCCGACGTAATCGAGGATTCCGACTGCTCTGTTTCTAGATACTACGGGAACGACTGTATGAAACTCACGATTGATCCATGGAAGGCAAGGAGTTGTAAGGGGATAGGGAAGTAGTTTGTGGAGCAGAAGAAGAAGGAAGTAGAGGAGCAGATGGTGAACTCGTGGAGGAGTTGTGAGATTGGAGGGAATGTAGCAATTTGAGGGGCAGAAAGGAAGTTAACACATGATAGGTAGGGCTGGGTTAGGTAGTTTAGGAATTAAAAGGTAATATGTTTTTTAAATGTGTTTAGAATTTTAAATATTATTTATTAATATTATTATTTAATTGACACGTCACTTATTAACTGTCAACTATGAGAGTTGATCGTCACGTAGGATAAAGATAACAGAATTGGACGGAGAGTGATCAAACTTGAACCACTTAACTAATTTCAGTGACCATGAATGAAATTAAATATTTCTAGTGACTAAACGTGAACCTTTTTAGTAAATCCAGTGATCAAATTTACAATTTACCCGGATCTTAATTATACCAAGTGAGGGAGTGAATTTTAGAGCAAAACCCATCCAACCGGTTGCCCACCCTTACTTACCAATTACCATTGTGTCGTGTGTACTCATAACTAGGGTTGGACGTTTGATTATTGGTTGTCGGTTAACCGACCGGTTAAACCAATAACCGGTGGTTACCGGTTAACCGACTAACCAAAAATTGTAAAATCGGGTGGTGTTCGGTAGCGGGGCTAGCTATGCCGGTTAACCGGCTAACCGGCAAAGCTACCCCCTTCCCCTCAATCGTAAAACAGTCGCCTCCTCTTCCACCTAAACCCTAATCTCGGCTGCGGCACTCAAAATTCTGCTCCAAATCTCATTCCCCACAGCCAAACACTACGTCCAAATATATATATGCTTTCTCTATCCAAACGCTGCATTCCACTCAGCTTCTCCACTAAATGAATCACTGCCCAGCAGCTCTCCAATTCCCTTCCGCCAATGCTCTTCACTCAAGGACAAAGGAGTTGGTCCATTTTAATCCAAGAATATCTCCTCTGCATCGCGAGACGCGAAGTCTCTCCCAGTCTCCCTGCCGCCTGCCCAACCCTCCTCCATCGACCATCTCACACCGGCGACGGCGCTCCTCCTTTCCCCTCTATCGACCATCTCCCTCCCCGACTGCCGCGACGACGACGACGACCCTTGCTCCGCCAACGCGAAGTCGCCGCTAGCCATCCCCTTCCTTCCGCCGCCGCGACCTCGCCTCGGCCTCATCTACTCGCAGCCGGCAGTCCTCCGCCGGCGCCATTCCGTTCCAGCGACCAGTGCCCCTCTGCGCAGGCCTGCACCCCGCCATTAAAACCGGTTAACATGGTCTGTTGCGGTTATCACGATTAACCGAGCAACGAACCAGTAACCAACTGATCGGTTGTCGGCTAACCGATGCATTCCGTCGAGCGGTTGGCGGTAGACGAGGCTGGCATCACGGTTAACCGGTAACCGACGTTTCGGTTATCGGTTATAACCGATATAACCGAAAATCCAGCCCAGCTCATAACCTGTCCCGGTCCGATTCGCGTACTTGATTGGTCTAAGAAACGGCCTGCCCTGACGACCCATTGACAAAGTGCATGATCAAATCCCCGGTGCCCAGCGAGCTAGAGCCTAGAAGTGGCGAAATGACGACAGCGCCGATGGCAGTTCCATGGAAACAGCTTCTCCTGACAGCGTTAGAGTCCAACGCACACCTCAAGCATTCTTCGTTTCTTCAGCTCGTGAGCTCTACCTCATCGCTAGTTACAAAATAAACCGGTGGTTGATAGCTCTGGGTTTCTAATCGTTCCTCTTCCGATGGATTTTCAGGCGACAATTGGATGCAACGGTAGACCTTCGAACCGCACTGTCGTTTTCAGGTACTTCCTTCTCTCACAATGTGAACGATCGTGCGCTCTTTGAGTCATGGTTTGTTTCTTGTTGCACAGAGGATTTGAAGAGAGCAGCGATAAAATTCAAATCAACACCGATTCTCGTACTCGGAAGGTTTCGGATTGTGCTTTTTCTTCTTCTTTCTTTCGTTCTCTATTGCAGTTTCTGGCAATCATTTTGCCGGACTTGATGTTTACCCGAATCTTGCAGATTGAAGAACTAAAGCGGTGTTCATATGCAGAGGTATTTGTTCCGACTTCCTTAGGCACTCCTGTTAAACTGTCATGTAACTGGAGGAACTCTGCTGATTTCAGAATCTAAGTCTTTTAATGTTCAATTCCAGATATGTTGGTACTTTACTGACTCTTGGGAGCAATTCCGGATCAGTGGACTAGTTGATATAATTGATGGTTCCAGTTCCGATCCTGCAAAAGTTGAGGTAATATTTTAAATGTGGCTAAGCCTTGTGTTGTGCTTTTTTAACCATCACGTTAGGAAGTTCAACAGTTGATAATTCAATTGTAAATTCATTGTTAGCAACGACATAGATCCTGGTTTGCAAGTTCAGTGAGATCTAGAATGCAATACCTGGGACCTAATCCAGGTCTTCCAGCTTTAACTGAGCATCCTCACCAAGAACTCGTCCTTGATCCTTCTTCTGGCCCGGTTGCTGCATTCTGCCTTCTGGTTTTAGATCCCAATGAGGTTCCAAATATTATATTCTTCAGTTTTCTTAACTGATTGCATGTGCTTATGTTCGTAGCTCCGTTGAAAATTGGTTTTAAGATTTCTTCTTCTCCTCCCACAGGTTGATTACTTGAATCTGAAGACTAGCGAGAGAGTAATGTTTACCACTAGCACAAGCGTTAGTGGAGAAAAGTGCTGGAATTCAGAGAAGATCAACCCTTAAACTACTCAAGCAAAATATAAATCCTTGTCAAACTACAAATCTGTTTTTACAACTTACGATTGGTTAGTACCTTGTGCAAATTGATGTACGCTTCTAAGGCCGTGTTGTATGCAACAAGTCTGGTGAATACCACTAAGAACCAGGAAATGGATAAAGCCTACTCTAGCACTTGTTGGGTGGGGCCCCAGAATGTTTAGATTACTCGAAAAGTTTTCCAGTGGAACTTGTACGATCTGTCAGTTTACTGGGAAGCGGTATCTTCTTCTTCTTCTTCTTCTTCTTCCTATTTACACTCGCAACTGTTACTAGTCAGCAATATCCATTTACTGTCTTCCATACTCATTGGTCCAGCGTAGTTCGTGTGCTGTGCAGTACCTATATATGTCTTACGACTCTATTGTTTGATTCTGCTGACAACTATCATAGCACATCAGACTTCCTGTACTACATTCAGATCAGTACCACCTTTGCTATGACTATCTGGAGTATTATTTCATTTCATATTTTTTATTTAGTACAAGTCTTGCTGGCTGCTAGTTGAATATCGAATTTCTAGGCAAGTTTTCTCATCCTTTGTTTGAGATGATGCAAAGCATGGAATTGGTGGAGCTACGGCGACTACTCCCCTGATTGAGGTATGTTTTGAATCCTATTATTTCTAATTCTATTTTTCGGTGACTTCATCCTGGCTGGCATATGATTATAGAATCCTTACTGCTTGTTAACCTATATATATATGACTACTCTTTGCCTCCAAGCTCTGTGCCCTCTTCTTGTTGAAATTAGCCCCCAATTTAGGAATTTGATGACTTTCAGCCATCTTCCAAGCTGTCGGTGTCATGATCTACTGAGTCATCATTCATACTACTGTTGCCTTTATTTTCCACAGACTGACTGGTACAGAACTTGTTAGCCCCAATTCACTTGATTTCTTTACAGTGAAATTCAGCAACTAAGATCGTCGTTGTGGTGCTTCTTGTAGATCCACAATGATTATATTCACCATAATCAACTGAATGATCTATTGCCAGATAGGACACACTGAATAACTGTTGCATGCATATACTAAATATTTTTTATAAATAAAATCCTGGTCCATTTATGTATTTATATAGGCTAGTTACATGAAAAGCTAGTAATTAAGTTATTCAATGCTTGCTGACTCTCTTTGGTTTCCAATGACCTAAATTGAAGCTTTTGCTTGCATTTGAATGAATGGTCTGTATACCTTCCTGCTGATTTCCAGTTGAAGTTCGTTACTGCATACTCTAGATTGCTTTGTTATTATTGTGAAGGGAATGACCCTTTTCACCTTAAGAGTAAGCCAAGAACCGGAACAAAAAACATTTGCATATGCAACAAGCAGGCGAAGAAAGTTGCATTTCTATTATACAACACCATCGTCTAGTTGCTTAAACCACACAGATTGGATGAAAGACTATAGCACACTTTTTCAAAAGAATTGCAATCTTTAGCATATCACAGTGACAGTTTTTTCCGGCACTTATTTTAAAAATCCAAGCAGCTCTAGCAACGCGGGAGGTCTGCAGGAGGATGAGGAAGTGTCTCTAAGTGCCCAACCCCATTCTTAACTATCAGAGCTGTAGCTAATCCCCATGACTGATGTAGGTCAAAGTGGCAATGGATGAACCAAACCCCTACATTTTTACAAGAAGATCAAAATTAAATCAAGTGCCAACATTTTATTTACTAGACAAGACACTCATTATTTTCTACCACGAAAAGAATTCTACAGCCTTACCTGGATTGTCAGCCTTGAATCTGATGGCAGCCCAACCGCCTACTGGAACTCCAATTGTGTTCATGTATGGGGGGTCAACCAAATTGAGATTAGCTGTTTGAGGATTGTAGTTCCCACTTCCATATCCTACGACATAGAAACTATAGCCATGGAGATGAATAGGGTGATTCTCTGTTGTAACTGTCCCAGTGTCCTGCAAGATGATTTGTACCCTGGTCCCATACTCAATCACCTTGGTCCTAGTCCCGTTCATTGCATTGGTGTCATTAGGAGCACTGTTAGGTGCTCCATTCACAAAGTCGTAGAATCTAAGGGGTGCCGATGGGAAATCGGGAGTGAAATAATCTTCAAATCCTTTGTAGTAGGACTCCAGAACCGAAACCGTGGGCTTAATGAAACTTATGTTGTTCATGGAAGCTGCCATTGTTCCATTGTTCATACCCTGACAGTTTTGCTGGGGCGTTGGGGAACGGCACTTATTGACATTCAACCCAATAGTGAGAAAAAGGGTGGCGTCAATCTCTTTTGGAACATCATCCTTTGTGTTAAGACCTTTTAATCCGTCCATCACTGTCTTCACTGCTAAATTGTCATTGATGTTTGGCAGTCTGGCAGGCAATGATAAGCTGTTAGGCACTGCTCCTGAGTACTGGAAGTAAGCTACAGATGTTATGTTCTGAAATTGGGCATTCCTGGCTGATATGTAAGGACCTATGGCCATGCAATATCTTGCTATTGGCTGGTCAGCCTTGACCAGTACATTTAGCGTCTGGCCCGGTCCTAGCATTACACGGTCGGTGGTGAAGGGCTTTGTGTATTCTGCATCTGCTTCTACTATTGTCAATTTGTGATTTGCAATAGCAAAGAAGTTCTCTGTGTTTAAACCTGCATTTATTAGCCTCAACAAGTATGTCTTCCCCGGGACGAGATCTATCTTATACACATCTGAAACAAAAATAACTGCAATTTGTCACTATTAAACTACTACATAATGACCGCAGGACCTGATTGAAGTGAGGAACTTTGAACTGAAATCTTTTGAGAGATATATCCATGTACAAACATGGCATATAATGATTACTTTATCTTAACATATTATATAGGATTTGGTACAGAAAGTAGGGAACAGTATTATAGCATACTAATTTTCTTTAGAATAACATTAAAGTATAGAACCAGTGGTTTGCTGATTCATTTAGCTTTCATAAAAGTCAACTGAGTATTGGGAGCTTTTCTCTTTTTTTGTGTTGCTGCCTTGCCTTGGTATGATCATTCCACAACCAATTTTATACTAAGTTCAGGCCAATGATTAATGTTTTGTTTCCCCCTTTTCTTTCTCATATCGGCATACCCTTTAGCCATGATAACAATATTGCGAACTTTAGGTATTATTCACTTCATAACACTGATAAGCAATATTACCATTGGTAGAGCAGTTGTAGTTAGGGCCAGGATGACCATTAATGGTATAAGCATTAGCGGGCGGGGGTACTCCTCCACTTGCTATGACTTGGCGTTCTAGTTGCACTATATCCTGGCTCCAGTATTCCCCTGGAAAAAGTTTCATTGTATGCTTCATTAATTCAATAGCTAGAGCAAAAAGAGGAGGGAGTCTGCTTACAGATGATTTTTCTTTTTACCCAGGATTATGATGTGCTCTTCATATGGAAAAGGAAAAGGGTAAGGTACCCCGGCCTTTGGGTAAACTATAAGGGCACCATAAACGGTGGCCCTAAGCCAAGACACATGTGCATGCCAAAAGAAGGTGCCCCGTTGCTTCACCATGGTAAACTCATAGGTAAAACTCTGGCCAGGAGTGATCGGACACTGTGTAATATAGGAAGGTCCATCAAACCAGCACGACAGTATCTGCCTTACTCCGTGCCTAGAGAAGATAACAGAGCAACGTCAGAGAACCTTCTACTGTTAGGCTAACCTGTTGCAGTTTAGCTAAAGGAATAACTCACCAGTGGATGGTAGCATTGTAAGGAGACAAGTTTGTGACTTTAATGATCAACCTGTCTCCTTCTTGAGCATAGACTACTGGACCAGGAAACATGTTGTTGACTGTGACAATCTCGTTCGAGTTGCACAGTTTGTTCACCCTTGTGGTTTGTATCTGTCAAACACGAAGCGGGTGTGAATCATAGTGATGACTTGCATCCTATGGCAGATAACTGAAAAATTATATATAGCAGTGAGTACAGATTAGTTATGGACTAGTTTCCAGACCTTGAAGTCATAGAACCTGGTCGTTGTCCCTTGAGGCCACTGTTTAGCCGCCGGATAAGCAGGGAAGGTTATTCCAAACCATATGAGGAGCCAAGTGGCTAGTCTAGGAAACATTTTGAGAAGAGGTGGAAAGAAGCAGATCTCAAAAGAAAGAGAAGAGGATTGTGGTTTGTAGTATCAACTGTAGTGTTGGATTCTTAAATAGAGTTTTTGATGAAGCAGGGAAGCACCACCATCTTCAATTTCTTGTGTACATGAGGAGGGCAGAAAATGACAGTCTTGTGCAGAATAGTGGGTATTAGGTTGTTTTGTCATCAGCTTTCATGACCCTGCTGCTGGCATGGGTACGTACGTGATAATAAGGTGTTGGGGGAGTGATTATTCAATACCATGAGTTTACCTTTCCTCTGTTAGTATGGTTTTGAAACTTCTGCTCTCTCCGTTTCTATTGTAGGGGAAAAGTGTTTTTCTTGTTTCTTTCTGGAACAGTGTTGCTGTTGAATCATCATGACATTTGACTGGGATACAAAAAAGGGCACGAGAAGATCAAAGCCTGCTTCTCAGCGTCAAATCTAATTCAATGCCCCAGCCAGGCCAGGTAAGTTAGTTACTCTCTACTCTACATCCAATTAATCCCTCAAGTAGTCTTATGGGTCGTTTGGATGTATCGTTTTGGTTCTGTGGTATTTTGTTTTTTGTATGTGGCATTTCAGCTTGAAATGTGGTAATATTATCTTGTTTTGATTGAACATTTACATATTTTGCTATTTCACTGCTTAAAAGAAGGGAGGAGAGAGTTAATTGAAATGTCTAGGCGGAGGAGGTATTTCAATTGACTCATTCTCCTTCATTTCAATTGCCGGGGCCCCAAAATACAACAATCCAATTTTTGTTTGCCAAACGAGTTATTTCGGCTGAAATAACTCATCCAAACGACCCGTTATTCATTATTCTTTTCTTCAGTATAATTTACTGCCTTAAACCACATGAAGCCATGCTTGCTGCATCGAAACGAAGTAATTAATATTTAATATCAGGGAACAATGAGCCTCGCGCTGTTGTCAACATGCACACCTTCCTGTATTCTTAACAAAAACTAGACTCACGGTGAGAGGAGAAGCAAAAGCAAGCAGTAGGTACGCAACTGGCACAAAAGAAACCTTTATTTACATGGCAACCAGCAAATGTAGTGTCTGTTGTAGTGTTGAGGTTTTGTTTGACATGTCTCTGACCTAGAAATGACAGGAGACATGGATGGTGCACGCCTGCCTGCCTACCTCAATTCAGAAATCAGAAGCTCACACCACACCAGTCACCAGTTCTCTTTTCAGGTGACACTTTCAGCTAATTAAGCGTCAGAAAAGACCCATCATTTTGTCGCTTTGCAATGATAACAAGAAGAGGGTCTTGGTTTTGTACCCTGCCGCCCGTTATTTGTTGGTTGATCATCATCTGATGAGTTACGAGCTAGCTAGTTTTGATTAATCTGGTCATTAATTCCATTTGCATTATTGAAAAGACAGTAGATCGAGGTTCTAAACATGCATTGCATTTGCAGTAGTAGTGCTGCTGTTTCTTCTTGCTGGACCAGGCGACGACTGAGCTAGCTAGCTAGCTATATATATATATTGATGGGAGCAGTTCGCCTCAACATCATGCATTGCATGCCACGTACTACTAAAGGAAGTAAGTCAGGATCCAGCTCTTGCCTTCCACATTAAACTTCTCTTTCTTCTTTCTTCCTGCATGAGCTTTATTTTGAATTTTGATAGCTTTCTTGATAGTTTGTTTAGTTTAATCTGCATGAGTTGCCGACCAGCTAGAATAAACAGCAATTAACTCCTTAGTCATCCCTTAGACCTTGTTCTCTCTTTCTTTGTTTGCTTCCACCTTTCCCAATCCAGGCCTCTCTCACCAGATACGTCGTTCACGAATATAGCAATTAATATTTGCCTGCATGCAAATGCTTCCGCCAGCACCTCTACAGCTCTACTCTTATCTACTCCTTTATTTATATATATATAAGCGAAAGAACAGACCAAAACAAAACATGAAAAGAAAAGAAAAGCTCACTGTAAATATATATATATATCCCAAAGAGTAAAACTCATGACGCAAGGTTTTAGTTATGAAGAGTTGACCCTGGAGATTATTTAATACCAGCACTGACTACTACATCATAACAAACCTCTTCAACTTGTATCTAGTCAATAACTAATCTTGTTATATAATATGCAAAGAAAACGAAATGGAGATTGACACAGATTTATGTGGTTTTCTCGTTAAGTATAAACAAGACTAATCCACGACCTAAAGTTCATGCATGTATATATATGCTACTGATCCTAGGGCAACACGGATGTGTACCTTGTTCTTGGGCTACACGAAACCATATCCAACTCCCTGCATATGGGTTGTAACCACTATCTACAATTACAAGTATGTCATTTAACACCCTCCCCTAACTGACGAGGGTTACACATCATCAATTTGCCAGCCAGGTAAGAATGACGGCTAGCAGTGAAGGTCTTCGTAAACAAATCAACCAACTTATCTTCAGATGAGATAGTGCCACCATAAACAAATCAACCAACTTATCTTCAGATATGATAGTGTCACTATAAACAAAGTCTCGAATATAGTGAACATCAACCTCAATATGTTTGGTGTGGTCTTGCAGAACCAGATTCGTTGCAATACGAATGACATTGGTATTGTCAACATAGAGCTCCAGAGAAACTGTACATGCCACACCCAACCACTCCAATTCAAAAGTAACATAAGACAAAGCACGATATTAGCTTCTATAGATGACTTAGAGACTCGATCTTCTTGTACCGTAATGATATAACCAAACCACATTGTCGAACACACTATCCTGTAGTAAAACGTCGAGTATCAACACAACTGACATAGTTGGATAGCCAATCCCAATGCAGAACAGAGAATCATTTCCCTACACCCATTTCGTGGAATAAGACACAATTAATCACAACCTTTCTTCCTTGAACTAGGTAAAGCGTACGTGTCTTCACAATATGAAGATCATAGCACCAAATGTTTATTCTCGGTAAATTGTGCCTTCACAATATAAAGCCTCTGTGTCCTCACAAAATCATTTCCCTACCTCTAGTTGGCTTAGGGACGGGTATGGCGAGGTTGGTCAACGAACTTTGTTGTTGTTGATTGTGAATAATTGTTAACAAACTTTCCATTAAAACTTGGGTATAACTAGGTTGGTTAAAGTGCTTGTTAATTTGAGATACGGAATTGACCGAACACATTCATTTAGTTGCGATACCAAGTAAACATGATGGTGATAAGGAAAAATCTGAACAAGAGCTCAAATGCATTCTTCTTTTTGTTGGTTCATAGTCGACATGGAGTTTTGGTCTTGCTACTTTATGTATCAGAGTCAATTTATCTTTATCCTCAATTGGGGGGGGGGGGGTGTTGGGATAAGAAAAACACATTTAGTTAGTTGTTATACCAAGTAAACATGATGGTGACTATGTTATTCTTAGTTGTCACATGAGTTCATACAAATGAATGTATTGATAACATTAGTATATTTGGCAACTGAATAGTTAAATGGGGTAGAGTTATGCATATTAATATAAGTGGGAGAGTTTGGAATTGATTTGATAGCCAATTAGGTGAAATTTGAGTTCCTTTAATTTTGTGGTGCGAGTTAATTAGCATTTACAAAATTTTAATTTTCAAGTTTTATCGTGGACAACTCATTGCGGGTCCGCCCCTAACTTCAATGTTGTGATTTGTGAATAGTCAAACCTAAGAAATGTAGCGTGACAAAACCGAAGGCCCAATGTTTTTCTTCTTCTTACAGTGGTGGGCTTTTTCTTTGATCCTCCTCTTGGCGATTTGCATAGGAATTTCAAAAGGAAAAGAAGAAAGAAATGTAATGCATGCGACGGGCAGATGTAGGAATGTGTGGTTTTGCAGTGCCCCCATCAGTTCAGTCATCATCACACGATTTCTCCGTTGCACCCACGCAAGACGCAACACAACAACTTAATTGTGTCTAGTCTGTCATAGAAAAAGTTATGGCTTAATACACCTGCATAGCCACAAATTTTTTACTTTGTGACAATAATAGCCACTTACACTTTATTGATGACATCTCTAATGCCGTCGAAGTTTGTAATGGAAATGGCTAAATTTGGCAATAAAGTTTCAAAAGTGTGGCTATATTTGTGTATTTTTCAAAATTTGGCTATTATTGTCACAAAGTGAATAGTTATGGCTATGAAAGTGTAATTTGCCAAAAGTTATGTTGAGTTTTATACCACTCTCTAACTCGCCCCCTCAAACGAAAACTAATTTATGGGCTTGAAATATGCACAGGTCTGTCATACTTTGTACTTTAATCAACTGAAAATATTGAGGATCGTGGAGATTCGAACAGACGACTATTTGCCAAACCAACTATGATATTATGTTATAAACCAATTGATCCCAATAATAACTCAAATTATTAAAAAAAAAAAGTTATGTTGAATTTTAAACCATTTTCTTAACACTATTCCCATCCTCACATCACTACCACGGGACACCGTACAGTACACACGCCGCACGCGAACGCGATAAATAAACAAAAAAACGGAAACAGGGGGAGGGAGAAAGTGAAGGAGGAAAAGGCCCCCCATCCCAATCCCATACGCCCATCGCATTCAAACAGAAATTCACGAGGGAGGGGCATGTGAAACTCGTGCATTATTAATTATTAACCCCACACAGCCCCCACCGCACTATTATTCACCACCACAATCATCACCTTCCTTGCCCTTCCATCCATCCATCCAGATCCAGGCAAAGCAAACCCAACCCATAGAAACGCTAGACCAACCTGACCATTCAACCTATAATAATAGTGTAATCGGGTTGGGTTCAAAAAAGTTGTGGGTTAGTTGGATTTTAGATTTATCGAGTTACAAGTCACTATGTTTGAGTTCATTAGGTTACAAGTTCATTGAGTTACGGGTCATTCCAATTGTGAGCTCATTGGGTTGCGAATCAGTCATATTACAAGTTGTTCTGGATATAGATTTAAAACAAATTACACTACACATAACATAAAGTAGACTAGAAGGTCATAAAACATATAATAACATCACTACACCATAAAATTCATAAACCATACGAGATAATTCAAAGCTGATCACAAGTTTTTAAAGCATACTAGAAACATTATAAAAGCATATGTTTCCAGAAACACAGAGGAAACCTCATAAAACCGACCACAAGTTTCATAAAGATGATCAAGAACCTCATAAAACATACCACAAGTTTTCTGAAACATATCACAGAAACTTACATAAAGCTGATCACAAGTTTTCTCAACCAGATCATAAGATTTTTGAAGCAGACTATAAACCTCGTAACTCTTACAACAAGTTCTATTAAGTAGACAAGAGATATGCGGGACCACACCAAAACTCTCACTAGAAAGACTATAAACCTCGTAACTCTACTAGAAAGACGCGCTCCGATAGCAGCAGAATTTCATGACAAGTGCTTTTCCCCAGTTTTACTACACGCAAGAGGGAGGAGAAAGAAGCTAATGATCTTGTAGTGTTTGCTGCGAGCCGAGAGGAAGCGGTGGTAATTGGTTAGTGTACTTACTGGATCTTCTGATTTTGGTGCTGTGGTTGTTGAATGAGTACTTTCTATCTTTTGACGCGGTTGGGTGGTTGCAGTTCGCCGCTTCTACCAAGATGCTCGTTTCCTTTCCTGACTGCACTGGATATGATATGTGAGAAAAGAAAAGACCAAAGATTTACCTGCCACCGACTTTACCTTACAGTAACAACAAATCTCCTCCAGTCCAGTGTAAGCATGAAAGAATCCCAATAATGATATCTTAACAAGCAGCAAGCAAGAGATGTGAATCCCAATATATAACTGAAATGTGCTTTTGAAACTCCACCCAGACCAGAATTTAGACGACAAGGAATTAAAGAATCAACAAAACGGGACTAGTACCAACATATAACAGTAGGAGTTAACAGAGTTCAGTCCATTAAAGGAAAGGAGGAGAAAAGAAGGGAACGATATGCACTTTCTTTCCCTTGCATTCTTTTCTTCATTTCTTCCTCTTCCTCTTCCTTATGACAGACAGAAGAAACTATGTATACACTATAAACATTGGGAGTGCACTTTTCTCTTGACCAACTAAAATAGTCATTTCCCTTTTCCTACTCTCTTCCCAACACTTTCTTCATTCATTCCTATGGATCACTTGCCAGTGCTATCTCAAAAAATAAACCTCCCTTTCGAAAAACACATAAAACCAACAAAAGACAAACATCCTTTGCCAAGAATGTTCTCATAATTACTACTGCTACTACATATTCATCATCTCTACGGGCTAAATCGTAATGTTAAAGAATTGAACCTTCCATCCGAGCTACTTGATCAACAAACTGTAGCCAATGAACACTACCCAATAGACGATAATGGCTGCTGCAAGGAGTTGGATTCATGGGAAAATACCGCCATTACCCGCTCCTTTGTAAGCTGTTCTGACCCTTGCGCTGGCTTGATCACAAATGTGTGGAACACCATATCATTCCCTGCAGCCAGTTTAGACTCTATCACATTGATCTGTGCCTCCTTGAACAATTGGATCACCCTCGACGCTGGATGCGAATCCAAAGGGCACCTCACCCTCACAATCACCTCATCGTGGGAGGAAGCTTGAACTTCCACATCCGTAACACCCCTGCTGATGACATTGTTTTCTCGGATGGAATTACCCTCTGATCCCGGCTCCCTTGAGCTGCTACTCCCCCCTAACCTCTCCCTCTCTGCTTCCATCAGCTTCACTTTAGCTTGAAGCTCATTTATGTATGCAATGGCATCTCCCAACAAGGAAGCCTTGTCCATCTTTGAGATGTTCGGCACCACAGCTCTCAAAGCGTAGAACCTTTGGTTTAGCTTCTCTCTCCTCTGCCTCTCTGCTTCCACATGATTCAATGGTTCTTCCCTTCCGTTCGCCGGTTTCCTTCCCCTCTTTCTGGGCCTCTTGTCATCAGCACCTGCTGCTCGCGGATCATCCTTCCCCACTGTGGCTTCAACATCTGAATGTTCAGACTCGGGGCAGGCAGGCCGAGCAACGACCGAAGGCCCACCAGAAAAATCAATCTGCATTTGCACCACCTGCTTCTGTTGTTGCTGCGGGTAATGGTTAAGCCTAAACTCTTCCCTAGCTCCATTCACAAACTCTTGAATGTTATTTGCTGCAGTTGCTTTCATACCGTGTACCTCCCCCTGGTTGTTTCCTTGCTTAACGCTGAAACTATGCGCTGCCCAGTTCGAACCATGGAAACCATTTCGTGGCCGGGTGGTGTCGTGGTATGAGGATGCCGCCGGAGTCCTCTCCTCCATCTTCCTCACCGCCAATTTCTCCCGATGGCCATGGCTGTGGTGGAGGCGATGATTTGAATTGTTCAAATCTGTCCCGAATATTTTGGGCGCACCCGAATTCGCAAACCCTGAAATCTCGTCTTTCTTCTCATTCGCCACCGCGGCGGGAGGTACCGATACCGGGACAACCACCGGCTTAGCTCTCATAACCGAAGGGCGAGAAGAGAAGCAAGAGGCCAGGGACTGAACCAATTCGACGCTCTCAGGGACCGGTATCACAGATCCCAATTCGAGAACCCCGACATCAGTCGGCACAAGGACGATGGTTTGAATCCCGGCGGACTTGGAGAGAAACGACCTAACGCAGTAATCGGGGGTCGATTTCGATTTCAGGGCGTCGGAGATCCAGACGTGTTTTCCGGATGCGAAACATTTGCCCGGCCCGCCTTGGCCTCGAGGGAAAGAGAAGTACATGGAGGCGAGGAAGAACATCTCGGTGTCGGTGACCCGGTCCAACCCGAGAGCATACTCGTCGTCATCGTCCGACCCGCCGAACAACTGCTGGAGCTTGTGGATGACCCGCTTCCTCATCCGCTGCTGGGTTTCGTCTTCCAGGAGAAGCCGGGTTGCCGGTTCGGAGGCGGCTGCTTCCCCTTCCCGGGGCTCCCTGCATGACCCGTCTGCCCAACCCAGGACCCAGTCGCCGGACTTTGAATACGAAATCTGCCAGAAAATTGCATAGTTCCAGCTGAAGTTGCAAGGGTTGGGCCGCTCCACCAGATCGGAGAGCTTGTTCTGCAAATTCTCGTCGCTGCCCATGGTGGTTAACAGATTCTCATTCGGCACCGTGTTGGTTACCAAATGATCGAAAGCTAGGGTGCCCAAAACGGCAGAAATTACAGCTTTATCTTCTTCATTCCACCCCCCGCCTCCCGCCGTACTGCTCACCCCAATCTTCATTTCCGGGCAAAGGAAGAGACAAATACCAAACAACTCTCGACCTCAAACTCAAAGGGGGAGGGCGAGCTTCCAATTTGATAGATATCCCTCAAAAATCCAAATACGAGGCCAAATTCCCAGAAACCAACGGAGCAGAACGAGGGACAGCTAGAGGATGAAATCTGGCGAATTCAGTCTTACAAGAGGACCAATCTCCCACATTTTTTCTTCGCTAAAGTTGGCAACAGATCTCAAGTGCTCCAAACCAAACTAAGAGACAAAGAGGGCAAGCGCCGAATTGAGAGACAATACACACCGCCAAAAGCAAGTAGCAGAAACTTCTAAACTGCTGCGAAATCTCCAAGGAAACCAACAGTTTCGGCAGGAGGGATTATCGGGGCAGACAAACGGTAACAAAAGAAGATTTCCCCGGAAAGCAAACAGCAAGTCGAGCTTTCCAATCGACGGAGTTGAGAAGGAAACGAGAGAGGAAAAGGGCTTCCTTCTTTCTTTCCTTAGTTCATTTACCAGATATCGCTTACAGGGACCAAGGGAGAGGGAGAGGGAGAAGAGGAGAAGAAACAGAAGGAAGAGAGGCGATGAGATGAGATGGATCTTGGCTGTGGTTTGCTATTTTTTCTGTTTCTGTTTTTTTGTTTTTTTTTTTTTGTTGCTTTCTCTAACTCGTTTACTGCGTTAAGTTGGACCGTGGTTAAGTAGAGGCAGAAAGAAGATTAGATGAGTTCAAAAGTAACCATGGTTAACTCTTTCTGATTAACGAATATTATAAATAAACAGTATCCCCACGAGAGAAAAAAAAACATGGACCGCATTTGTTTTGTCTTATCTAAAATTATTTTTGATTAATTTGGGAGTGTTATTTGCAACTTTAAATAATATTTATGTGTAATTTTAAAATTTAATTTTATACTAGTGCCAATTTCATAATAACTGAATCGGATCAACGGCTGGGCTAGTACAACTGTTAAATCATTTACGATAGCGGTCTTGTTCATTAATTGAACGGTTATTGATGGACCAAACGACTTTTCACGATTCGACATAAAATCTGATGAACCACTACTGTTTAACTGGTCCACTGTTTCACTATTTTAACCACAAAAGTTAAAAAAATACTTTAATGTAAACTAAGACCATCAAGCCATGATTATTAATTTTATATACGGTTCCTCTTCTCATTTTCCAATCTTGTTGTCATTTTTATGTGGTCTACTATCAATGGGCACCATAATTTTTAACTTGAATTAAAAAATTATTAATTCTTTTTTAATGGTTTGAATGATTTATTAGATATTTTTGATGATGATATGAATTTGAATTTGTTTATAATCAATGATAACTTCATTCTTAAATTAGTGTAATATACATGTCTTGTATGTTACATACATCATGAACGATTCTATCAACGGTTTATTAACGATTTTATAACGGTTAACGACTGAACACTAAGCCACTAACTTTTTCGGTTCAGCCACTAGTCCAATGCTGAAAACATAGACTAATACTCATCATCTATATATAGTGTGAATGTGTGACGATGAGTAGAGCTCAACCTTATTATGACCAGGTGAGTTTTGACCCGACTCGTGAGCAAAACAGAGCAGACATGAGCATAGCTTCCAACCCGTCCTGACCTGATCCGGCCAGCTTGTTCATCTGCACGCCTAGTACCCTACCATACAACACATCATAATCATCTTAGCCACAATTCTCATTTCCACCTATTCGTGAAAACTGAAAACTCAAAGGCCCTGAACGCTTCCCTTTTTAATTCTCAAGAATCATTTTGCCTTCCCAATTCTGTGATTGATCTTCCCTTTTCCTTTTTCATTCCTTCATTAGCTTCTCAATAAACTTAGCATTGATTGCAATATATCCCTTTTTTCGATTCTCCGTACCTCTAATTGCCTTTTTTTTTCTTCTCATTCAATTGCTTAGGTTAAAGGGAAGATGAACACCAAACTAAGAATCACTAGATATGCTCTTAGCCTCCACTTCTCTTCTATGTCACCCCGACTCGTCTTCTGTTATCGATGATTGATGACGGATCATCCCTTTTTCACAGTTCCCTTTGTTTACTTTGATTTGTTATGCTCGGAGAATTAAAAGCATTCGACTCCCATCTTGTTCCGTTACTTTTCCTTTGTCTTCCTTTCCATTTATGTTTAGTGACTGCAACACGTTTATGACTCACATCTCTGTCTCTTGGGCACACTTTGTTTTTCCTTTTTGTTCTGGATGATAAAAGATGTATCCAATGTCCACTATCTTTTTGGTTAATTAGATGCAAACCCATAACATATTTGCTCTTTTTTTTTAAGTAAAACATCTGCATTTTATTAAGGCCTCATGGGCTCTTTGTCCAAAAAAGGGAGAAGAAAGACTGGGGGCAGGGCCGTCCCATTATATTTGGAGGTACTGTTCGAAAAATAAAAACGTGGCCCCGATATTTTTACTTCACAGATTTATTAAAAATAAAATTTATTAAATAACAATAAAAAATACATAAGTTCGGAAAATGATTACGAAAAGAATAATATTATCAATCATTATTTGAAAAGTAACAATCGTCTAGTATTATTTGAAATGAAATCCTCTATTAGCATTAGCATCTAAAACATCATTATCATCAACAACAAGAGTAGCAATATTAGCATCAGAATCGGTTTCTTTCACCAAAAATTTATGAAGAGCGCCTTTTTGAGATTGTGTTAACAACGCAATCCTTTGTTTCTTTTTACGCTTAGAACTACCTGATTCAAATTTCCTAGTTGACATAATTAAAATTGTTTACCAATCCAATTATCCGAATTTCCAATCAAAAGTTCCCTGCAAAAAAAAAAAGGTTAGAAACAAAATATGGCAGCCGACTTCCCCCTTCAAATGGAAATGGGCTATGACCATTAAGGCCCAATTATGATTGGGCAATTGGCATCGGCCTCCAATCCTTCATGTCTCCATCCCTAAGTTTAATTGACGAGAGAGACGGAGAGAGGAGAGGAGAACTTACAGAAGCGGCGGATCGGAAAGACGGAGACAGCGGAGAGCCGTGCACAGCGGCGCCGACACAGACAAGGAAGTCGGCAACAGGGGCGGCTCCCGGCGGCGGGCTATGTTGCCGTGATGCTTCTCCTCTTCCGTCGATCTGACGGTCTGAACTCTGAACTCTGGAGAATGGAGATTTAGAGGGGAATCTGCCAATCAGGGGAGAATTGAAATAAGAAGATGGGAGAGGGTTTGATTTTCGACTACTTCTCCTTTCTTTACTTGCCCGCCTATTTAAGGAGGGGATTGAGCTGAATAGGAGAATTGAACGTTGGATTGTGAACGTTGGATTGTTGATTGTTGAACGTTAATAGTCATTGGAGGAAGATAGAAGAGTTAATTAGTTGTACATTAATTTGTTTTGGGAAGGTTTTGGGGAGTTGTGGAATTGATTGCAATGTCTGCGGAATGATTTTGGGAAAGGGAAGGATAGTTGAGAAGTCGCTGGCGCTGGAAGAGGAGGAAGAGTTCATTTTCCCAAATTATATATATATATATAATTGTATGGGCTGGGTTGGGCTGAGGCCCCAATATTCTTGAGACCCTGTGCTGTGGGTCAGGCCAGCACAGGGTCTGGGCCGGGCCTGACTTGGGGGTCTAGAACCCATCAATTGTTTTTGGGCATCCTAGTTACACTTAATGTGGGCCAAAAGATGGGCAGCTCCATTACATTCTCTTTTCACAAAATGCCACTGGGTCGAGCCAAACCGAGCTGCTTCGGCCTTCAGTTCCATGATCAGTAGTCCAGCTTCCAATCTCGTCTCCTCCGTTTTCTGCAGAGCGAAATATGCACTCTGACAATCTGTTTCGATGATAACAGAGGTCAGACCATGCATCTCCGCCGGCTGAACGTTGAAGACGATAGCTTTAAATCCAGCCAACTCCAACTCCAATGACCATATGATCCTCTATCTACAGACCGCTGCCATAATAAATTTTAGTTTCCTTTGTATAGTTATCTTTCTATTTTATGATTGATACTAATGAAAATTAGTATCCTCTAGTGCGTTATTTCATATATGCATATTAGGTATGTGAATGGCAGAAGAAATTGTCATCCCAAACGTTCCCTAATCAGGGCCCCCAGCCTTCTTTGAGAACTCCCGAGTAGCCGCTGATGGCCTCTCCGGTGATCGGTAGACGATGAGGATGGCAATGCCTCTCATAATGATTGTCATTTCCCCCTCGAGAAAGTGGAAGGTGTGTAATTCAGGGCACCACCTCTCTGACATTGCCGTTAACAAATCATTGTTGGTCTCAATCAGCATGAAGTGTCTTATCATTTCCAAACCCGTCCTCTCTAGATACGGCCCGAGTCAGTCATGTAATCCGGGTAAGCGTGAAGTCCCTCTATGGCTGATGGGAATGAGTAATTCCCTCTATGAGTGCTTTCTTCATCCGGCATTGCCCCTTATTCTTATGCCACTCATGTAGCTCTGCAAGATAAGCATCTCGTCGCCCCATATCCTTCTCTTTCGACTTTACTTGTGGATCATCATCCTCTTGTTGCCTCTTCAGCTACTATTTTGGATATGATTAGGAGCTTCCCTCGTGGTACGTCTTGTGGGAGGGATGGTTTTCGGGCTCAACATCTTATGGATTGTCTGAGTGGAGCTACTGTTGCTAGCTCGGATGATTTGGTCGCCTCTATTACTCGGGTGGTTAATCTTTTCCTTGAGGGTCGATGCCGCATATCCTTAGTGAGTACACTGCTAGCGCTCCTCTCACGCCGCTTGTTAAGCTAGAGGGTGGTATACATCCTATAGCTGTTGGCACTATTTGGAGACGTCTTGTCTCTAAAGTTGGTGCTTGTCTGGTTGGCCCTTCTTTATCTAGCTATTTTGATGGTCTTCAGTTTGAGGGTGGCATTTCTGGTTGAGGAGAGTCTATTTTGCATGCCTTGAACCGGCTAGTTAAGACCCGTGGTGGGTGGTATACATCCTATAGCTGTTGGCACTATTTGGAGACGTCTTGTCTCTAAAGTTGGTGCTTGTCTGGTTGGCCCTTCTTTATCTAGCTATTTTGATGGTCTTCAGTTTGAGGGTGGCATTTCTGGTTGAGGAGAGTCTATTTTGCATGCCTTGAACCGGCTAGTTAAGACCCGTGGTGCTGACGTTGGTCTTTCTATGTTGGTGGTCGATTTTCAGAATGCTTTCAATTTAGTTGATCGTGGGGCCATGCTTCGGGAAGTTTGATGTAGGTGCCCAGTTCTTTCCCGATGGGTAGAGTTTTGTTACTCTACCCCTGCCCGACTGTATTATGGGAAGCATAACTTATGGTCTTACCAGGGGGTTCAGCAGGGGGATCCTTTGGGCCCTCGGCTTTTTGCTTTGGTGTTGCATCCTCTAGTGTGCAAGATCAGAGTCTCCTTTGACCTGAGTTTGCAGGCCTGGTACTTGGATGATGGCATTATTGTGGGGGATACTTTGGTTGTAGGGAAAGTCTTATACATGATTATGGATGAGGGCCCTCGTTTTGGGCTTCACCTAAATATGGATAAGACACAGATTTTTTGGCCTACTGAGGATCCTAGGAGTCGAATTTTGGGTGTTTTTCCGGCCTCTACTGCTCAACCTTCTCATGGTGTCACTGTTCTGGGTGGGTCTGTCAGTACTTTTCCTGATTTTAGCATTGACCTCATGGCGAAGAGAGTTACCAGGATCGTCGAGCTGATGGACTTGGTTGCGAGGATTGATGACCCATAATGTGAGTTGCTTTTGCTTCGGGCTTGCACTGGTATTTCAAAACTCTACTTGGCTTTGCATACTTGCTCCACTCGTGTTTTTGGGCCGGCCTAGCTCTCTTTTAACACAACCCTCGTTCTAGTTTAGAACGTACTGTCATTGCTTCTGGGCCAGGGTTCGGTGATTGGTAATGGCGAGTTGCCACCTTCCCTTTTCATTTATGTGGGCTTGGGGTATATGCGGATGGAGATGTCCTGCACTATGCTTTTTTGGCATCTCGTCTGTAGTCTGCTGGGTTGCAGGCTAAGCTACTACGTCCTTCTGGTATTTTCTCTCATGGCCCTGCTTTTGATGATGACCTATGCACACTCAATGAGTTTACATGTTCTGATCTCTTACGTGACCCTAGCGAAGTTGCTGCCCGAAAACTTATGAAGAAATTGGCAGACATATATTTCGCGAAGGTTGCTGCAACTTCAGATTCTGTTTTCTCGTTGACTACGCGCCAGGTTGCTTTGTGGAAGTCCCAGCAGAGCGCGCACTCTTCTGATTGGTTGCGTGTTGTTCCTATTGGTGGGTTGGGCTAGACTACGAATGGAAGGACATATCATAATGTGCTCAGTTATCGACTGGGTGTCCCGTTTTTTTTGGTGCATATGCCCTGTTCTGCTTGTTCTCGTGTCTTTGATGGTGATGTCTTTGGGGATCATGTTGTGTACGGTGCTGGTATTGTGGGCATTAAGCATCGACATAACCTTGTTCGAGACACCTTATTGGACATCTGTTACAAGTCTGGGATTTCTGTAGGAAAGGAGGTTGTTATCGGTTTGGTTGATGGGCATGGCAGACCTCTTCGTCCTGCGGACTTGCTGCTTTACTCCTAGGATAGCGGGCGAGATGTGTGTATTGATCTGACTGGGTCTTCACCTTTGACTCAGACTAGGATGACCGATTTTGTGCCGGGCCGAGTTGTTGCTAATGCTGCTCGGCGAAAGTTTGCTAAGTATCGGGACTTGTGCATGGCGGCTGGTTACGAGTTCCTGCCCTTTTCTTTCTCTTCACTGAGAGAGTTGGATACAGATGTTGTGGCTTTGCTCAAGCGCATCCAGAAATTTTTCGTGGCTTAGGATGCAGGGTCTCGGGCGGCCACGTACATTTTTACTAGACTTAGCTTTACTGTCACTAAGGGAGTGGGAGTCCAGATTATATCTAGACTGCCCACTAATTTCCTGTAGACCTTTGTTTTCCCACAATTAGTGACTATATATAAGATGACTTAGTGAAAGGAAAGCAAAATACAAAGTTTCAAAATACTGAAAATTAAAGTTTTAGGCAGTACGGCATGCCTACCGGATTGTTATGCAAAATTGCACGAGAGTGATGTGTTGCTTGCTCAGTTAAATACCTCTCATCCCTTAGCCAAGAATCAATTTATAATCGAAGATCGTATATCTCGACACCCATCTATACTTTTTTTTAAATGAAATCAGATTATTTTTATTACAAAAAAATAAATCACAAAAGTAAAAGCAAGTAGGTACCCTAAGAGTCTCTTCGTCCATTTTTTGGCAGTGGCAGGACGGAGGTTCAACTGGTTTTAAGAGCGGAGGGTAATAGGAAATAACTCAAGAAATTTATTATGTTGTAGAGGATCGACCTTAACAGCAACCACATATAGTAATTGGAATTCCTAGAGTGGAGGAAGTGAGGGAGAAAGAATTGTGAAGTGTGGTTGAAATGGGGAGGGAAGGCTAAATTTATAGGAGGAGGAGATCGTTGGAGAGAGGGACAGTGAAGTCACCGTGACCATCAATTGCAGTGAATATATTGTGTTTGTCAAAGACGATGATGCGAGCGGATAGCTGACGTGGGACGCTATGAGACGTCAGATCTGGGAGGAAAACCAGAATATGCGCCTCAATGCATCCGGCAAGCGCAGTTAAAGGGTGGTGCGACGCAGATCGCTAACGTGAACCGCACTGTATTCACTGCGTTTCTCCATGATAGTGAATACGTTGTTGTCCATGTCAGCGATCCGCGTCGTCCCGCTCGTAAACTGCAGTCGTCTAATGGGGTGAGACGCGGATTTTGATTTCCTTCCCAAATCTGACGCCTCACCGCGTTACACATTAGGGATGACTTATTCACCGTCTTTGACAAAAGCGGTGATGGTTTAAAAAAATAAAATTGATCCTCAGAATTTTAAAATTGGATAAATCTCCTGAATGCAGAGGTGACAAATGGATTGGATCCATGGATCCAACGAATTGGTGGATTCATGGATTGGTGGATTATCCATGAATCCAAATAACATTCTCAACCTTGGACTGATATGTAGAATGTGAAAAGTGTAGGTTCTAAAATGTCATAATAAAAAATTTTAGGTACCAAAACATAATTTCCAATGATATTTTTCATATAAAAATGAAAATTTAGATACCAAAATGTAAAATATAAAAAGTATAAGTACCAGACTGTAATTTACCACTTGGATCCATGTATCATTCCATGAATCCATCAATTCAATTGAATTTGGATAAAATGGATTGGATTTAAATAGATTGAATTAGTTGGATATTTTTAATGGATTGGTAGATATGATTGGTGGATTGGATTGAGAATTGCCACCTCTACCTGAATGTATAGACTAATTCCAGGTTGTAAAAGATGGTTAACTAATTCTAGCTTTATTCCCGGCCATTGGCCGGGTAACTTGTAATATTAATAATAATAACAATCATATTTTTTCAGTTCATAATATATTAAGTTGACACAATTGATTTGACAATTATAAATTTATATTGCTAGCATATAATTCAGCCTAAATTCATCTCATATTTACTCAATATCAACAACTGATTAAGAAGTATAAAACACATTCGAATAATATTAATCTTATTGTGAACTTGTGATAAATTCATAAAATTGACATAGCAAATGTCAATGTCTTCATAATTGAGATATGTTTTATGCTAAACTTGAGAATTGAGATATTAAAATTATGATATATGAAAAATTTTCTCATAAAATAAATTACCAAAAAAAAAGTCTCATATATATATATATATATATATATATATATTTATAGTTTTTTCATGAGAACCCAACCCAGGTAACATTGGATCAAATCCAAAAGTCTTTTGACATTTCTTAAATTTTGCATGGCTAAAACAAATAGTAATTATAAATAGTTAAAAAAAATAATTTATATTATTAATTGACTGTGTAAACAATTTTTTGGTGTAAATAGTAAACAATTATTCTTAATTAGATAAATAAATACTTCTTATAGATGATAAATAGTGCTAACTAATAATTATAAATAATAAACAATAAATTAACTTATAGTTTTTCTACTCTCTCCATATCTCCACAATCTCCAATTTCCCTCCTCTCTCAATGCCTTAACGGAAAACTAAAAAATAGCAAAATCACAATAAAAAGGAGAAGGTAACGGGAGTCAGGAAGGAAAAAATATATTAAAAATAAAAAATACCCCTAAATGCCGAGAAACGTGGGGAAGCCTGGAAAGCTTACGTGGAAGGGGTGGTTTTTCCAAACCCCTTTAATATATTGTAAGATTACTCTGCATAAGCTGATTCCAAAGAGACATCCCTCACTCATACATACGTTGCAGATGAGTCCTCGATACCAAACGTCACAAACTTACCACCTCCAGCTATTACTCGTTGTAGATCTCCATCAACGCATCAGTTGACCAATCGAAAGTAGTACCAACAACAGATTCCAACCACTTCATTTCTTCCATAAGTTCATTCAATTTCCTGTATATCTCCTGACAATGTGTACTGGACCGATCATCAGCGATGAAAGAATGAACCTCATTGTTAACCTCAATCCAACTCCAACCAGGAACCTTCTTCACTTTCCGTTCCTTCATTAGCCTCGTTAGACTGGCTTTCTTATCCCACTTCCCAAGACGTGCATACATGTTTGACAAAATGACATAACTACAATGCTCACCTGGTTCCAGTTCAAGCAGATGGCTCGCCACTTGCGTAGCTAGGTCCAGATCACCACAAGCTCTGCAAGCAGCCAGCAGAGTTTTCCACACCATTGCATCTGGTTTGTAAGGCATTGATTCAATTAACAGCTTTGCCTCATTTAGATGTCCAGCTCGGCCTAAGAGATCTATTGCACAGGCATAGTGCTCCATCCGAAGTGGAATCCCATAGTCCGATGCCATGGTTTTTAGGAAATGACGGCCTTGGTCTACTAATCCAATGTGGCTACATGCAGTCAGGACTGCAACAAATGATATATGATCCAACTTCACTTTTCTCTCTCTCATCTCAGAGAAGAGGTCTAGAGCGACATTAGCCTGTCCATGTTGAGCATATGCAAACAATATTGAGTTCCAGGTGATTGATACGTCTTTCGTGGTCTCATCAAAAGATTTTTTAGCATCTTCTAGCATTCCACATTTGGAATACATAAAAATTAATGCACTAGCAACGAAATTGTTTGACTGCAAACCTGATTTGACTGTCAAAGCATGAATCTGTTGCCCTAATTGCAGAGTGGCTAGATCCGAGCAAGACCTAAGGGCAGCTGAGAAAGAATAATGATCAGTGTCCAGCAAGGATCTCATATGCTTAAAGAATTTCAAGGCGTCCTCACTTAGCCCGCTTTGTGAAAATCCAGTTAAAATGGAGTTCCAAGAGACCCGATCCTTGGATTCCATAGATTGGAATACAGCCAATGCATCCTGCATTAGTTTATCATTGCAACTGATGTACATGGCCATTACTGCATTGCAGATAGGCACAGAATGTTGGAGTCCTTTCTTAATCACCAATCCATAGAGAGATTTTCCAAGATGAAGTGTTCGTTCAGAACAAGCACTTAAAATGCTGGTATAAGTATATATGTCAGGCTCAAACCCAAGCTCTTGCATCTCCATGAAAAGTCCATATGCAGCCTCCTCTTTGTCATGGGCAAGGTATGCTCCCAGCATTGAATTCCATGTGACTGTATCCTGAGAAAAAACTGCACCATCAAACAGTCTTTCCGCATCCTCCAAGGAACCACATTCAGAATAAGCAGTGATTGTTGCATTGCACACGGTGTTCTCAAATTCCACCCCACATTTTATGGACTTACAGTGAAGCTGCATTGTTGACTTATAAAAGTCTGCATCATCAAGTAACGTGAGAAGAGGAGACAAAGATCCATCATCGTGGCTCACGCCTTGCTTCTCCATGCAACCAAACAGCCAAAATGCAGTGCCACGGTCCCCAAGCTTTACAAACCCAGAAATTATGGCATTCCATGATACGGAGTTGCGTTGAGGCATGTCCTGGAACACGATAAGAGCATCGTCAACTCTCCCACACTTGGCATACATATCCAGGAGGGCACTTCCTGCATAGACACTCTCCTCAAAACCCATCTTAACAATCAGGGAATGCAGTTGCTCTCCAGCTTCAATCCAGCCAGCAAGAGCAACACCCTTTAGTAGACTGCCAAAGTTGTACAAGTCTGCATAGAACCCACATCTCCCCTTATAAATTTGAACCTCCCAAGCAGTTTTCAAGTTCCCAGAATTCACGTACCCAGTAATCATAGTGTTCCAAGTAACAGCATCTCTTTGGGGCATTTCCTCGAACAGTTTGCAAGCAACATCAAGACCACAAGAGCGACAACGCACGTAACGGTTCAAAAGGTTGTTGGCCGTATATATATCGGAAAGTGTTCCAACTTTGATGGCCTGACAATGCGTTGTAGAAGCGCGGGACAAAGCATAAGCAGAGGCAAAGCGCTCTATGACTGAGCTCAATCCTCTCATTAGTTCATGAGACCAAGCTTTAGCAAACTAGCTGGTGCTCTAAGTCGCCATATAGGCGGCCGCAGCAAGCAATAGCCACGGCGGCTTTTTCCTCCTTCCGGCGATTGCACCAACGAGAGAGGGAGCGAGAGACCAGAGCAAGCGAGGAGTTCCTTCTCATCCCGTCCCGCATTAGGAAAGTAAAAAGGAGGAAAGAGTGAAAATGGCGTCGTGTTACTCGACTTGGTAGATAAATGATAAAGAAAACGAAACAGGGTAAAAATAAAATACAACACGTACTTATAAAAATTCTATTTCGTTAGGTCAGACCATATCCAGGCAAAGGTAAAAAATTTAATGAGATAAAATACTCTTTTAATTAGGAGGAATTTTACAATATTATATAGCATTGGTGCTAATTTTTTTCTTTATTGTGATAAGATGTTGAAACTCAACTTCTGACCGACGCCGGAGATGGAGCTCCTCAATCCTCCACGAACATTTCCACCGGACCATTCTTTCTACTCTTTCAAACTCTTACTCCCAAATTCCCGTTCCAAATTCCATGCCTTCTTCATCTCTAGAAATCCAACCCGTTCACCCTTGTTACCTAGCTCTAGGAATCTCCGCGTTTCAGCCCATTTCGGTCGACCCCCCCGCCGCAGAAACTCGCTCCGGAAAAAGCTCAGCGGTGATGACCAACAGGTTAGTCAATTGACCTCAATTTCCGCTCCTTCGTCCTCTGATAGCCAGAACCCACCTCTAAATTTAGAAAATTCTAAGGAAAGTTTAGCTCTTGATGAAGAACAAGGGACGGACTATGTTACTGTGGAAAATGTTGTTAGGAATGAGTTGAAACCGAAAGTTGACAAATTTGGGATTTCTGTTCCGTTATCACGGCTGAAGAATTGGGTTGATCAGCATAAGCACGATTCCGCTTATTGGGGTGTTGGGTCTAGTCCAATTTTCACTGTTTTTCATGATATAGATGGCAAGGTAAGGCGGGTTTCAGTTGATGAAAATGAGATACTGGAGAGAAGCAAGATTGCGAGCAATGAGCTCAAGAGTTCAGCTCAAGTGCAGTCGAAAATCTCGTATGCTAAGGAATTAGCTATGGATATGGAAAGAGGGAGAATTGTGAGTCAGAAGAATAGTTCGGTAGCTAAATTTGTTGCTTTAGGTGGAGAATCTAGTTTCCGTAGCACAATTCAGGATGTAGTCGCCCACCCTCGGTTTTTCCCGATACTCTCAAGGGTTGGCAAATTGGTTTTGTTTAGTTTAGTTGCAGCCTGGGCACTGAAAAGATTATTGCACTCCGAGAACAAGGAGGTAAAACACTCGGCGTTGGAGAAGGAAATGATGAGGAGAAAGATGAAGTGGAGAAAGGAGAAAGAAGCATTGGAAGGGAGTGGAATGGAGGTTGTCGATGAAGGTTTGGAGAAGGTGCAGATATTGGCAGTTGAGAGGCCTAAGCTGGATAAGCAACAACTTATGAAGAATATATATGAATCGAATGTTGGGAAAGGTAGATTGACAGCTCCAGAAGCTTCTCGTTCCCAAACTATGAAGTCTGTAGAATTTGATCCAAGAATTCAGCAAATCAGAGCCATGGCAAGGAAAGCCCGTAAAATTGAGAGGGAGGAGCAATCCATGGATGAAAAGATTGAGAAAGGTAACCAGAATTTGGACATCGAATCGTTCCAATCTCAAGATTCCACTTCTAGTGAGCTGAGAATGAGGGAATCATTAGATGATCTTGGAGCTGGTAAAGATGATAGTTTACACATAGAACCTATTGATTGGAGCAAGTCAATGCAAGATGTTTCGGATAACTGGCAAGGTATGGTCAATGGGGATGATATGGAATCAACTCTGGGTACTAATAACGAATCATCTTTGTCAAGTCAATCTATTGCACCAAAACCAAAGCTTATAAGGTCAGTACAAGAAGCTAGAGAGTTCCTTTCTAACAGAAGATCCAAGAATGTCCAAGACTCTCAGGCTGCTTCATTGAGCATGTCTCATGATAATATGCCTATTGGCAAAAGAAGCCAATTACCCGATATGCATATAAAAGCATCAGCACTGTCTACTTCTTTCTCAAATGATGATGCGAGTGGCAATGACATGGTTGGTAGACAGGCTGAAGAAGTGGCAAATTGGGTGGAGGAAAATAGCAATGAAGTAGAGCCGATATTTAAGATGATTGGGGATGGCTTTAGAGATAGTTTTAAGGTAGCTAGGGAAACTGCAAACCAGAACACAAATACAAGTCTTGATTTATTAAAGCTTGAGTACAAAGACGACGATGGTGAACTTTACTGGATGAAAGATGATGCGCTTAGAGATATAGTTTTCCGAGTTCGAGAAAATGAGTTGTCTGGTCGTGATCCATTTTACATGATGGAACCGGAAGACAAGCATAATTTTTTTGAAGGACTTAAGAAGAAGGTTGAGAGAGAGAATGAAAAGCTGCTTAAAGTGCACGTCTATCTACATGCAAACATTGAAAATCTTGATTACGGAGCAGGTAATATACTACGTTCATCACTGTTTTACCTACACAATCGGATAAGGGTATTTTTCCGCCGTGGTAATTTTATTGAGCATCATGTATTGAAGAAATGAAGTAGCTTTCTGTAAGCTTCTTACTGGATTCTGTTATCTACATCTGGCTAACTATTCCTTAGTTTAGATACATTATGGCATAGCTGTGGTAAGTCGGTCATTTTCCACTGACTTCTCTGGAAATATTATCAGTTAGCTCTAAATGACTTCGGATTATTGTGTCATGCGTCTGTACATGTGAGCATGCACTCAAGTAGCTTGAAGCATTATGGAGTTAATTATAGAGCTGACTCGATTTTTCCCCCTTCTTTTTCATGTGGTCTTATAGATGGCATCAGCCTGTATGATCAAGCAGAAAAGATCATACCACGCTGGAAAGGGCCTCCAATGGAAAAAAACCTTGAGTTTCTTGAAGACGTAATTCAAAAACAAAGGGACACTGTTCTAAATGGAGAAGATGATAGGTCTTACCATTTTGTAAATGGTAAAGAACTTGATAAATTCTCAGAATCTCGGCTGGCCAAGAATATTAAACCTTCTTCAGCAAACCACGTATTAAGAAAGCATATCAACGAGAAGGATCCAAAAGCATCTAGAATCGTTATAGAAGGTAGTGATGGCTCCACTAGACCTGGTCAAAAATCAGGTAAGGAGTTCTGGCAACACACAAAGAAATGGTCTCGGGGATTCCTAGAATGTTATAATGCAGAGCCAGATCCAGAAACTAAATCTGTTATGAAGGATATTGGAAAGGATCTAGACAGATGGATCACTGAAGAAGAAATTCAGGAAGCAGCAGATATGATGACCAAGTTGCCCGAGAGAAATAAGGAGTTCCTGGAAAAGAAGATCAATAAGTTGAAAAGAGAAATGGAACTGTTTGGACCACAAGCTGTGGTTAGCAAGTATCGGGAGTATGCTGAGGAGAAAGAAGAGGATTTCTTATGGTGGCTTGATCTTCCACATGTTCTCGTGAGTATACCAATTACGGAATTACCCACTGATTGATCAGAATTGATCTTCCACGGGCTTGTAAACTCGTTCTATATTTTGCATGTTAGATTTCCGGGTTTAGTCGGTTATATTTTCAACATTATGAATGTGTTATGAATTCTCTTTAGGTCTGGTGCGATAAAGATAGGCTTTATCTGCTGTGTTATCAATTAAGCACATGTCATAGTATCAGATTTTTATTTTATTTTTGTGGAACGATTGTGTATTTGTTTGCTGACAGAGAATTGAATCTCTTTCGCAGTGCATTGAGTTATACACAATAGAAAATGGAGAGCAGAAAACTGGATTTTATTCATTAGAGATGGGTGTGGATCTCGAGCTGGATCCTAAACCATGTCATGTGATTGCTTTCGAGGATGCTCATGATTGCAAGAACCTCTGTTACATAATTCAGGCACACTTGGAAATGCTAGGAAACGGTCATGCTTTTGTTGTTCCCAGACCGCCCAAGGTAACTAAGTATATTTGGGTTCTCTTCCAGCCTGTTCTTTTGTCTGCGGTTTAGCGAGAAAGACAAACGATGAGTTATGAACCCTTTAGAATGTTGTCCCACTTGGGAAGATCACCACTCCACCATCTTGTGGTTTAAGATTGGGAAATGGGTTTAAGCAAGACAGTGTTCACTTTCTGACCTAACAAACTTCGAGTTTAGTGAATCACATCTTGATGTTCTCTACTTGATTGTTTTGTTTGTTCTATTCTGTCAGGACACCTTCAGGGAAGCCAAAGCAAATGGATTCAGTGTTACTGTCATCAGGAAAGGACAGCTGCAGCTGAATATAGACCAACCATTGGAGGAGGTGGAGGAAGAGATCAGTGAGATAGGGAGCAAAATCTACCACGATAAACTTATGCAGGATCGCGGTGTGGATATGAACTCGCTGATGAAGGGTGTGTTCGGCTTGAGTAGCCAGACCACCAAAGGTTTGAGGTATTCATACAATATCCTGTATATTCTCACACTACATTGCATATTATAAGAATTAAGAACCAAACAAAGAGAATTTACAGTGCCAACTGCTAGAACTGAAATATGATCTCAAGTCTCCTGCCCTTATTCATGTGATTTGAACCAATTAGCCTAAACATTTGGTGCAACGGATTTTTGTTCCCAGGAAGAGAGCAAAGAGGAAATCGAAGAAGGAAACAGAGAAGCGAGCGCAATGTTAGTGTAACCAGGCAACAGGCTGTCGGGGCATGGAATATGGATCAAGTTGCAGGGCAGAGCATGGGCAAGCTGAAGAAGCCATCCCTCATGAGGTTTGAAGAAGGAAGAGCCAAGTAGCAAGAGGCAGAATGTTTTCTCTTCTTTTGGAAGCATATCATATGCCTGGCGTGAACATATACAACAATGATTGGGCAAGTGATATTTTGGGGTTGTATTCCCATGGGTTTCCCTAGTTGTATTACTCAAGGAATGCAGCTTATGTTCAAATACAAGTTTGTGGTTTGAGGTCCACTTAATTTCAATCTAGCTTAACAGATTAAAGGTAGCAAGAAGATAAGTACTAAGAGTTGTTCACAGTGACGAAAGGTACTTTCTACAACTGGAGGTTTAGTTACACATGATAATAGATGAAAACATAATTGCAATAGAAGAAGAATTCTTCTTGAAATCGAGCGATCCTCCAAATTTGATCGAGTCTTGACTCTTGAAGGCTTGGGAACTAGTTTCCTATACTCCCTTTATTTCTCAATAACTCCCTCTGCTAGTTTCTGTGTCTTTTCCCCGTAATGAACCTCTCTATCTAGAGAGCTGTCGCCCAATTATATTCCCAATCCAGAACTGGCAGGGTACCCATGAAATATACGGCTGTAGAACAAGGATGGAATTTACCTGATGGGTAGCTAAATAGTATTTCCTCCAAACCTCTCACGTCTCCTTAGTCAGTAATAGTATGCTCTTGAGTTAAAAAAAAATGTAGAGGTTGAAGTGCTTCAGAGGTTGACTTGAGACTTCTGTCGGTTTGTGTTAAAACTAAAAAATAAAATAGAAAAAGAAATCTAACTAATGGACGAGGAAAAACATAATGGAAAAGTATTGATAGCATACCTCGCCTAGAGTTTTTTTAAAACTAACTTCGATTTAATAAGTGTCATATACATGCGTGTGTGAGTGAATCTATAACGGATTTTTCCACTCGCTATGCTTCTATGTCCTGCCATTTCCTCACTCTTGTGGATTCTGTGCTAGGGAAACACGTGGGGTCAGCTAACAATACAATTTGCATACGTCACGTAGCAAAAAAGTTGCAACTTGACATGCATTGCATACAGTGTACAAAATCATGAGGACTTCCTTGTCACAATCCATCTAACATAATCACAACAGAAAGATGCAATAAACATAATAAGGAGGATTCAAACAAATGCAATATATATAACCAAGAATCGAGCATTACAGTGTCCACAGTACTTCTAGCGTTCACAAACCTACACAACTAAAAAACTAGCCACACATAGGGACAAAATCTGGGGTAGACATCATTTTGGTTATAAAGCTTTTTGCATCAAAAGTTCAAGTAAAAACTCCTGAGCCTAGTAAAAGACTTAGAAGCTAGTTTTAAAACACTTTTTAGGCTTTTGATATCCGAGTATTGAACAATATTGTATGAGTGTGCAATGGTCCGGTTAGGTTTAAAAGCTAGCTTTGAAACCTTGAGAATCGCATTCCATGATTAAAAAAACATTAAAACCAAGGATTGGACAAACATTGCATTCAGTCCAACGTGTTCCAGCTTGGTTCGTTCCAAATATCAATCGGGCTCATTTTACTTCAGTATAAAATTCTTAGAATCAAGGACCAAACTTCGTTATATTTGGTCAGTTTGGTCCAATCTTGATGTTGGTTTGGCCAGGTCCGGCCTGCTCTAGAACAAACCGTTGCACACCCTACCATACGGTTGGGTTGGGTTCAGTTTTGATGGCCAAATGAGAAAAATGACGCAATTTTATTTGTTTTTAGCCAGGTTATCCTTTCGGTCTTCCCTTATACGAATTCTTCATTCAAAACTCACTATCACTTCTTCTCCATTCTCGTCTTTTCTCTGCCTCCAAAGCCAGCACACACAACATCCAGATTTCTGCCGCCAACATCCTTTACGTAAAAGGTAGACTTTGACAGCCTTTCCCCCTATATGACTTCTGTCTTGGATGTTAGTCGATAGGTTCTATTTATAGCTGCTTCTATAAAGTTTTTTGGGAGAGAAAGTAGGAGTGAAACTCTTATGTCTGAATCCCTCTAATTTATTTCCAGCTTAGCCTCCAAGTAAAAGTATATTCACACAATTCTGGGTTGATCTGGATCCTTTAAGAAATAAAGCCTGATGCACCACTTTGGGCTTTAGGTCGACTATATTTAATACCATTTTGGGGTTGAGCTCCAATCGTAATTTCTGATGTCTAACAATTGAGCCTTCATGTCTCCCACTCATATAAGGTGGTTCACTAGGATACTTTGGTCCGAAAACACACAGATCTCTTACAAAGTGCATCAAAATAGTAAAAGTGATCCTAACAGCTACAAGACACACTTGGGAGAACTTATCAAGTAATTCCTAGCTAATATGACATTAAAATATGAATATGATGCTAAACATGGCATTAAATAAGGGGCTAAAATAGTATAATTTATATGTCGTTAAATACTCTCACACTTGAATTTTGTTTATTTCCAAGCAAACCAAATTCAAAATCATACAACTCATTAGACCTCTACGACGACACGTAACTTTTGATTGAAGGTAGTGAATCATAAGTAGCCTACAAGATCAACTCTCGCACTTAGAGAACTAGACCTCGTTAGCGAGGTACTTAACTCGTAATGATAATTTGGCCAACCTCGGAGGTTGTACTGGAAAACTTAACAGTAAAATATTTTATGGTGAGGTTTAACCGTTTCATACTGCTAATAATCAACTATCGATTTAGCCTTCAATGGGAAGATTTCCCAGTCAAACCGTCAATTCTGTACGGTTTTACAAACACTCCATAAACCACCACGGAACACTAACTGCTACTACTGCAACTTGGAGGTAACATGCGAGCACTAAAGAACCATAGTCTGCAATTTCTCCAGGAATTGACAATCAGTTTATTCATGTATAGGGACTATCCACGAAGACTAAGACGGGGTAAGATTCTCCCATCGCATGAAGGCTAAAGAAATTGTTCCACATAAGACTTTACCGAGTCCAAATAGTGGTAAGAGTCCTGGAATTGTTAAGCAACAACAACCGTACGTTTGTCCCCCCCCCCCCCCCCCCCCCCCCCGTATCGAAGAGTGAAACACAAAACAATACATCCGACAAACTAAATCACTCTAGTCTGGTGGGAAAGCTTTTATTTTTATTTATTCTCTGATCCCTTCTGAATGCTCCCACACTACCACAACTACTCCAGAGAAGGAATATGAATCCAGGAACAACAAACCAAATAAAATGCTTTCTGAATATTTATAGACAGACAGAGACGAAAGGACCTTAACATACCCAACCCTCTTCCCCCCAGGAAAGGACAACCACGCATACCTACGAATACATGTACAGATTATCTACCCGTACTATCGTCCCTTCGGCAACTTCATCATCATCACGGCAACAGTATAATGGACAATCTCATTAAGACGGCGGTTCATGATCTCTGATATGCCTTCCAGCAACACAGCCTCACTTGTCTCAGGAAGCACAGACTCCTCCGCTTCATGAACAATCTCCTCGATCACCGGCTCCTTGTTCAACGTCTCACGGCACATGATGTTCCCAATATCAAAGGGAATAAGCCCCTTCTCCACTCCTTTCTTCAGAAGCATGGTGGAGACGTAAAGTGTGTGAGCACATCTAGTTGGCACATCCCATCCATGGAAACTCAGAAGGGCGATATCGTCTTCTGCATCCAGTGATCTTATGTATTCAACAGTCTCCGCATCAAAAGGCTAGCGAGCTTGAGGCTAGTAAAGCCACTCAAATGTACAGTCTTCAAATTGCAAAAATCATACAGTAACTATTATAAGAGTAGGAAAAATCCAAGCAAGCCACCAGAACAGTGAAGTAAATGCTTGCTTACACTTTCTGGCAAGTAGTAGCCATGATCAATTGGAATCAGTACGCTCTTGCCAGATTCTGCATCTCTCATGAACAAAATATTCCCAACATGCCTATCTGCATTGGCTAGTCTTATATCCAAGACAACAATCTTATGCACTTCCTCAACAGGGAAAGCACCATGGCCGATATCCTCACAACTGGCGTTGTTCTCCATGAACATCTGCAACGACCCAATCTTATGTTTCACAGCCTCCTCCGGATGGTTGAATCCTTTATGAAGACACTTGATGATAGCAGTAGGTGGAACGCCAACAAAACCACCCTTCTCATCCCTCCCAAATAATAATGACCTCCGTCCACCTTTAGGGTGATCCAAAAGGTAGGCTGCAACTTCCCTTAGAGCACCTTCGCCAACTCTAGTGCCCTTCTTCAGTCTCTCCCCATTGGGAGACAAAGGCAGTCCTTGTGGGTTGTTCACAACCAGAGGTTCCTCATCAATTGGTTTAAAAACAGAGACAGACTTCTGCCCAGTTGAATCCTGCATGAAATATGCACCTCCTGTACCTTCCATAGACTTGATTGGACCATTTCCTCCACTTAACCCATCAGATGTCTCATCAACCATATCCAAAAGTGCAGAGGGTAATTCTACTTTAGGGTTTACAATGATTGGCTCCAACCAAACATTACTGTCAGGAGGCTTCCTACGCTCGATCTCTTTATCAGCTTCATAATACTTGCTTTGACTATATTCATCATCATCATCATCATCAGCAGCAACAGCATATTGCCTCCACTTGACATTCTCTCCTTCGTTCACACACGGAGGAGCTTCAATAGACAATTCATAATAGTTCTTCTCCAAAGGCTTAGCCCCAACTTTTGCAGATTTTCTCACCAACAAATGAATCACGACATCATTGTGAGATCTAAGGACATGATCAATAAACCTTTGGTCCTCAAGCTGCTCACCATCACAAACAACTTCTTGCTCATCAATGTCATCAAACTCCTTCACCTTCTTGGCAATCTTATGCTTAACATAGCCAACATCTCTCTCTATCTCCACATGGAAAGTGAAATCGTTGCCACTCGTTGTTCTGACCTTGATCACTAGAAGATCCAAAATCCTAAGAACCAGATGCACTACATTCCCATATGCAACTCCATAATGTCGAACGAGAGAGTCGCTCCTTGAAAGCTCTCGGCCTCAACAAATGAGTTTCTGATTCTTCACCACAAACCCTTTATACGATTGAATCCGCAAATTCACAGATTCAATGGAATCGGATTCCAGAACACGCATCGACATCATGGAGTGCCCCACAGAAAGGTATATCCAGATGGATTCGTCGGGGCACAGAGGTGGATGGACATCAAAGAGATTGGTGGAAAATAGTGGTTGACGAGCAAGAGCAATACCAGCAGACGACATTTTCTTTGCCCTTCCTACTCTTTTCATAAGACACAATTACAAAGACACGGGCTATGTACAACAATAACCGGGGTGAAGTTCAAAACAAAGTCTCCATTAGAGGCAATGATTCCATTCTACTAGCTTCCTTATTGATCGTCTAAATCCTGATTCAGCATCTAGACGACCAAAATTGACCACATGAACAGTAAGCTCGAGACACCTAACACAAAAATCCTGGAAATTGGAGACGACGAAGACTGGATTACAAACGATCAGAAGCGGACCATTCTTTAGGGGAACTTGAGCTACTAAGCTAGACCTGGAAGAGTGGTTCAAATTGGCAGACAAACAAATTAGGACTCAGAGATTTCAGAATCACTCACCAAAGGGATATGAAACTAGATGAGAACGACGATGTCACAGACACAAGAAGAAGAAGGAAAAGGGAAAGGGAAAAATCGAAAAGCGGATTCTTACCAAACTGGAAGAAACAAAGAGCAGAGGGAGGACGAATCGAAGATTAAATTGTTGGTTCAAATTTTAGCAAATTGGAACAGCCGACAACGAAGATGATTTCCGTCGAGGTCGCGATTCGAGAAAGGTGGGGGTTTAGAAGCTGAAGGAGCCCTAGAGAGAGATAGAGGTAAAGAAGTGTCGCTTGTCGCCGCCGGAGTTTCCAACGAAACGCGTTCAAAGCAGATTATGGGCTACGACTTTTGACGACAAGTTACAATCCTTTCCTCCCCCCTATTTTGTAGCTTTACCTTTCCTTTTTCACAAGAGAAACTTTAGCTCTAACCTGCCAGATGGCATATTGTTATTGATGTTTTTTTTATTCTTATTTTTAATTGTTGTTTAATTTTCAATTTTTTATATAACAAGCAGAAGAAAGAGCTTGGAGTAGTATAAAGCAGTGTTATCAAAGCCGAGCCGAGCCGGTTGGTCCGGTCGATAAAATCGTCACCCGGCCACCAAAATGGCTCGGCACAGCCATTTAGATGGAGCGGTTTTTTGGAGCAGTCGACGAGTGGCTGAGGCGGTTAACCGCTCGGGCCACTGGAGTCGATCTCCTGGCTTTTTCGTTTTCGGCCGGTTGGATTTAAAAAAATGAAAACTGAAAAGAAAGGGGAAAATGACGGGTTGTCAATCACCGTTCGCGTTCCCCGTCACCACTACCCAGCGCTGCTAATCCTCTGCTCGTGGGTGTTGGAGTTCCTCGGCTTCACCACTGCCGGTGATGTCCTCTGCGTCCAGCCCGTTGTCGACAACTCAACTCCGACGATCTCTGCTCTCGTCGGTTCGACTCCTCTATCGTATGCTCCTTTACTCGCGCCCTTG